TCCTTTTTACAGATAGCACCAATTATTGACTATCCCCCCGATATCTTCAACAGATATTCGATTGTGGACACCAGTTCAATCAACATCTCTGAACATGTGGAGGGGTTCCCTCGAGAGGTGACCACCTGTCGAATGATTATCGACACCACCATTGTTAAGATAAGAAGACCCTCACCAGGACCAAACAATCAAGATCTCCAAAGGTCCTTCTACAGCGGTATGTTTCTGTTTGTTTTTAAAATAATGCAGCGCTATCAAGTTAACTCACCGACAACAACTAATGTGTCGTCAGGCAAACACAAATTTCATGGCATCAAGTTTGAAGTAGGAATCCGACTGGATGGCTACATCGTTTGGGTTGGCCCTCCTCAACCAGGAAGCAAGCATGATTTAACCATCTTTGACGATGGAGAGTTGGCCAATGAGTTACTGCCTGGTGAGAAGATTTTGGCCGACTCAGCCTACGTCTCAAAGAACCACCCATTCGTTACACCAATTAAGAAACAGAGGAATACCAGAACAGTCACCAAGTTCCTCACAGTTGAACAACGCATCTATAATTTCCAGATCTCAAGATTGCGTATCAAGATTGAACACTGCTTTCCAAAGGTCAAGGCTCTCACGATGTTTGGCTCCACCCTATGGATCACAGCGCCACCACCTCGATCTATACTTCCGCGCAGCATGTGCCCTCATTAACTTTCAAAGCTTTGGAGTATGTTGAGCGATTGGTATGTTACCAAAATGAATGTAAATAAATGTTTGTTCTAGTCTTCAAGTCAAGTACCAGTGATGAATGTTTGAATGTTTGATCAACAGAGGAATACGTGTATTCCCAAAAATCTATTGTCCAATTCAAAGTTTGTGTGGGTGTGACCCTCTCGAGAGTCTCGCAAATACTTCTCTACACATCCAAGTGCATCATTTGTGAGTTTGAGCTCCTTGGAAAATATCCGGCGATAAATAGATAATGACATGTGTAGATAAGTCTTTCTGCTAAGATAGCGATGTTGCAGCACTTGTTGAATGAGAGGGGTGAGGGGAATGATATGAGAGTCTGATGATCTCCTGTACATGAGCTGTTGGTTGAATTTTGTTGGAACATAGGTGGATGGGATATTGAGAATCATCAAAGAGACTGCGTTAGAGTAGTGTTGCTCATCGCTTTCAGTTTTGATAAACTCTGTGCAGTAGTATTCATCCTGATCATTGATTGCTAAAGTCCGCGACTGCTCATAGCTCTGTATCACCTGGGCAAACGAGAGGTCTTTGTTCTTGTTCCATATGCTCCACATATCATGTGTTTCAATTCTGGGTTATGGGTTAGTGTCCGGACCGAAATGGCGTTCGCATGATTTACATACGGGATGAAATTGGTCATCTGTTTGATCCTCTCAATGTCATCTGGTTGCAAGAGAGTAGAAAATGCCTTGTTCGTGTCAGTATTCATCCATGCATTGAAGTCTGCGTCGGAGAACCCATCAACGAACTAGAAGACGGGCCATTGGTTATCCTTTGCTATCTTCAGATAGTACTTGTTGTTGGAGGAGCCTGAGACGATCACAAGATGTTGGACCAAGGCTGGGTGGACAACGAGATATCCCTCTGGCATTGAGAAGGGAAAGGTTGCTCGATCTTGATCACTGAGCCCATTGTGCTGGTCGATGATAAAGTAGAGCGTGAACTTGTTGTCATTGCAATGATGGGCCACATCTGTCAAGAAAGCTGTGAATGATTGTTCGTTCTCTTCTGGGGGGTTGTGCATTAGGGTATCCTTGATGAACGGGTCGTTGGCCGTTTCAAACGAGACCTGAAGACATTCCAAGAAGAATTGATATCCATTGCCAAACTTTGCCCATCCTCGACAGTCAGGGATGTACAACACCCGATTGGTAGCAATCGATCGAAGGTACATGGCAATGTGATAAAGAGAATGTGACTTGCCAACTCCTTGAGGCCCTTGGACATAGACTCCTCTCGCTATCCCACGATTGTCCACGATGAATTTGGTCAAGCGAGTGGTGACATCTCGGTTGATGATGCGAACTAATGAGTCTTTGAAATTGAATCGCATTCGATCTGATGAGAGTGCGGATCCTGGGGCAATGATAGTACTGGATCATCAAATTTGATCTTCTTGACCTCCTCTCTCATTATCATCACCTCAGCATCTGAGAATTGTTTCCTCTTGGCTGGGTATTGGAGCAAGATTAAGTGTCAGTTGAATCAAACATTATTACATGGTACCATGTTTGTACTTACGAGCGCCGATATTACTCGCTGCAATATGTGATCGGACAACTCCGCGTGGGCCGACCCATGGTATGACCTCATCCCATTCGCTTTCATTCATGGTCTTCATGAACTCGATTGTGACACCATGCACCCCGATGGCTTCAACAGTCTTCTGCCTGAAATCAAGCATTATCTTGGACTCGTCGGACAGAATCCATTTATAGAGGTCATCAACTGAGTAGTGTCAGTATCAGATCAAGTGGGACATGAGTAATTACATACGAGTGGATGATGACTTTGTTGATGTTGTTGATGTTGTTGATGTTGTTTGAGTATTGTTTTCCATCTTGGTGTTGATACACCACATTGTTGGCGTTGTTGACTATTGTATATAATAGCGATGATAGATAATACGTGTTGGAATGATGTGATGATAAAAATACAGATAGTTAGGAAGTGAAGGTAATGATTGGGAGTGAATGAGTTGTGTGTCACTAGACCTCTACATGTAAAATTTACAAACTTCATGTTGGAGCATAGTTGGTTCCAACTTTCTTACCATGGGAAGTACTAAGTCATGTTATAATATTCCTGCTTTCTTTTTATCTTCTATTCTCCCATTCATTTAGAACAAATAATCACTTCATTCATTCAATCAATTATCTTATTCATTCAATTCAATTCACTGACTGATATCGTTTCAAACAATCTTTGGTGTTGAAGAGATGCTTGGCATTGTTCCGACTGGGTCTAGGTCTCATTGGAATGTGGAATGTCATTGATCGTTGGCCAGATGTAAATGCTCATTATTCTGGTAAGTCATTTTATTGATTGATTGATTAATTGACAAAGTCCCCCTCTCTATGCAACAAAACTTTTGATGATGGCGAATGTGTGAGTGAATGAGCAGTCCTCGATTCGAAAGACACAATGGCTGGTGGTCCATCATCCTGATCATAAAGGAATAAGCAGCAACAACATTAACATTGACAACTCATCACACATATTACACATCACACATCATTGACCAGATTGACACCCTTCACTCTTGCTATTCACTCATCCTCTCATTCATTCAATCATTCAATCATTCAATCATTCGAGAATATAATATTACTATCAAATAGACAGATTGAATAGACTTAAACAATCAAGGAAGGATACCCCTTGGTTGTAGCTACCCAACCAACCTCAGCATCAATGGCACCAAGTGACCCAACTTTAGATCATACAGACTTTGATATCTCTCATGTTGTGCTCTCATCATTCTACTTTATGATGCTGATATGCTCACTCGTGGCATTGATCAACACGAAGGCATACAGTATGTACTCTCTCTCTCTCTCTCTCTCTCTCCATCTTTGCAATCAACATATCTTTGCAGCAGGACAAGTACATTGACGACTGACACTCATTCATTCAATCATACATTATAGCATCTTTATATACATTACTATTCCACTTGCTGTTAATGTTGGGTGCAGCATGTAGAGCAGTACTATTCATCCTGTTCCCATTCGCGGCAGAAGGAGTCATTCATCTAAGTGTCAATGTAATCGACCTGGTGGCAACACTGCCAACATTCTTCTTCTTTACAGTATACTCTATAACAATGATAGTTGGGTATGTTCAATCAATCACTGGAATCATTCCATTCCATCCCATCCATAAACTAACCTTAACCCCACACATTCACATGATCATTAGTACACTTATCCAGCAGGAACATCTGCCAAGGACTGTGCAGATCGACATCAGGAAGGTTGTGCCTTACATACTCTTTGGCAATCTTGCCATGTACATAATAGTTGCGATTCTGTTCATTGTGGACTTCACTGTGGACGCACCGGCCCACATATCAAGCAGGCCAACCACTGTCACTGGCATAATCATCCAGCTCTTCACCTCATTCATCTATTTCAATGGATCACTATTCTTCTTCATAGTATTGTATGTGTATAATACTCAATCAATCAGTGATCGATCAGTGGATGTGGATGTGGATGTGGACGTGGACGTGGACATCGATCAATCACTCAATCATTCAATCACTCAATCACTAACTTTGTGATCATTTAGGTTCAAACATTATGTTAAACATTGGAGAGAGTTTAGAGCAGCCAATAGGACAAGCGAGTTTAGTACGGTGCGAAAGATGTTTGCACTGGTATTCCCATTCTCTTCAGTTAGTTTCATGATCAGAGCTACATTGGCCGCAGTGACGGCATTCGTTGTGATCAGATCATGGTACAAAGACCTTTTGTATTATACATTCCTAGAGGTGCTGCCTGTCTCCTTCCTCTTGCTGATAATGAGTCAACGTACAACCATTCGATTACTGCGGATCGCTTTCCTGGAACCTGAGCGACAACCAATCATGGCACATCTTCAACCACTTGTTTGATTCAATCATTCGCTCATTCATTCATTCAACTCCAACTAACTTATTATTCCATTAATTATTATTATTTTAATTATTATTAAAGACTCGCTTGATTGGATTCGAGCGCGTCATTGTCCTTCCCCGGAGATCCATCCACATTTGTCCATGATTGGTAATCACATCAAGGTTAAGGTTATAAAGATAATCAGGACATCGACTGATGTGGACTCTCGAGTCTTTGCAACAACTGATCACCACACGACATCATCCCGTTTGTGTGGGGTGTGTGAATGATCAAGAGTGCGCTCAATCATGAAAAAAGACCCTACCACGTGTGATTGGGGGGTTGTGTTGAATGATTATGAGTGTTAATACATGTTGATCAAAAAAAATCATATCTATTTTGATTCTTTCATTGCCTTCTCACTTTACTTTCTAATTATTATTATTATCAATTAATCTATCTATCAATTTATCAACCTATTCATAGGTATTCAAACAATCAATCAATCAAACAATCAAACAAACAACAGTTGATCAACTTCTCCAATTCTATTGAGTATAATACAACACAAGACAATACAACAATATGATGGCAGATCAGCCAGAGAATACAGTGTTCATTGGCAACATACCTCGTGAGGCCAACAATGCAGACATTGAGCGTTTGTGTGCACCACATATCGATATTGCCACGATCAAAAAGATTGGTATGTTGTCCATCCATCAATGATCATCATCATCATCATCGGGAATCATATACTTACTTTCTTTGGTATCTCCAAACACACGTGTAGTGATCAAGCTTGGCTTTGCATTTGTATTCATGCAAGGTGGTGAGCCTGAACGTCTGATCAAGGCACTCCACAAGACTGAGTACCGTCATCGAACTCTCACAGCAGAGTTGGCTAAAGGTGAAAAGTATGTCATTGTTATTGTCGGCTGTGCAGTGTGCAGTATTGCTAACTTAAATATATTAGCCGCAAGTTGTCAAACAGAGAGAAGAATGCTCGTCCTGGTCCAACAATATTCATTGCCAGCTACAATCAGGCCAACACAAGCAAAGACACTATCGAACGTCTTTGCAGGCCATTCGGTGACCTTGTTAGGGTATGTTGCCAAAAATGATAGTCCTGTCCTGTCATGTGTTCTGGCCTTTGTGTCGTCTCATTCGACTAACTCATTTACTCATTCACTCCAATCAATCAAACAAACCAGGTCGATATGAAGGGTAGTTATTGCTTTGCAGAGTATGCCAATGAACAGCAGGCCACAAGAGCATTAGAGGCACTTCATGGAAAAGAGGTAATTATAATCATTGCGATCCAGGACCATGACCAGGACTGCCATACCTTGTGTGATATACTAACGCCCCTCCCCAATCAATCCAATCAATCAATCAATCAACAAACCAACCAAACAATCAATCCAATCAACTCCATGTATATACAATAGGTTGGTGGAAACCAACTATGTGTAGAGTTCTTGGCCGGTGGCAACAGGTATGACCTCTCTCTCCACCTCTGTCGTCCATCACCATCAAATCGTCGTCATCGTCTTGCGTCATCGTAGTCTTCGTCATCATCATCCATATCATCGTCCATCGTTATCGTCCATCGTTGTCGTGTCCATTGTCCACCATCTCCAAACCCCTCGTCGCCATACTCTGTCCCACCATTACCATCTACCCTACCCTACCCTACCCTACCCTCACCCGACCTACCTGACCCTACATAACATACCCATCCTACATCTACTACTACGACGACCATAACACCCATCCCTACCTACCTACAAACTACCCTTGTGCCACAGTCCACGCTACTTACACCCTCCTCTAACTCTCGACACTCAATAACCACCCACTATCTAGAGCAAGGTTCGACGACAGAGAACGCGGAAGAGACAACAGGGATAGACGTGACAGAGATCGTCGAAGATCCAGCAGGAGCAGAAGCAGAAGCAGAGACAGAGATGGCAGAGATGGAAGAGATGGAAGAGATGGAAGAGATGGAAGAGATGGAAGAGATGGCAGAGGTGGCAGAAGTGGTGACCGCGGAGGTGATAGAGACAGACGAGACAAGGACAGAGGCGGTGACAGAGACAGAAGTGACAGGGACAGGAACGATAGAGATAGAGACAGAAACAGCAGAGGTGGTGATAGAGACAGAGGTGTGGACAGGGACTCCAAGGACAAGGGCAGACGCGACAGTCACAGAGACAACAGGGACAACAGAGACAAGAGAGACAAGAGGGACAGATCGCCACCCCCACGCGGTCGTTCATCGTCGCGCTCCCGCTCACCCAAGCCGACAAAGAGGTCGAGATCCGAGAGCCGATCGACATCTCCACGTCCAGGTGGCTTCTCTTCGTCGACAAAGAAGTCAAGGTCGCCCTCGCCAAAGTCCTCGCGTCAGCACAATGACATTGCCGACAGCCCAGTGCGTGACAGAAGCCGCGATCGCAAGAGAATCAGGGAGGACAACAACAATAATAACAACAATGGACACAAGGCCATCGATGAGAATGACGATGTCAACAGCCACACAACATCCACCTCCACCTCGAGTGTTGGAGGCAATGGAAGTGGAAGTGGAAGTGGCAACAGAAAGTACTCGTCGAGGGATGGCGCCAACGTCGACTTCTAAGTAAGTCGACAACTTGGTGTTTGATCCATCACGTCATCAACATTGTAAACTAGAGCCCCTCCTCCCCCTCCCATCCAGTAGCCACACTCGTGTCCTCCCGCCCTCCAAGCAAACTCCCCATCCAGTTTGCCACACTCAAACTCAACTCGCTCACTCACTCACTCACTCACTCATTAACTCACCCAATCAATCAAACACAAGTGTGTATATTGGAATAAATATCTATGTCCTAGCTATGTATTTATGGGATGAAGACCATGCCCCTGATTGGGAAGCACAGCGCGTTGGCCTCCTTGCAGCTATGTCCACCAAAGCTGCTCTTCAGGTTGCCCTTGGCGCTGTAGAACTGGACGACGTCGACAGAGGGACTGGAGCCCTCGGCCTTGGAGGCGTATGGCACCTCGACCACGATGCGACCTGTGCTTGGATCGATGGCCATCGAGCCGGGCAGGCCGCTCAGCTCGCCGGTTTGGGTCGTGTTGCCGACCAGGTCGATGGTCTGAACGATCTGCTTGGTCGAGGGGTCGAGCACGATGATGATGTCGTTGCCTGGTGCCGGGACACTGACGAGGATTGTATCGTCTGGTGTCACCTGGATGCCACTGTAGCCCAACTTGTTGTCAACTGGATCGATGGCCTCCTTTGTTCCATCGGGGTGGAACAAGAAGATGTTATCATTGTCCGTGACCCAAATCGTTCCTGTAGAGTCAGCGGCCACATCCCATACATTATTGAATGCAGGGTTTGTCAAGGTCTGGATGTAAGTACCAGTCTGTTTTGAGTTTGATCATTATGTTAGGATGTGATCAGATTGAGTGTGTGGTGGAACTATTCCACCCCACACTGATTGATTGAATGAATGATTGAATGGACATACCAAGTCATAGACAAATACACCTGGAATATGAGAGGTGTCACACTTGATGTTGGTGCTTGATACGTATACTCGTTTGTTTACTTGGTCGACGGTGAGTGCCTGCAGGTCACATCCAATGTGTCCCGAGTTTGTTGCCAAGTTTGCCCAGATACCCTTTACATTGCCCTTTTGCGAAGAGTAGAATATTCCCTGTTGAGGATCCATCAACAACAATATACTTGGGTTCAAAAATGCAATGTCATATGGTAGGCATCGTTTGGTTGTGTCCTATGATTGATTGAGTGAGTGAGTGGACCAAGTGAGAAGTCCATCCATGGTAGATGGATATACATACATTCTGCAAGAAGGTTGTGTAGTTCTGGACACTGACACCATCGGTAGTGAACTCGAGTATTTGGTTTGGGTTGACGCCCATTGGGTTGGTGAACAACATGTTGCCACTGGTGAATGTTGTGCCTAACATGTCGTCCTCCTCAACATTGATATTGACTGTTGTGTGATGCTGTCCACGCATGGCATCAGCAGTCTGAGCAATAACCACAATAGTCAACAACAAGCATGATATTATATATTTGTTTGTCTGGAACATTGTTGTCCTGTTTGGTATATGGGTGAGTGAGTATCTAGGTGAGGTGATTGTGAAGTGATGTGAGGTGAGAGGTGAGGTGAATGATTTGGTAGTAATGATATAAGAAGTAGTAGTAATATATTGGCTATCTAACTATCTATGAGTATAGTGATGAGACTAACTCTGATCAGAGTGTAGTTGATTACAGAGGTATGTATCGCAGCATAGAAGAGTCTTGATTGTTGTTGGTGATGATAAGGTAGAGGAGGTGTATGTGTTTGTTTGGTAAGATGATACTCAAACAATAATAATATTAATAATGAGCCGGATATTTCTAGACTCTGGGCTTGGGCTCGTGTCAGGTCAGGGTCAGATTTCAGGAGTGTGAGGAAGAGTGGGCTCATTCGGTCGGGGAGACTCTTCGCCTTTCTGACGAGCCCAAACCCACACACCACACTGAGATTTGCTCGGTTCGCGGCAAAAACAGAAGTGGTGGGGGTTTGTTTTTTTGGGGCTTCTGGACTTTGCTAGATCAAGACAATTATGTTCTTCCGAACTCGGTTCATGTGTACAATGAATCGTTGGTTGCAGTTGGGAACATCACAACAAACTATCTTTGTCTTGTACTCTTCATCATCATCATCATGCCATGATATCAAGTTATAATATATATATATATATATCTAATCTACATCTTCACTATTTGATACACCTAGCTATAACAAACAATAGTTAATAGTGTTGTTGAGATTCATAGAAACTTGAAATAAAGATAGGGTCACATTGATTGATTGAATAATTGATTGAATGATTGATTGATTGGACTCGTTTCCCTTTGAGTTCATCACCAAACAATTCAAATAACATTAATTATCTAATTAATTACCTTTTTTATTTCAAATAAAACTTAAAGCCATCAGGGTTATTTAATTAAATGAATTGTTGTGTTCACCTAGTGTTTTTGATGAATGGTTGAAGATGGATGGGGTTGGGGAATGAATGTGAATGAGATTGTGAGTGTGAGTTGGTGAATGAATGAGTCCATCAACATCAACCCTAATTGATTCAATTAATTCAAACACACTAGATAGAGAACAAGACAGAGAGATAGAGATAGAGAGATAGATTGTTGCGAAGAGAAAGACATTCAATTGTACAGATACAAAATTACACTACATAGGAAGAAGGAATGTCTGACGCAAAGTCATCTCCTTCTCTTGGTGAGAAGGTAAAGGTGAAGGACAGCAACAAGTTGTTCTCACTAAAGGTCAACGTTGTAAAGGCCAAGAACTTGTTGGGTTCCGATGGCTCTGTGGCCAGTCCCTACGTCAAAGTCGTCTGGGGCAACAAGAAGAAGGGCATCAAGACTAAGGTTGTCACCAAGTCATCCGAGCCCGAATGGAACCAACTATGTCAGTTCGACATCAAGAGGGAGAAGTACCCAGATGTATGTATCTATATATTCATTCAAACAATCCAGAGACAGGGGACGATGACTGACAACGACGACCCGACTACTACCGGATAATAGAAAAAACCAGATGTAGAACTTGAAGTCTATGAACATAACAAGTTCTCGGGAGACAAGTTGATTGGAGAGGCCAAGTACCCAGTGTTGGACAATGTTGTAATATTGGGCGATGCGACCAATGTATCATTGCCAGTGGTTCTCCACGCCGGCTCCAAGCACGAGTCCAAGACCGAGATCGTGTTCACCGTCACCCCAACAGACTTTGGCCAGGACAAGGCCGTCGTCGAGAAGCAACGACAGATTGAGGAGCAAAAGAAGATGGTGGAGGTCGAGAAGCAGTTTGCCAAATTGGTCGACCAGCTTGCCAACGACCCAAAGACAAAGGAGACGATGCTCAAGATGCCCTACCAGAGCAAGCAGCAGCTGATCCTGCAGCACAAGGACAAGCTGTCGCACGAGAAGACACCCGATCACTTTGCCATCAAGCTGCTGAAGGAGCTTGGACTGAGGGCCAAGAAATCGTCGACCACCGCCACATCCACCACTGCCAGCACCGACGGCATGTCGCTGTCCGATCTGAAAGAAATAAGTGTTGCACTTCGTTCGCGTGGTCACGACTGGATCCGTGAGTTCCATCGTCTAGAGGCAACATCCCGTTTGGTTGAGCTTCTCAACATTGTCAGACAACAACCAACGTATGTTCTCATGTGATCACAACTCAATGATCATCCTTACTCACCGACCTCACTCAATCAATCATCGACACAGACATACTGAAGACTCACTTCAGTTCCAGCTTGAGTGTCTGGCCTGTATAAAGAATTTGATGAACAACAAGCTCGGTATCTCCTACATTCTGAGCATCAGAGACACACCAAAGATCATTGGTGCATGCATTGGTTCGACAAACGTATGTTGGTCGTCATGGCCATCACTCACCCACTCATTCAATCAACTAACTCAACTCAATCAATCAATCACAATCCAGGACAAAATCAATGAACTTGCAATTGGTCTGCTGAACGTAGTCAACTTCCATTCGTTCAAGAATGGAATCAATATTGGCCATAAGATCATCATTGAGGTGATGAACAATAATAAGGTGGTCAAGAATGAGAGAAGAAGATTCTTGTCGTTGGTCGATGCACTCCGTGCTCGTCCAGCCTTCAAGGAGACACGTGACACCCTGCGCACAAAGTCCATCTACCTGTCGCTGATCAACACTATCGTCAACGCACCACCCGAGATCGACCTGCGTCTGAGTCTGCGTCAGGAGTTCTACTGGCTGGGCCTCAAGGAGCTGATCGAGCAGCTGAGCAAGTACGAGTACGACGATTCGCCCGAGCTGGACACACAGATCACTGTGTTCCAGGAGGAAGAGTCCAAGGATAACAAGGAGATGGCCGACAGGTTCAGCGAGTTCCCCGGCCTGAACCTTTCCAACACTGACGACATTGTCAAGGCTCTGCTCGACAAGATCAAGATGACCGGTCTGATCGACACGTACAGGGAGATCGTCAAGGATCTGTTGGTGATGCCCGCCAACGAGGAGGCCGGTCTCAGGACCTGGCTGTTGGCCTCGAGACTGGTCAAGCAGGTGTCACTCGATAAGAACATCGGCCTTGAGGAGGACTACGTCATCCCCTTGGAGAACCTGTTGCTCACATGCGAGCAAGAGGCCAAGGAGTTGCCACTCAAGTCCAAGATCGAGGAGCTGTCCAAGGGCTCGCAGGACCTCAACAAGAAGATGGCTGCACAGGAGCTCGAGCTCAAGGAGAAGCTGGACCAGGTGAAGAAGTTCGAGGAGAACTCTTCCAAGAACATGGAGGACATCAACTCCAAGCTCAAGTCCAAGGATGATGAGATCAAGGCGTTGCTCGAGCAGATCGAGAAGCTCAAGCTCTCTGGTCCACCAGCTGGCAGCGGAGGCGGCAGAGCCGTCCAAGAGGATGCACCAATGTCTGGTGGACCTCCTCCCCCACCTCCACCCCCTCCCCCTGGCGGTGGTCCTCCACCTCCTCCACCTCCCCCTGGCGGCGGCCCTCCACCTCCTCCACCACCTCCCCCTCCTGGTGGCGGTCCTCCACCCCCTCCACCTCCCCCTGGTGGCGGCCCTCCCCCACCTCCGCCTCCCCCTGGCGGCGGTCCTCCACCCCCTCCAGGTGGCCCTCCACCTCCTCCAGGTATGGGTGGTCCACCAGGCCCACCACCACCCTTTGGCAAGAAGGCTGCTGCTCCACCAAGAAAGCAGATTCCATTGCCAGGTCCCAAGATGAAGGGTCTGCAGTGGACCTCGCTCAACGACAAGAAGATCGCCGGTACTGTGTTCTCCAAGTTCACCATCGACTCGTCCAAGGACATCAACCTCGACTACAAGGAGATCGAGGACGTGTTCCAGGCCAAGGTCATCGAGAAGAAGGAGGCTGTGGCCAAGAAGTCAGGCCCAGTCCAGATCATCGATGGAAAGACCAGTCAGAATCTCGCTATCTTCTTGTCCCAGTTCAAGGGCAAGTCATACGACGAGATCTGCGCAGGCATCACACGTGGCGACGAGCTCATGTTCCAGAGCAACCACATCGATGCGCTGATCACCTTCCTGCCATCAGAGGACGACATCAACAACATTAACGAGTTCCTCAAGGAGGACGGCAACGACATGTCCAAGTTGGGACCAGCTGAGCAGTTCAGCATGAAGATCAATGCCGTGCCAGCCGTCAAGACCCGTCTGCAAGCCATGAAGTTCCGCTTTGGCTACGGCCCCAAGAAGTCGGACATCAAGCTGGACATTGCCAACTTTAGGACCGGTGTCAAGGAGCTGACCGACAGCGATAAGATCCCCAAGATCCTCGAGGTCATCCTCATCCTTGGTAACTTTATCAACGGAGGCACACCAAGAGGTAACGCCTACGGATTCAAGTTGAACACCATCACCAAGCTGGCCGACACCAAGTCCACAGACAACAAGCAGTCGCTGGTCAACTACCTGGCGCGTGTCCTTGCCAAGGACTTCCCCGCCCTCGTCAACTTTGCCTCGGAGCTCACTCACGTTGAGGCCGCCTCCAAGATCTCTGTGCCAAACATGTTGTCCGAGATTGCCTCGCTGCGCAAGGACTTCTTGCAGGTGCAAAAGACCATCGAGACGTTGACACCAGCCGACGACAAGGACACCTTCAAGGCCACCTTTGACTCATTCATCAAGGCTGCTCAGGAGGACATTGACCAGATCACTGAGAACTCGCAGCTGCTCGAGACTGAGTTCAAGAACTTGGCCACATCATTTGGTGAGGACGCCAAGATTGACCCATCCGAGTTCCTGTCGATGTTTGTCAAGTTCCTCGAGTCGTACGACAAGTCCACCAAGGAGAACGAGCAGCTCGCCGCACAGGCCGAGAAGATCGCCAAGAGAGAGGCTGCCAAGAAGCTCAAGGAGGAGGAGGATGCCAAGAAGAAGCAGTTGGCCGAGGAGCGCAAGCAGAAGGGTGCTACCGAGGAGGAGGCCATGCCAGAGGCCGTCGTAGATGATCTGCTCAATGCAATTGCCAGTGGTGATGCCTTCAAGAACAGAAGGAGAGCTGGCAGAGGTGCCAGAGCCGCCCAAGTCGACCTGGACGACATCCAGATCGAGGTCAACTAACCCCCATCGATCGTCATGTTGTTATTACCATCCCAAGCGGCGGCAGTAGCCGTGGCCACGTGTATGAATTAAACATAATATATATTACATCACATTGATCAAGTGTTATTGTTGTTGTTGTTTATTAGTCTAGACTAATAACTTACTTCTGGTAATAGACAAAGGTATTGCCAGACTTGACAATGGCCTGTGCTGGCCAACGTCTGGTGTTCTCGGGCGCAGCAATCATCTCATCCCAGACAACCTTCTTGTTGGCACCCTTCATGAAGAAGAGCTTGGCGGATGATTCCTTGAGGTTGTTGATGTTGGTCGTGATCCTGTCGAATACAGCGAATCTTGTTGTGGTCGTGTGATAGACAATGTCAGAGGGTGCGGCTGGCTGGTCGTCGGTGGTTGGGAAGATCGAGGCGATGTGACCATCCTCTCCCATGCCCAGTGTGACGAGGTCGGCATGGCCAGATCCACGTGCGAATATAGTCTGCAGTGCTTGTCCATAACCCTTGATGCATTGATCCAGTGGCAGTGATGTATCGGGGCATATAAAGTGGTCGGCAATGAGTGCACGCATGGCCTCGGTATTAAAGATTGTGTTGGCAACCAGATGATAGAGCGAGTCTGCCGATGTCTTCTCAATATAACGTTCGTCGACACAGAAGAAGTAGACATTCTTCCAGTCGATCTCTGATGCGGCTGGTACCGTAGTCAACTGAGCATAGATCGGCTTTGGTGACGTGCCTCCACTCAAACCAATGATTGCAATACCTCTCTCTGTCAAAGCATTCTTGATCACTGAATGCACATACTGAACCGAAGAAGAGACGAACTTTGTCTCTTCATCAAACTCTACCAATGTATAATTCATTCTTACTTTCTATGTTATATATATATATATGTATGAATGTATGAGAGTGAAGTGATGCAGATAATGAAAGTGTGTTGGTGTTGTGTTGAGTATTGTTCGAAGTTGAGGTTGGAGTTGATGTTCACTTTGAAAGATGGATGTGGGTTGTTCCTGACTTCGAGACTTCGGGAAAACACCTTCTTTGGAACGTCTCTCTCTCTTTCATTCTGAATGTGATTATGACCTTACATTAATTATTACTCAAATGTAGATACAACATTTGATCAAATGTGGATATATATAGAATTCTCAATCGTATTATTATGTCTACGTCGTCTTATTAGATTATGTTGGATCAGTCAATAAAGAAGATCATGATAATAATAGATGACCAGGTCAATCACACAATCGTCTGTGTGATGACCACTTTTGTCCGGATAATAAGAGCAACAATGACCAATCATGATACAAAGAGGGAATGCTCCTCATTCAAGATGAGATATCTCATCTGAAATTAAAATTGAAAATAAATACAATTAATACTTATTTCTTGGATGTGAGTTGATTTGAAACAAGCTCACCAACTCAGCAAAATGAGGGAACAAAGACCACGCACAGGGTTTGTGACTCTTGGCTTCAACATCATTAATTTCATTTGATTAATATCAGACAGAGATATAATATACAGATACACGTCACATTCACACACATATATATAATATAATAATGGAAACTACACCAAGCACTATTACATTGGAAGCTTCTGATAGCGTAAAGTTCCAGGTGGACAAGCAGGTTGCCAACATGTTTGTTGCCATTAAGAATATGTTGGAGGACATTGGTGATGAGACCAACGCCATCCCACTGCCAAACGTCACCAGCGAGAACTTGAAGCTGATCATCGAGTGGTGCGAGTACCATCTGAAGAACCCAAACCCCGAGCCAATGAAGGACAAGAAGGAGATCTACGACTGCCAGTACGACAAGGACTTTGCCACCAAGCTGGAGCACGTCACCCTCTTTGAGCTGATCCTCGCCGCCAACTACCTCGACATCAAGGGCCTGCTGGACGTCACCTGCAAGACCGTCGCCAACCACATCCGCTCCAAGACACCAGACGAGATTAAGGCTTTCTACGGCCTCACCCAAGACTTCACCCCAGAGGAGGAGCAGATGCTCAGAGACGAGAATGAGTGGTGCGAGACCAGAGACTACTAAACACAAGCTCTGTCAGCTTGATTGATTACTTGTCATACATACAATATCATACATTCACTCAATCTTCACTCATTCTTTCATTTAGTCAGTTACACATCAATAATGATCATGTACTGTTCTTTAAAAGGCTTGACTAGAGTAGTCAAGCCTCAATAAACCCCTGTCTTTATTATATATATATACATGCTATTGATGCTTGTTTGTTTGATTGATCGATCAATCAATATATGTGTATAATGTTATAGAAGAATCTAAACAATGATGACATAGTGTTCGTTTGTTAGTAACCTATCCCATGATTGATTGATTGATCGATCGAGAGGGAGGAGATACATACGTCCAGAACAAGACGAATGTCATTAGACCAGAACTTAGACTGTCATACCACATTGTCTTTGGTGTGATGAAGTAATGTTGAAGGTTCTTCTCTTTCAGGTTGTATAGTGAGCAGAACATTAGATGAACCAATACATAGAAGATGAAGCCATAGACGCCACTGAATCCAAACACTCCTGCAACACAACCTCCTGCTGTTGCAATCAATATCTGACTGATGTATTATTCCAACAACATGATCGATCATGCAATGATGAGAGCGTGTGAGTATGATGTATGATGTTACTGATTGATCTTCATTCAATCAATCAGATGGAGCATGCTTACCAGAAGTGTTGTGACTTTTGATTCATTGCAAGCATCTCGCTATCTATATGATCTGGTATTGACTGAGCATTGGCAGCCTGTTGCTGCTGCTGCATTGCCTCTGCTGCAGGGTTGATCATTGTTCCTTGTGTTGTAGTTGTTGAAGTTGTTTGAATGATTGAATGTGTCAAAGTGTGAAGAATGAGGCAATTTGAAACAAAGTCGAGTGAGTCAGTGAAGAGCAACCAATAATTTAAAGTTATTTCTTTAATGGATGATACATTGATCCAAACCTCAGTAATAAATATCCATTTAATGATTCATTAAACAATCAATCTGATCCATCCTTGGAAATAATAATAACCTTTGAATGGAAGTTTAAACTGGTGCTAGATTGGATAAGAATTCCATTCCAATTCTATTATAGGTTTGATTAAGAAATAAAGGATGATTAGAATTAGTGGACAGTTATATTAATATATATTATACTTATTGTTTCTTTTTATTACTTGTACAATGTTATTAAACTGAGTAACGGTCAGAAACAACGATTCAAATTTGAAAAAAAAAAGAAAAATTGTTGATCATTGACTCTCATTGGCAACTTCATTCACACAACAACAACAACATACTTACTTTGAGTTGAATAGAACAATACAAGCTTCATTCAATCCTATCATTCATTGGTCTTCAATATATTGACGACGACGATAGACAACCCAATACCATCAATACGTTCAAACATACTTCATACTACTCCTCACTTCACAGCACTACAGTAACGACAGTAGGTATGTAGCTTTGCCCAAACAACAATCTCATGAATGAATGAATGAATGAATAAATGAATACTAACAAACATGTAAATATATACAGACTATAGGACAGACATAACATGACATTGTGCTAGCAGGTAGTCCAAAGAGATCCTCAACAACATAAGCACCAACACACTCTCTCTCCCTATCTCTATCCACCTACCTACCAACCTTTCATTCAATATACTTCCACTTCCACCTCCCCCACAGCCAGCCAGCGATAAACTATGGTAACGACAAAGAAGACAACCAGGAAGGAGGTGGTGCCGACTGAGCAACAGGCAGCGACGGCGGCAATTGACACGGATGGCGACCCTTCGCCCTCACTGCCTTCGATGCCCACGCTGCCGCGCACCAGCAAGCGCGCCTCCACCACAAAGAAGAGAAAGTACGTTTCCAAGTCGGCTGCCGCCGCCTCGGCACCCTCTGCGCAGACGCAACAAAAGCTGGACGAGATGTCGACCGAGCTCGACGAGCTGGTCGTGCGACGCCAATCTATGATCTACGAGCTCATGTTCCTGGAGCGCGACGAATCATCCAGTAGCAATCTTCTCGACTTTGACGTCAACAATCCAATGTTTGACGTCAGCAACTTTCAAGCCTACTGCCAAGAGAACCAATGGCCGATCAATCACAAGGTACTGGACATTCAACAACAACATCAACTACTACAACAGAGTGCTGCGGCTGTAGCATCGGCAACATCAACAACACAGACACAATCATCGACTCAACCACGACCGAGAGGACGTCCCAGATCGACGCCCGAGACGACACCAACCAAGTCCAATAACGCGGCTGTTTCATCATCGGCCGACACATCAGTCTCCGTGATGGACACGGACATCGTTGTGCCACAGCAGCCCATCAAGAAGTCGCGACTCGACGCAACTACAACGACGACAACAACAACAACAACAGCCGCAGCGACGTCAGCGGCGACCGATCTCTCTGCCACGGTGGCAGCAGGTTCATCGTTGAGTCTTCAGCAAGACTCAATGCAAATAGACAGCAACAACAACAACAATGATGTTGGCCAACAAGCGGTCAGCAACAGCATGGCTCAACCAGCCTCGAAATATACACAACCTCCATCAGTGCTCGCCATTATACCGCCAATGACACATGAGACGATTGCCAGAGCGGCGGAGGACGCTCAGACACTGCGCAGGATACACGAACTCCAGAGGGAGGGCACTTGGAGGAACAAGCAGCTGCAGAAGCTGCCAGAGCCCCCTCGCCCCAAGGTGCACTGGGACTATCTCCTCGAGGAGATGGCCGGTGTGGCCGAGGACTTTGCGCGCAGCCGACGACTCAAGACGCGTATAACCAAGGCGCTCGTCAAAGACGTGACTAAGTATCATCAGGGCGTGCAGAGCGCTCAGGACCGCGTGGAGCGCGAGGAAGAACTGAGGCGGCGCAGGGTGTCTGCCGGCATCGCACGCGAGATCAAGCGATTCTGGCAGCAGATCGGCAAGCTGGCCGAGTACAAGGAGCGGCTGGTCTACGAGTCGTCGCAGAAGCAGGTACGCGAGAAACAGTTGGACGATATTGTAAATAAGACCGAGCAGTACTCCAGTCTGATGGCCGAGGGCTTGCGCGAGCGCTCCAAGCTGCAGACCAAGGAGGTGGCCCGCACCCACTACACGTTGAAGGACATCCTCGAGGACCCCAGCAAGCTGGATCGCATTGCCAACCAGGACGACGACTCCGACACTGAATATGTCCCACCATCCGATCACGACGACGATGAGATGGACGACGACGAATCAGACATCAACGAGTCCGAGGAAGACTTGTCCAGCGAGGACCTGGACCAACTGACAAAGGAGAGCGAGATGCCATTGGATGAGTTGCTGGCGGCGACCGTGCCAGAGGGCGAGGGCGATGACGATGCGAGCGACGACGAGCAGATTGTCACCTCTTCAAAGAACAGAGTGATGCAGCCGACTGGCTTCACGCTCAAGACCACCAAGGTCAAGACTAAGGTGCCCTACCTTATCAAGTGCCACCTGCGAGAGTACCAACACATTGGCCTCGATTGGCTATCCAGCCTCTACGAGAAGAACCTGAACGGTGTGCTGGCGGACGAGATGGGTCTGGGCAAGACCGTGCAGACCATCTCGCTGCTGGCCTACCTGGCACTGGAGAAGCAAATCTGGGGCCCTCATCTGATCGTGGTGCCATCAAGTGTGCTGTTCAACTGGGACATGGAGTTCAAGCGCTGGTGCCCCGCATTCAAGATCCTCACATATCACGGCTCGCAGAAGGAGCGCAAGCATCTGCGACGCGGCTGGCTCAAAGCCAATACGTTCCACGTGTGCATCACATCGTACTCGACCATCATCACCGACCAGCTCATGTTCCGCCGTCGCAAGTGGGTCTACATGGTGCTGGACGAGGCGCACTCGATCAAGAACTTCAAGTCACAACGCTGGCAGACGCTGCTCAACTTCAACGCCGAGCGTCGTCTGCTGCTCACTGGAACTCCCCTGCAGAATAACCTCATGGAGCTGTGGTCTCTGATGCATTTCCTTATGCCCGACATCTTTGCATCGCATCGCGAGTTCTCAGACTGGTTCGCCAACCCTATGACGGGTGCCATTGAGAGCGGCTCAGGCATCAACGAGGAGCTGGTGCACCGTCTGCACTCTGTTCTGCGGCCATTCCTGCTGCGTCGTCTAAAGAAGGACGTTGAGAAGCAGCTGCCGCAAAAGCACACCCACATCGTGCCCTGCCACCTCAGCCGCCGCCAGCGTTACCTCTACGAGGAGTTCATCAACGCCCAAGCAACACAGTCCACACTGACCAGCGGCAACTACTTCTCGATCGTCAACATCCTGATGCAACTGCGCAAGGTCTGCAACCATCCCGACCTGTTTGAGCCGCGTCCCATCGTCTCGCCCTTTGACTCGGATCAGATCGTCTACGAGACCACGTCGTTGGTGAGCGACGCACTGGACAGCAGCCCCGCCCGACTAATCAATCTCGACCTGCTCAACCTGCGACTGCTCGACTACGAGACACAGCTCTGTCTGATGGATACCAACACAATCATCGAGTTGACGCCATCGGACAACAGAGTGCGCGAGATGCCACACTCTCTCTCGATCAAGTTGCCTCTTGGCTCATCATTCCAGGGACTCCCCACTTCGTCCCAGTCCTCATCCGGTCCTCAATCATGCCTGGATATCTTTATTGCAGCACGTCAAGAGCATTCGAATGCGCGACAAAAGGAGTCATTGGATCGCGTGCTCCTGCTGCGCCGTCGTTCATTCAACAAGCCAGTCTATGGACGCGATCTTGTGAGCACAGTTTCGATCAGCCACCCTATCAGGGACATTCACCAGCTGGCCGACGACCCGCGACACTACCTCGACTACTCCAACACGATCCTCTCAATGATCTTGACGCCCACCCAGCGCGAGCTGGTCATGCGTCCGACCATCGAGCATTTCGTCTCGCTGATCCCCAAGACTCGAGCACCACCCATCCGTCTGGTGGTTGCCCACCCCAACCCATCAAAGATGCTGGCGCAGGCACGCTTCGAAGCGCGCGTCCTCTCCACAATGGTCGACGCTGTGGACCCCCTTCGCGAGTCCTTCAAACGCCAGTCGCTCTACTTCCCCGACAAGCGACTGATCCAGTACGACTGCGGCAAGATGCAAGTGTTGGCCGAGCTGCTGCACAAGCTGCGTGCCAAAGGCCATCGCGCGCTCATCTTCACACAGTGGACCAAGATGCTGGACGTGTTCGAGTCGTTCCTCAACCTGCACGCCTTCACCTATCTTCGCCTTGACGGCGCGACCAAGGTCGAGAAGCGTCAGCTGCTGACCGAGCGCTTCAACCGCGACAACAAGATCTTCCTGATGATCCTTTCGACAAGGAGTGGCGGCCTCGGCCTCAACCTGACCGGTGCCGACACGGTCATCTTCTACGACACTGACTGGAACCCTTCGATGGACGCGCAGGCACAGGACCGTTGCCATCGCATTGGACAGACACGCGAGGTTAACATCTATCGACTGGTCACCCAGCACACGATCGAGGAGAACATCCTGCGCAAGTCCAATCAGAAGCGACAGCTGGACGACGTGGTCATCCAAGGTGGCGAGTTCACCACCGACTTTTTCAAGAACCTCAACCTGAACGAGGTGCTCGGACTGAACAGCGCGTCCGCTGCCGCATCAGTGATCACCGCACCCACACTCAAGCTCACTCAACAGGAGTGGGAGAACGCAACGGAGAAGGTTGAGGACGACACCGACGTCTCTGCGCTCAAGAATGCACAGAAGGAGCAAGCATCCGAGTTCCAAGAGTTTGACGAAGAGTCTGCAGGCACGACGCCACCATTCATCTCACAACAAGGCAATCCAAGCATTGAAGAGGAGCTCAAGATGCAGCAGGACCTTGTCGAGGACTATCTCAACCCAATTCAAAAGTAAGTTTGATGCATCGATCGATCAATCAATGGAACTATTCCACTAACCAAATCATTCATATTTATAGGTTGGCGCTGAGATATCTCGAGAACTTGGCAGACTATGTCACTGTTACAGGTGAACCACAAGCTGAAGAAGAAGATGATGATGTGGAGATGAAGGAAGAGGACGATGACGAGCAGGTGCCACCAGAGAAGATGGATGATGAGGTAGATGACGACGACGATGACGATGATGACGACGATGACGACGACGAAGAGACAAACGATCTATTACAGAATGGGAGTGGTAGTGCAATGACAGGCAACAACAATGGCACAGCATCATCAGCACCACACACCAATGGGGACCCCAATAGCCACCCTCCCGTTGGGAGGCTCACAATGATCGATCGTATGAGGTCAAACTCAACAGAGAAAGACGATGTACAACCAGAACAAGAAGCTGAAAAGGACATCCTTTTTTTTGAGGTATGATTGGTCGATTGATCAAAGGATGGATAACTTGGATGTTTGACACTCACACAACCAATCAATCAATCAATCAAACTAATCCAGTTGAGTGGAGTAAGTAGTGAAGAGTTTCATTCCTCTCTGTTACTATTTGGTGAGCTGTTGCAAACGGTTCCTGAGCCCGACCAGGAACAATGGTACTTGGCACCGATGCAAGAGCCAATTCCCGAGATCCTCTTTGAGCAGGTGCTCAAGGATCAAGACGAATACTACCACCAGCATTACCACTATTTATATCCACCATCACCTCCGACCATATCATTCGACTCGTTGGTCAAGCCCAGCCACACGAAGCTCATGAGAGGAAACATTATCAAGCAGACGGCGCAGCAGTACATCTACTCCAAGCACGTCACCAAGGAGAAGGAGAAAGAGAAGCGACTGCTGATCAAGCAGAAGAAGGAGAAGGACAAGCGCGAGAAGATGCGTCTGGAGGAGGAGCGCAAGGCCAGGGAGAAGAAGGAGCAGAGGAAGCAGCAGCGCGACAAGTCTGCCAGTCCCCAGCTCAAGGACTCGTCGTCCAAGCGCAAGAGGACCGGTGAGTCGGCCTCACACCCCAAGAAGGCCTTGAAGCCGGACGACATTATCGTCACATCTGGCAGCCACACCGACGACCTGGATGAGCTTGCCGAGAATGTCGAAATGATGATCCACAACAACCGAGACGATGGAAGCGCAGACGACTCAAACAATGCCGAGAGCGCGAGTGGTGGCAGCAACACCAAAAAGCACCGCCCGCCCTCCAAGCAGGGTGGACTCTTTGCTCCACGTACTGGCACCACGAGGAAGAAGACAACGAGCGAGCCATCAAGCGACGAAGGCGGCTACCCCCTGGGCGCATCGGCACAGAATCCCAATATGATGGCCCCACCACAGCCCGAGCTGATCTTGGGGCCCCCATGGTATCCTCAGGAAGATGCGATCATCCTCGATGCTGTCAGATCCTATGGACAGAACTGGGACCTGGTCTCCTATCTCTTGGAGCAATCGGTGTTTGAGCATGTTGTGCGTTACAAACGCTCACGTGTCCAGTGTGCCGAGCGATACAAGGCACTGTTCCCCAAGGAGACTGGCGCGTCTGGTGGCGAGAAAAAGCCCTCAGAGTCCTCGTCCACACACGAAGGCCCCTTCCCCTATTCACTGTTGGACATGATCAGGAAGTCTATCTCATCAAACAAGCTGATTTGTCGACAGGGCACAGTATCGCAGATCGAGAACAAGGCGATACACGTCTCACATCAGACAACATTGACGATGGCAACCCCGAGGACAGCCAGCGAGATTGCACTTGGAACAACGTCGAGGATCATCAAGGAGCGAATTGCCGCGAAGCAACAGGCTCAGTTGGCCGCCAGCCAACTCCAGCGACCAAACATACCCCAGCCAAATCAACTCCAACCCCAACAGAATGTGCAACAACAACAACAGCCACATCTCCAGCAACAGATGCCACAACAGCTACAACAACCAATGGCACAGATGCCTCCGCAGCAGCAGATACCTCAACAACCCCAGCAAGTCCCACAACCTCAACCGATCCAAACGATAGGAGCTCAACACATGAGCATGATCCCGCAGCAGGCACATGGCGTCCCAATTCAAGTGCCACCAAACATGCAGATAGGCATGGCGCCTCAGATGATCCAGCACATCAACCCACCTCAAATGGCCATTCCCATTCCTCAGGTCATGCCAGGTCAGCCTAGGATGGTTGGTGTTCCGATGGGTGTCGTTGGTCAAAAGACCATGATGACATCCAGCGGCAACGTTCCAATTCAAGTGCAGGCCTATGCCAATCAGATGATCGCCAGTCCACAGACGACCATGTATGTTCCCCAGCAACAGCAGCAACCTCAACAACCTTTGATTGCCAAGCCTGCAGCCCCGCCCAACATCAACATCAATGTGTCATCCAACTCTATGACACCATCGATTCAACCGCAGCAACCTGCGCAAGTGTACACCACTCCGATACAAGCACCCGCTGAAACACCAGCACCTCCTCCCAAGCCAACGTCAAAGCGATCCAAGAAGGATCCGGCCGCGCCTAAGGCTCGACGATCCAAGTCAGCTGCTACTGTGGCACCGCCAGTCGTCCCAGCAAACACTGGGAATAGCATGGTCAACCAACCATCAATCCAGGCTCAAATCCAGTCACAGATATTGCAACAGCAGCAACTGCAGCAGCAACAGCATCCACCGCCAATGTAAAGAATTTATAAATTAATAGTATAGTATTCCAGATTATGTCGTTTATTGTGTATTTGTCGTGTCGTAATTATTACTGGATGATCGATCGAATGTCATTCATTCATTCCAGTCACGTGTACAATCCTTCTGAAAAAGATGTGGTGCTGGTAATGAGCAATTTCGATTCAATTTCATTCAAATCTTCAATAACGACTACAACAACAAACAAACAAATAATAATAACCATGTGTAAGAGAGTTACTTGTCAGAGCTGTGGAAAGGAGACTTGGGCAGGTATGTATACAACTAATACACACTACACTGATCAATGAGATAAGATTACTCATACTATTATCAACATAGGTTGTGGAATGCACATTGAGACTGCTCTGAAGGATGTTCCAGAGGCTGAGAGATGTCAATGCCCAAGAAAATGATGCAGTTACTTATAGGAACTGAGGAAAGGGAGGGAGGAAGGAAGGAATAGTCTATATTGTTATCTATTTGATTATATATTCACAACAACGATTGACTACAACGACGATAACACCGACGGTTTATTTCATTGCGCAAATAGTGTAGGCAAGAGAAAGAGCAAGAGGAAGAGGAGCAAGAGGAAGAGGAAGACCATTATTGCTTAAACGAACTAAACTTGACTAAATAAATATCTGGTGCAAACCAAGTGTTGCCAGCATTGGACTCATGAATATGCTTGTGACAAAGTAGTACAGAACACCAAGGGCGATACTAATTGGTAGCGCTGGCAATGCTCTCCTGAAGATAGCCAACAATAACATCGTAATGAACAGTCCCTGAGAGTTTACAAGTACGAAAGGACGGAGTTATTATCGACTCGAAATGATAGATGTCCTTTCAATCATTCACTACTTACAGTCATGACAGCAACAAAGCAAGCAAACACAACCTCAATGTTGTGATACTGTGAACGGCCAACTAGGACACTGTAGAAGACAAAGTCACCTAGTCCTAGCTTGACACCACCTTTGGAAGGTCGCTCCTCAGCAGAGTTGTCGTCCTCAAATGTTTCGGGCTCAGAGGACACACCACTCTCAGTCAAAGGTGAGGACTTTGGCTCACTCTCTTGCATGTCCATTGTTGTTTCCAATTTATCAGTTGATGATGGTGATATACCTTCTGTCGTCGTTGTGGTTGATTCTCCATCAGTTGTCGATGATGTTGTAGTTGGTAGATTTATCGGTAATGAGGATGGCGAGTAACCTGTTGGCGAGTTGCCACCAACAGGTCTAATTCTATCAATACTCATTTGTTCGGTTTCGTTGTCTGCAACCATTGTTATATATACACTTGCTAGAAGTGATTGGGGAGTTATGTCAATAACAATTCCTGGATAATCGCAGAGATAATGACCTACCATTATAGATAAGAGCGGGTATCTCTCCACCTCTCTCCTTTGATATTTCGATCAGTTTCCTTAGAGGTCCATTGGGACACAGCACGGCAAAGATGTCGTATATGGATACAACAGTGAGTAATGCCCATGTTGTCCATTCAGGGAATCTAGCAATGAACAATGCCATAATAACACTAAGGATAATAAGATAGAACTGATTGATCAGCTTTGGACTATGCCAGAATATACACATTGCTCCTCCAATACTAAAGTTCCAGACGATGATCACAAAAGTTGCATAGTCCAATGCTTGGTTGACACATGTAAGGACAAATCTGTAATCAGGGAAGGGATATGTCAGTCGGGAACATGATCGGGAGGGTATATCCAGGATTACATACGCGAGAATGAATCCTCCAAACACTCCCAAGATTAGGAGTGATGTGATTAGCAGCCATCCATATAATGCCTTCATGTACTTGAACTTGTAGAGTACAACCATCATGACTGTGCTGAATATAGTGACACCGAGGAAGGTCAATGTGTTGATGGTAGTCGATAGAATAACCTTTTGAAGTTTGTTGTCTGTTTCGAATAGTGATAGCTTGGCAAGTACTGACAGAGGTGATGCTCCACTTCTCATTTGGAATTGTGTCATCGTACGCAGGATCACAACTACCAATATCATAGTGATGCTCACTGGTATGGCAATTGACATCAATTGATCAGAGTAATCTACCAGCGTGATTATCTCGTCTTCATCTTCATCTTTTGAATCGATTTCATAACTATCATCATCGTCATCTTCGTCATCATTATCTATATAACTGTCATCCTCTTCATTATCCAAATCCTTTACATTTGTCGATCCATTGGTATTTGTATATATTATACTCGTATTACAATGTATATCTATATTATCATCATTATCATCGTCACTATCTATATCATTATTATTATTATTATTATTATTCCCATCTTGTGCTTGATCTAGTTGTGGTATATTATTATTGTTATTACTACTACTACTACTATTATTATTATTATTGTCTTCTGATTGAACAGTTTCCTGGGTAGTCTTATCGATCTCCATTACTTTCTAAGACCTGGTTGATTGATTGATTCTAAATGATTATTATTATATACAATAATTCGATGTTGTTATTGTTGGTCCTTAAACAATCACAATATTGTGAATGAACTGAGGTGGCAATAGCTGGAACAGCAACAGGGCAGTGCAGTGCAACAACATCAACAAGTCAACAAGTCAACAATAGACGTAGGGGATGGGACAGGACAAAACAGGACAAGACATCGCGATGTAGGAGCGACGATTCATCCTTCAATCCACTATCCTCATGCACTTCTGCAGAACGATGTGCGGATCTCGAATGCAGTGTGTATGGGTGTGTATGAACACTCTGTCGATTAAGTCGTTGATTGAAGTAGTGTCTCTGTCTATGTGTGTGTGTGTGTTGGATAGATAGAGATGGATGAGGGGGTAAGTGTAGAACAGAGATGGGGACATGACCATAATAATACAACAGATGTCTATATAAATATATATATATATATATGCGATTGATTGTTGTAAGTATTGTCTTATGTGTGTGTACAAATATAAATACAAATAATATTATTATTATCTGTTTGTGTGTATGTATGTATGTATACACAACCAATCGGGATATATGTATTTGAACATATATATAATTAGTTGGGGGAGCTGGAAGAGATGTTCGTATCACGTGTCCATCGGTCAAACCAAGGTCCTTCAATATGATAATCAATCTCTCCTTCTGTTGTTGTCGTAGTGTTGTTATCGCCACTGCTGTTGTTTGTCATAAGTATATCTTTGTTACCAGACCAATGTGCATAGTCAATTGGTACAGCACGTTGGCTGGCACTCCTTAGACTCATCTTGACCTCTTGATGCTGTTGTTGTTCCAGTGGTTGCCCACTGACTTGGTCCACGTCGATGGGATTGAAACCACTTGGATCGGATGTCTTTTGGAATCTAAAGTCGACAGTCCAACGAACAGAGTTACTCATGTTTGGCAAGCTTTGATGTACTGTACTGTTCTTGAACAGTACAACTGAGCCTCGTCGCAATCCCACTGTCTCAACCACCTGTCTGTCAGCTGGTAGCTCACTCTCCAAGATCTCAAGGTACCACGAGTCCTTAAGATCATCTGTGCCGCGTAGACGTTGCAGGGTGTGTGTGTAGAGTGGCTGGTCTGGCTGCTGTCTAATCATCACAAGCGGACCATTCTCTTTAGTGATGTTCACCAAGGGTATCCAACAGGTGATCTGGTCGAGCTTCTCTGCACCCTCAGACAGGTACGCAGCGTCCTGATGCCAGGGCACGTCGAATGACTTGTTGTTTGGTGTCTTGACGCGTAGGTTCCACTCTGGATGTCCACTGATATCGCTTGTGTCAAGCAGTTGTTGAACGATGTCTAGCAATACAGGCTTGGTCATCAGATGACCAAAGGAGTGTGGCAGTCTACCTGCGAACTTTGTATGAAGCATGATGGGTGCACCCTTGAACAGACGTTCCATATCCAACACTCTCTGTTGAAGATCATTCATCAACAACTCTATTTGATGTCCTATAGCAAGTTTCTTTCTCTTTTGTCTTTGCTCCTCAGTAGTAGTTGTAGTCTGTTGTTGTTGTTGTATCTTATTATGTTTGATAAGCAATGACTCCAAGTCATCTAATCTAACTTGTACATCTTCAAACACCTTCAATGTATCTTGATCATCAATGATGCCATGTAGTATTATATATCCATTCTCATTGAATGATTGGATGTCTTCCAATGTCAGCTTAATAGGAGGTGTAGTATATGACATAACTTGAATTATCTCTTTCTTTGATTGATTCTCTCAAGTTCATCAATTGATAGTGTTGTGTATGAGTGGGGTGTAGGATGTGGGGCGGAGGCTGGAACTATTCCAGCCCCATCATTAATGATTACTTTATTGAATATTGATTGATTGATTGTATTAATGATTGAAACATGTTTGAATGAATGGATGACTGATCGTCTATCTTCTTCTGTTGGACTTGATGAGAGCACCATCGACATTGAGCATGTCCTTGTCAACCAAGAAACAAGCCTTGTTGGTGTTGTCAAACTTGTTGTCACCGACAACAGTTCCAAGTGCAGTGTATCCAGCTGGTGGAGTCAATTGGAGACAAATGTTCTGGGTGGTCTTGACGTAGTAGAAGTATCTGCCCATGGACTTGAAGACAAAGGTGGCGCCGCTGGCATCGGTCTCTGTGACATCGACATTTGGCACCAACTTGGATGGATCGAGCTTTCCTTGTTTGTCGGCGCTGTCATCCCAGATTGAGCCGCTGACCTTGTGCGTCTTGATCAGACCGTAGTGGGCATTGGTGATGTCTGGTCCCAGCTTGAAACAGTAGACACCGGCATTGTCAAACTTGGAGTCCTTGTTCTTGAGTGATGGCCAGTAGCCGCCAGCAGTGTATGTACCCTGGATACAGTAATCGCCTGCAGGTATGTTCTCAAACTCATAAGTGCCTGCACTAGTGGCAGTGTTGTCCAAAGTGATCAAATCCTTTCCGTTCTTATCCTTGAGCACCATGACCACACCAGCCAATGGCTTGTTGATATCAAGTGTTCCTTGATCAAGTGCCGAGTCATCCCAAATATTTCCACTGATGCTGAACGTTGGAGCCTCGACCATGGCTATGATGATTGATTGATCAGTATGATTACACTCATTCTCTCAATCAATCAATCAAATATTGATGATACATACCACCCTTGAGATCCAGTCCATCTCTTTCGAGTTTGAAGCAGTAGTTGCCAGTGCTGTCAAAGAGGTTGTCGTTCTTCTTGACGGTGGATGGGACGTACTTGCCATCGGGGGAAGTGAGGGTCATGCACACCATACCCTGGGGTGCCCTGATCTTCAGAGGTCCATTTGTTGTGGTCAAGAGTGGGTAATTGGTGGAACCCTCGGCATCCTTCAACTGAACCTTGATTCCAGAGATGTTCTTAGTAGAATCATACAGACCCTGGTTGGTAACAGTGTCATCCCAAACGGTCAATGTGTAGTTGCGGTATAATGATGCACCTGGATTGATTGATTGATGGATTGAGTGAGTGATCGATCGAATGAGCGTATGATCCACGTGACTTACGAATATTGGCATCGATCATATCTGGACCAAGAGTGAAACAGTATGATAAGTCCTTGAACTTGCTGTCACCCTTGGGAATGAGCCAGGTGTGATACTTGGTCTCGACGGGTGTGGCCTTGAGACAGTAATCGCCAGCTGGCATGTCAGCAAAGGAGAAGTTTCCATTGAACGTTGGCACAGAGTTGAGCACTTGACCATCCTTGTCCGTGAGATCCATCTTCATCGCGCCATTCAATGGCTTGGAAGTGTCGAGGAGACCTGCGTTGCTGGCCGAGTCATCCCAGGCGAAACCGGAAACATTGAACACGGTCCTGACCATGGCACCCTTGATTGATGGGTTACTCTTGTCCAAAGTGAAGCAGTACCTGCCATTGCTGTCAAAGATGTTGTCGTTCTTCATGACACTGGATGGGATGTATTTGCCAAATGGTGGCAGCAGGTTGATGCACAGTTTACCTGGTGGACCCTTAAGAATGAGTGCACCGCCATATGAAGCTCGTTTGTAGATCAGCACTCCATCTTCGTCCCTCAACTCAAAGTTGATTCCTTGGATCAGCTTGTCCTCATCGAATATTCCTTGGTTGTCAGTGGTATCATCCCATATTCTAATGCTGTATGAGAGTAACTTGGTGGAGCCTAATTTTGTCGAATGTTAGTGCACTGATATATCTTCAATCAATCAAACTTACGAATATGGGCATTGGTGATATCATCTGGACCGAGGGTGAAACAGTATTTGCCGCCATCGAACTTGCTGTCCTTTCTTGGCATGCCCCACCAGTAGTACTGGTTACCAGCAACCTTCAAAGTAGCATTGATACAGTAGTCGCCAGCATCGAGGTCGGTGAAGGAGTATGCACCGGTCACAGTCTTTGATTCTAACACATTACCATCCTTGTCTGTGAGGTTCATTCCCCATGGACCAAATAGCTTGGTCTTGTCCAAAGTGCCTTGATTGAGCTCAGAGTCATCCCAAGCGAATCCAGACACAGAGAACTTAGTCCTTGGCTTGTATAAGGCTGATTGATTAATCAAGGGTGTTAGTGTCAATTAATTGATGGATTGAACGTGTTGCGATACATACCTCCAAGGTATTTAACATTGTCAGTGTCGAGATCGAAGCACAGTGTACCCTTGTCATCAAAGTGGTTGTCTTGGTCATGGGCTTCGGATGGTAGGAAGTCTGGTTTGCTAATAGCGAGACAGTAGCTGCCTTGTGGAAGATTAATGTGGAGGGGACCTTGTGGTGTGGTAAGAGTGCTGATCACCTTGCCCTCTGCGTCAATGACCTCAACCTTTACGTCAGACATAACCTTTGTAGGGTCATGAATGCCCTTGTTCAGCAAAGAGTCATCCCAGACCTCAACATCCAATCCAAACATCTTGACCCAACCAATGTTGGCATCTGTGACATCTGAATCAATGATTCTGAAACAGTACTTGCCGCCTGGGTTGGTGAAGTGGTTGTCGTTCTTGTTGACACCGAGGGAGTAGGTGTTGTCGGTTCTGGAGGCGGTTAGACAGTAGCTGCCGGGTGTGAGGTCTTCGAATGAGTAGGCTCCAGTCAAGTCATTTTGAGTCGCCACAGTCTTGCCATCCTTGCTCAATACCATGCGAACACCACCAAATGGCTTGTCCTTGTTCATAATACCCTTGTTGTTCTGAGAGTCATTCCAGATGAATCCAGATACCTTGTTGGTCTTCCTGACCAAGGCTGTATGATTGATGGGGGTTGGGTCAGTGAGTGTGGCGGATGGGATAGTTCCACGAATGGGTTACATACCAAGATGTGCGGTGGTGATGGATGGACCAACATTGAAACAGTACTCGCCATTCTCAAAGACGTTGTCGTTTTGCTTGGGACCTGCAGTGAATGCTGAGTCACCTGGGGTGGCCTTGACCCAGTATGATCCGGCGGGGAGTCCAGTGAGTTCAAACTCTCCAGTGGCATAGTCAATGGTTCTGATCAAATGTCTTGATTGAGCTCCAACTTAGTACCATCAACCTTGCTATTCTTGTCCAACAGACCATTCTTGTGCAGGGTATCATCCCATATCACACCAGCAACACTATACGCTGGCTCATTGATCGTGGCTACCATGGTTGATTGATTGACGAGTTAGTGAGTGATCGATTATTAGATTGATTCATTGTTGACATACCCAAATGAGCGTTATCAACGTCTGGACCAAGATGGAAGCAGTGGGAACCGTCAATGTAGACGTTGTCATTTCTGGAACTAACTTTTCATTGGTGTCGAAGCCAGAGGCACAGTACACACAAGCGTTAAGACCATGGAACTCATAGCTTCCATCCACACTGGTTAACGCGGATCTAATAACACGGTACTCGCTATCATACAGATCAATTTTGACAAGCGCTACAATAGTTGAGTGATTAAATGATGAGTGAGTGGTGGAATGGTTCCAGGTATGATCACTAACTTACCAAAGTGAGCATTGCTCTTGCTTGGATTGGCCACGAAGCAATTTCTGCCATTGTTGAAGGCGTTGTCATTCTTGTAGAGACCAGCAACGTAGTTGGGTGATGTTGGTATGGCTTCAATGCAGTAGAGTTGATCGTTGAGGCCATTGAAGAGGTAGGCACCATTGGTACCAGTGGTCCTCGAGATCTCTTTACCAGTGCTATCCTTCAGAACCATTGTGGCACCGTTGAACCTCTTTCTCATGTCGAGGATACCTGGTTCTTGGCTGAGTCATCCCAGATGATACCCTGGATAAAGAAGGTTTGAGTGGTGATCATGGCCAAATGGATGTTCTCATTGCTTGGACCAACGTCTACACAAACCAGCCTGGACAGTGTGATTCATTCGAAAAATAATATTAGGTAATAATAATTAATTCTTTATTTTATCCCATAGTTTCCAAATAACAATGAAGAATATAACATTAGTTATATTTTTATTTATTACCCTATCTTGTTCATATTTGGTAAATTCTGGTAAGTTCAAGAAATGATCAATTTTGAGCCAAAATACTCCAATTTTGCAAATGATCATGTGATCAATGATCAATCACAAGATATCACTGGAGGAGGAGGAGGTGAGGTTGCCAGTCAGTCAGACAGCATGATCCAACAATCATCATAGAAGTTACCAAACACTCATACAACTATTCGAGTGTATTGGAAATTATCCTTCCTCCTCAATAATGATCATTACACTATTTAAATTCTTTTCGTGGGAGGCTAAACATCATATGAATATTTAATGTCCACATCTTTGTATGATTGGCTGGATTCCAATCACATACATCGTCGAATGAATGGGGAATGGAATTACAGGGCAAATGTAAGTAAGGGGGTCTCCAAACATTAAACCCCCATCATTGGCTCTACACCTGTGTGCGCTTGGTCAATTGTCGGATTGATCATTCAACCACTTCAAGGCTCAGTTTAGCACACACTCACACATCCAATCAACCATCATTGTGAGTTTGACCGTCTTCACCACTCGCTGTGTATTGATGATCCATTCGCAATCACAAACATCAGCACACAATCCTAAAACTCAAGAATGATTCCACACTCTGGGTCGCAATGTTTAATAAATACTTAGAGGTCTGGCTTGATCGTCCAGAGCTTGAGGGTTTTGCTAAACACTGCTACACTCTTCAGAAGGCTGCGGAACAAGGGAGCTTGGTCAGCTGATATCGAGAGCGCAAAGTGATCAATGATGGCCTGTGTAGTTGAGTTGCCGCCTTTGCTCATGAGGAAATCAAAGATGTTCTTGATGATGTCCGACGGCTTGATTCCACCAAACATCTCGGATGCCTTCTCGATATCCGATTGTTGCAGTGTGGAGAGGATTGCAGAGGAGTCCAGACTGGCCTTGCCGGCTTGACCCACCAGTGGTTTGTTGTTGTTGTTCATCTTGTTGTCCGGTATGATCGACACGATGGGCTGGAGTGTTGGAGATGCTGGGGTATAGATAGCCTTGTTCTTGTTTCCGAATCTACCACCTGTTGTTGCTGGTGGAGGACTGGCAATGAGACCCTCGAGTGGGTGCCCAGCCAAGGTCGAAGGGATGCCCGATGTGCCCGATCGTCCTGTCCATGTTGGAGTCGACAGTCGATTGCCTTGTGACTCGATCTTGGCCCTCGACAACTTGATGAGCTCCACAGCCTTGTTGGCAATCTTGGTTGCCTCGTTCTCCAACAAAGAAGCCTCGGGTCCTGATTGCTCCATGATGCTGTCATGCTTCAGAGCACTCTTCAATCCCTCCTTCTCAAACAAATGTTTGAGAATATATGCATCCTCTGACTCCTTGGTCTCATCGTCGTTGTTGTTGTCGTTGCTGCCTCCGCCTGGCTGATATGGTCGCGTCTGGTATGTTGGACTGTCGGCATCGGCGGCTGGTGGACTGTCAACACCACTGTTGCCCCTCTTCCTCTGCTGGCTCGCAGCAAAGTCCTCGGGTAGGATCTCTGAGTTTGTTCCATTGAAGATATCGCCAGTCTCTGAGCCCTTGACCACCTTGTTGTAGGACAAGAGATCTTTGAAGTGGCGCGACCTGAAGAATCTCTTCTGACGTGGATCCTTGAGGATCTTGTTCGAGAGGAACTGCTTGTATATCTGGCGATGGTATATCTTCTCCTCGATCGTGCCCGTAGTCATCAATCGGTAGATGGTGACGGACTTGAGCTGGCCAATACGGTACACACGCTCCCTCGCCTGGATGTCGGTGGACGGGTTCCAATCGGGATCGAACAGAATGACACGGTTGGCGCCAGTGAGATTGATTCCCAATCCACCAACCTTGGTCGTGAGCAGGAAGATGAACAGAGTCGGATCTTGATTAAACTCCTCGACCAACGACTGTCTCGTCTTGACAGACGTAGTGCCATCCATTCTTCGATAGGTGAGGCCACACTCGACGATGAACGACTCGACAATGTCGAGCATCTGTCTGGTCTGGCAGAACAGCAACACCTTGTGGCCTTGTTGCTGCCACATGGGCAGAATCTGCTGCACCACCTTGAGCTTGGCAGATCGCTCCACATTGCCGTAATCATACGGCTTGTCCTCACCGTCCTTTAGCAGGATGTCGGGATGATTGCACACCTTCTTGAGAATGTCGATAGCGTAGAGAAGGTTCTTCTTGCCATCCAGCACATCTGTGGCCTCATTGCTCGCCAAGAACTTAAGGTACTCGCGTTCTTGGAATGGCGTCAGAGGACAGAGCAGAACCTGTTCATTCTTGGACGGCAGGGACTGCAGCACGTCAGCCTTGATACGACGGAGCATGTAGGGCGATATCAAGTTGCGCAGAGCAACGGCGCATTGATAGGCCGTCTGCACCTGCAGCGTGGAGGCATTGGCGTAGCCTCCCAGTGAGATGGGCACGGCGAACTGCGTCTTGAAGATGGGCAGTGTGCCAAGCTTGCCAGGGAACACAAAGTCAAAGAGCGACCAGAGCTCAGTGAGCTTGTTCTGGATGGGTGAGCCAGAGAGGATGATTCGATGGCTGGTCGGGAACTGCTTGACCGAGAGTGTTACGTCGGCATCGGGATTGCGTATCTTGTGTCCCTCGTCCAAGATGATGTACTCCCAATGATGTTTGAGTAGAGTATCTTGATTGATTCGAACACTCTCGTACGTTGTCATCAGGATGTGACCCTTGGATGCCACGGTCTCAATGAGTTGCTTCATTGTCTTCTTGTCCTTGTTACTTGTGCCACTGGAGTGATAGAGAATGGCTCTGAATGGAGGCCACCAGGTGTGTATCTCCTTGACCCAGTTGGAGAGCAATGTCGCTGGTGCAATGATGAGTGCTGGGCCTCCAAGCATCTTGCTGTAGTGAAGTGATGCCAGGAATGAGATGATCTGGACAGTCTTGCCAAGGCCCATCTCATCTCCGATGATGCCACCACACTCTTGGTTGTGCAGCTCCCACATCCACTTGACACAGGTGACCTGATACTCGAACAGTCTGTGATATACCTCGTATGGTATCTTGAAGTCGCCGTCGACTTGGAAGTCCTCGCCAAACTCATCATCGTCGTCCTGCTCCTCCAGTGACTTGTCCAACTCAGCCACCTCCTCCTCGAGCACCTGCTCATTTTCAATCTCTTGTTTGTCGTCCAGCTCGCCTTGTGAGTTATCATTGAGCAGGTTTACAATGGCATCTTCGTCCTCCACATCAATGTTCTCGTCTAGGTGTTCGGAGGTGGTGATTGGGCTCATCTCACTCTCGTCCAGTGGTTGTTGCTGCTGAGCTGAGGTGGTCACTGGTCTGTTGCTGATGCCCAGCAGTTTGTTGGTGTAGTTTGTTTGTTTGCGTAATCTGTCCTTCTTCCAAAGGTACAGTCGATCCTGATAGTTGCTCTCGTTGGCATCGTCTCGCCACAGCTCTTGATGTATGTCAATTGATATCTTCTCCTTCTTCTTGTTTTTCTTTGACCGGTTATCCTCCTCCTCTTCCTCCTCTTCCTCTTCTTCGTCTATGTAATCTTCATCGTCATCTTTGACCTCCATCACTTCGTCGTCGTCGTCATCGTCATCCTCTTCATGTTCTTCTCCTCCATCATCATCGGCATCAACATCAACAGGATCTTCATTGCCGTCAACATTGATTGCACTCTCGTCATTCTCCTCATTCACTTCGTTGTCTACTTCCATCGCCTCGTCAACAACATCTTCGTCTTGGATCTCCTCTTCCTCCTCCTCGTCGCTCAGCACAATGTCATCATTCTTGAGATCATCGTAGAATGTTGTTGACTTTTTGGAATGCTGTTTGTTGGCATTCTCCATCCACTTCTTTCGCTTCTCATGACGCTCTTCTGCAGCGGCAGAGTTGACACCAGGCTTGAGACCCTTGCTTCTTCTCGTCGTTGATGAATAGCGTCCACCACTATCCAACCGACTTGATCTACCACCTGCTCCACCTCCAGCTTGACTTGTATTGTCCATGACTGGAATAACGATTGCTTTCCTGCTCTGTTGTCTATCTCGCGAGATTGATTGATTAGACCTTGCCAAGCCAGACTTCATTCATTCATTGATTGAATGTACATACACATTTGCGAATGGAGTGATCTTGCCCATTCTTATCAGCCTCTCTTTCTCATTCTCCCTTGACTGGCCACCAAACCCAAAGGCACGATCCAGTGAGCTTGGCGCATTGAACTCTGCAGAATTGGCTGGCTTGTACTTCTTCTGCCTCTCCATCTTCTGCAGATCCTCCTCCAACTTCTTCTTTTGGCCATTGAGCTTCCTCTCCTCAGCATTAAGCTCATCAAGTCTCTTTTGCTACTCGATCAATCAATCAATCAATCGTTAGCAGTGATTATGGTACGAACTAGCCACGAGGTACACATACCTTGAGAGTCTTTAACACAATCAAACTGTTGATGACCTCTTCAGGATCGATGGCAGACTTGGGTGCAAAGGTAGTGGCCTTTATATGATCATGGTTCTTCTCGATAAAGTCTTGTATTGATGATATCTCATTGCGCACCTTGTTAAGCTTCTTTGTAAGCTCTCTGATCTGATCTTGCGCGATTGCCTGATCGATCGAATTGATAACATTCTCCTCGACTGATCTTGAACTCATAGTTGACACTCCCATCTTTGAAAGTGAGTCCAGTGTCTGACCAGAGAATGATGATTGCTGTGATGATGATGATGATTGCTTCGTTGTCATTGTATTCTTGTTTTTGTTATTGTTGTTATTGTTAATCATACTGCTGTTCGCAGCCCTCTTTGATGTAGATGCGCCACCCTTGCTCGTTTGTTGAGCAGGTCTTGAAAGTCCATTGTTATTCCTCTGTGCTGTGGATGATGTAGATGTTGTAGATGTTGTAGAGGTTGTAGTTGTTGTTGAAGTTGCTGCGCTCCATTTATTGAGACTTGGATCAATTGTACTCAGTCTGGCCTTCTTTCTTGTTATGAATATATTTGAAGAAGATGATCCATTCTCATTGTTATTATTATCATCATCATTGTCGTCATTATGTTGTCCAATGTAGTTATCCATGTTACAACTTGTACAACTTCAGTCTAGGTTTTAAAGTGATTCAAATGATGTCAAAGAGGGTGATCTTTGTCAAAGATGGAATTGACAACGGACCACTTCCAAGAAATTCAAGAGACTCAACCGGCCTCACCAAGAGACTTGACTGTTTCACTCTTTTTTGTGTGAAAGTAGCTCAAATTTATGTTCTAGATCTAGAGTCTGGACTTGGGAAACTAAATAATAATTGATTTATTTACATGGATGGTTTGTTTGTCCCGGTTGGCGATGCAATGGCATTGTTGTTGTTGGAGATGTTGGAGATGTTATTGTTGGAAGACACAAACACTGGACTGTATAGCCCAATGTCGTTGAAGCAACGGTTTAGATTGAGTTCGGTTGAGGAGTAGAGTGGAGTGGATGACACTGATGTCTGTTGTTGTTGTGTCTGTTGTGTCTGTACACTATTGTTTGTTATATCGCTGTTGTTGTTGCCATTGATTGTAGTCACCTCGGGTATGTCGGGCAAAAGATCGATAGAGGATGATGGGATGTACAATGTATGATGAGGAATAGGTTGTTTGAAGAATATAGGTTGTTGTTGTTGCTGTTGTTGTTGTTGTTGCTGGTGTTGTTGATATTGGAGTTGGAGCTCTGGAGGTGTTTGAGTTGGATGTCCAGTGGATGTCACCAATGGAGACTGGTGAACCTCACATGGTTGGTATAAATATTGTTGTTGAGGTTGAGATTGTTGTTGCTGTTGTTGTTGCTGCTGTTGATGTTGATGTTGTTGATAGTACATCGTTGTAGTTGATGCTAATAGAGTGTCGCGCATCTTATATTGGTTGACCATTGAGTTGAACCTTGGGTCAGCTCCACAGAGTGCATCGAGTGGTGCTATCAAGGCATTGGGATTGAAGCGCAACACATGTCTCATGCACATTGACGCCTCACCCTTGGTGAAGTCGCCACACTGTCTGTAGACTGGGCCGCCTGCAACCTCCTCATGGTGGGCCTCAAAGAACAATGGAGACACGGTCACCATCACAACCAACTCTATCAATCCGTCTGGTTGGGGAAGGAGCTCCAAAGCGGACACATCATCAAAGTTCACCTCCATCTTGGCCAACATCGATGTCTGATCGATCACCTCCCAAATGAACTTGCGCTCGGTATATGAGAAGCGTGCCACCAAGTCGCCGCAGTAACTGGACAACTTCTCCCAAGCTCCAATAGTGATGGACAACGCGGGTACATCTGAGAACTTGTAAACAGCACCAGAGGTTGGAACTGGCGATGGTGATGGGTGTTGGACTTGAGGCTGGGGTTGGGGTTGGCTGTGATGGACCTGGGCCTGTGCATGGGGCTGATGACCTTGATGTTGTTGTTGGCAACTCTGATCGGTTGATGGTTGCAATTGGAATTGTTCCATCTTGGCAGGATGCATGGCACCGTGGCAAACTGAGAGAGGCGGAGACATCATGGCGCATGAGTTGGCTGCGGCTGCTGATGCAGCGGCGGCGGCCGCGGATGCAGGGAGAATGGGGCGTGGCGAGCGAGAGTAGAGTGCCATTGGGGAGAACTGTGGCGTGTTCTTTGGCGAAATGAATGGACTGCCACATGTGACCGGACCCATTGGCTCACCAGGCATGGCATGATGGCCAGGATATGGCTGAGCAACAAATGTCGGTGAGTAGTATGGCGACACCAGACGGTTGGCAAAGTAGTTGGAGGCGATGAGACTTGGCGAGAAGTTGGAGCTTGGTATTTTGGCGCCTGGATGCTTCAACTTGATGTGCATCTTGAGCGCGCCCTCAGTACCATAGGACTTGTTGCAGGCTGGTAGGTAACAGCGATATGTGCGATCAATCTCGGATGCAGTGCGTCTATGTCGTTTCTTTGAACTGGCGTCCATGGTTGTGGTTGACTTCCTTCGTCTACTGCCATCATAAGTTTTGTCATCACTATGTTGGTCATCGTCCGTGGGGGACTGGAGTGAGCTGTTGAGGTTTGGTGAGTGCTCTGGTGATGAGCTTGAGTTATCCTTTGAGTTTGTTGTTGATGATGAGGAGGATGATGATGTCGAGGATGAAGATGATGTTGTTGAGTTGGAAGATGTGGAATCAGCAGATGACACGGCCGAAGAGGACTGCGTCAATGGCTTGGCTTCAAACACTTTGATCACCAAGTCGTATCGTTGTTGGCAGCTTTCAGGGCACTTGTTCATATGGGCTCCCACCTCAGTCCAGTTAAAGCCCAAGGTACCGGCGATCTCAATGAGCATCATAGTCTCCCTCTCGTCCCAATTGGCATCGGTCAAAATTGTATCACATTGTTCCGGGAGGTATACCTTGTCCTTGAATGAGTTAGTTAGAGTGTGATTGATTGATTGATTGAGTGAATGATGGTAGGTACTTACAATGTCACCGCTACTACTTTGGAGATTATGATTATAAATATTGTTGTTGTTGGATTGATGGAGATCATAATTGATTGATGAGTCCAGGTTGGTATTGTTTAGGTTGTTGAGGTTGTTGGTGTATATATCAGTTGATGTGGAAGTTGATTGAGGAATATATTGGTATTGTGTGGCATATTGAACGTGATGACCACCTCCACCGACACCAACATGGTATGGACTGCTCATTGTTGTGCTGAATGTACCAAACGATGATTGAGGTGATACTATATTCATTATTATTATTATTATAAATAATGTCTAATACTGACCAAGGAGTATGACGATGGTGATTGATGATGATGTGTCAATGAGATTGGTGGGGGCTAGATGAGATCTAGGGAATGGAAAGGAAGGAAGGAAGGAAGGAGGGAAAGAGAGGAGAAGAGAAGATTATAGTTAGTTGGATGGACTCAAATACACCATGGCGCTCACTGTCTGGCGTGCAGTCAGTCACGAGCGATCGCGACCACTGAGTGAGTGAGTGAGAGGAGAGTGCAAGAGCATTACAGGAATGGGATGGAGTGCTCGGCCACAATAAACAACAAACAAACAAACATATCACACGTACCTAATAAACAGATCAACCGGGATTGGTTGCTGGCTGGCTGGCTGGTTGGCAGGATGGATTGGATGGTTGACTGGTTGGACAAGCTTTCCTACTGTGGTTCCTTAATCTTCTGTCGCTGTTGTTGCTGCTGATGTTTCCGTTTGCCGCTGATGGATATCAAGATGATATTATATGACTGCAATTTCTGGTTCTACCGATGATGTCTGTCTCTGTAAAGTTGTTAAGTCCGATTGATTGGCTTGATTGATTGCCAGATGGAGATATAGAGATACCTGGAGTTGGAATGCACTAGTGAATCTGGGAAACGCCAGAGAGGAGTGAGTAAATAGTCCAACAACAAGACTGGCTGGATCCATCCATCCATCAATCCATCAATCCATCATCTCTCGCGCGCGCGCTCTCTGCTTCTGATGAGAGGGAGTGGTCATGAAGTTGATGGAAGCAGGCTTTTATCTTCCAGTCACACTGATTTGCCTGGCTTGATGGCTGACTGTCAACACACAACAATGGAAGTATAATGGACATGTCGGTGTTGGAGCAGATCATGTGACCCTCCCTCCATTTCAGCTGATCATTCATTCATTCATTATGATCACACACATTGGAGAGATTGATTGATTGAGTGATTGAGTGACAGAGTGAGTGAGTGCGAGTGTGGATGGATGGATGTGGCGAGGGAGGGATCCGTAATCGACGAGACGTTTGTCGTTTGAATGAGTGAGTGATAGTGTGTGTGGAGAGTGTTGTCGATGTGATAACAGTATCGTAGATATGTACCCAGCGACACTTGTCGTCATCACCAAATCCATACATCCCATATATCCATTAACACTATGATCGTCGTCGTCTTCGTCGTCATATTGCAGCATGCCAACAATCAATCAAACATTCAATCATTCATCTTCGACTGTTGTGATTGATCAACACACATGCAACACACATATATCTATGTGATTGTAGGATGAACACTCACTCATTCAATCACAATAGTGGTGGAAAGAGTGAGTGAGAGCGTGGTTGACTTGTCCTTGCTTGGTCCGCCATTGTATATGATTTAAGTGTATGTGTACGCGAAGTTGTAGAGACAATGCAGAGTGAACTGTAACCCCCCACTCCAGTGATCGATCACGTGATGGAGTGTGAGATGTGGAAACTAATTGCATATGCCAGAGATGGTCACAACAATCAATTAATAAATCAATCAATCAATCAATCAATTATAATACACTATGTGATAGATATTTGATCGAACATTCTACATATTATGATAATGGTAAGGCTAATTACTTCGTTGATTCGTTGATGGTTGGATGGCTATCCTCGGACCTGTCAAACGGATACTGTTCATGTATATGTTTGGTGTGAGATTGACTGCCTTGTTCGACTTGACTGGTAATAAGCAGTAATGTTCCAAACAATCAATCAATCATTCAATCAATCAATCAATCGATCGATAGAGTGAGGGATGATGATGATGTGGATTTATAATTGGATGTATGTGATCTAGATTCAGATGATCATCTGTCGTCACTACTGAATATAATATTGTCAACTGTCACTGCTACAGTTACTCTAACTGTTGTTAAGTGTTCATATATGAAAGATAGGTGATAATTATGATTATGATGATGTAACTAACAAACAACTACTTTCGAAAGTGACAACAATTGAAGTCGTCTTTGAAAGATCCATGGTCGTTATTATTGTTGATGTTGTCTGGCACTCATTCATATGTGATGTGGTGTATTGATGGTATGGCAATGGTGAATGTTTGGGACAAGACGAGACGAGTCAGTCGGGATCACAACTTCATCGGGAAGCAAACCCGCCTCCCACAATTCCAACGTCCATTTGTGGTTCACTGGAAGAATGACGAACAGATATCTGGTGGGGCACACATTTCCATAAAAGGACTTGTCGAGTCCATAGTAGATGGTCAATTGCCATAAAAGGTGCAAGCTATCATTAAACAATTATATTTAATAATATTATATATTAATGTCATTACTCCAATCAAAAAGACGTTATACACTCTTTTAGTCAATAAATGGACAAGATCCATCAATTATTATATCAAGACAATTAAAAAATAATAATAATAAGAATAATTATAATACAAGATTAGATGATTGACTTGATGTGGATGTATATTCAACTTACATTTGAGGTTTCGAATAAATATATATACAATGATATGATTGAATGATTGAACAGGAATATATGATGGATTGGTAATTAGTGAGTAGTGATTGTATTGAGATTGTGATTGAAGAGGAGAAGTAGAGGTAGTGAATAAAGATAGTTATGTACAAGATTATTATAGATAAATAGATAGATAATATTTGTTTGATTGATTGGTTTGTTTGATTGTTTGATTGTTTAGATGATTTGGAAAGGTTGGAAGAATAATGACTCGTCTGTTGTTGAAGTCTGTCTCACCTTTAAAATGCTAACTACAATAATAATAAGGTCGGTGTCCGATCATGCGGACTTGCCTCATCCATACCATCCCCCGTCGCGGCAGGCCCTCCCCCACTCGTACTTACTTACTCACTCTAGAGATGATCGATGCATTATGTTAATACCATCACAACGAGTAGAGGACCATCCAACATCACCTCGATGATGATTATGACCATACATGCGATGGTATCCAACAATGGTGAGGGTGTACGCACATGAGGTACGAATCTCCTTTCGAGCCATGAAAAGACGCTTTGGTCTGAGGTCAAAGCAAGCTCTGTGGTCTATGGGGCGTAGAGATCAACAACAACCAACAATGGTGGGACTGTGAACTGATCAGTAAGCAGCGCATTATGAACAAACACTACTAACTAACTACAATTGTTGATGATAAGCTGCAAAGTTGTTGTGAATGATGTTACAGGTTTGCATCGAATTGGCATTCAACACTTCAGAGCAACAACTAGATATTTAGATATTGTGTAGCATGAGAGTATCATAAAGGATCTTGGTATTTGCAGCAGGTCGGAGGAACACCTGATATTATTCAAGTCAAGAACTGAACAGGCACTTGGATACTGAGATCGAATCAACAATTCAAATAAAGTTACACGCTCTCTCTCACTCATTCATCATTCATTTGCACAAGTTTAAATGGGCTTTGGGCAATTGGTCGATCATCAATCACGACATTATCCAGTATCTACTAACACCAACCAGGATGTGAAGGTGACTCAACGAACCCTTACATGGTCTGGGAGCAAGAGGCAAGAGGTCGGGTCTACTCTGAATACACTGGGCTGGCTACACTAGAGTCGGGTTCATAACAAACTTGAGTAACTACATTCGTTGTGATGATGGTCTTGTTCCCTGGTCCTGGGATCATTGGATTGATGGATAGATGTTTGGTCTCTTGTGTCTGCCCCATTAGCCGCAAGTATTGAAGTAATCTAGGCCCAATGTATCGGGGCAAGAGTAGTCGATAATATGATTGATACTACTACTTGCAATGGCAAAGGGTTTGTTTGGATTGATTTATTATTGTAGGTGCGTTGCAAGAGAGAGAGGTGAGGTGATGGCATTGGCAAAGATAGGTTGGTTGGTAAGAAGGTAGGACAAGTACAGGACAGGACAAGACACAGTCAGTCATTCATAACAATATGATACGAGTGACTATTGTTGTTGAAGTTGATGTTGAAGATATAGTTGGTGAAGGGCGATTGATTGGCAACTTGATCAAACTAAACTAACTCGATTGATTACTTGGCAGTGGATGGCCTGCACGAAGCATTGAACACCATGTTCTTCATCACTTGTGACATGATTCCTTGAAGTTGCTCGATCGACACCTTTGAGCTGTCTCTGGTGATTCTCTCCAGCTGTGTCTCCTCCTTCTTCTTCTCGCCACCGCCTCCTCCAAACAACAGTGTTGACTTTGAGTTGATCACCTGTGCCTCTGCTGCCTCCAACTTCTCACTAAGGTCTCCAATTTGTCCAGTGATATAGTCACGGTTCTAGATTGATTGATTGATTGGTTAGTAACCTCGGACTTGATGAATGTGTGAGTGGATGGATGACTTACGGCAAAGATTGGAGATGATGAAAGGGTGTTGACCCAGTATCTGTTCCAGAGCTTATCCAGCAGCTGTGAGTCTAATGATGATTTGAAATAGCTAATGTCCAATGGGTAGTATCTGTAATGTGAAGAGTTGGCGGAGGTGTTAGGTGACGCGTCCAGGTGATTGCCAACAATAACTCTACTTACGATTTACAATGGACTCCAAAGTCCTCAATTTTGGAGATTGGAATGGACTGGTACTCAGATGGTCCTTCATTGGGTGGCTTGTAGCCCTGTGGATAGGTTCTGAAGGCACCAATCTCGACCTTGCCAGCAGAGATAGTACGTGTTGGGTCAATCTACATCATTCCAAAGTCACAATGTTAGTATGAGTATGATCGATCGATTGATTGATTGATTGATTGAGTGACACATACGACAATACCAAGCCATGGTTCATTGTATTGTTGGTTGACCATTTGAGTGCTGACATCAATACCTGACAACCAGCATCCGTAACCAGGGTGAGAGTGGTACCAACCGATGGCATTCTCCAGTCTGCCCGTCTTTCTGATCAGGTCCAAGTACTCGATCATGTACTCATTGGCATCAGCCTGCGCATTGACTCTGGTCTCAGTTCCCTCAACAGGAAGTGCAAAAGAGTCCATAATGATCATAGTATGAGCCTCGACCTTTCCCATCAACAGACCCATAACCTCCAACTTGCCACCCGATCTCGAGTGCATCACCATCTTCAACAAAGCAATCGCTGATATCTTTACAGTCTTGAAGTAATGTGGGCTTTATAGTTCGTTCGTTTGTGTAAGTACTATGATTGATTGATTGAGTGTCTGGTATGCTTGCTTACTCCTTTGCCCATGGCTTGGACTTGAGGAAATCATTATATTGTGTCTGATCATATTTGAATATAGAGTCACGATCCACTGACTGTATGTTGTTCTCAATCTCGAATCTCTTCAATGCTGCATCAGTATGTGATTGTTGTGACATGATGTCTGTGAGTATATATATGTATATGTATAACAATTTAAATAATGTACAGGTCAATATTAGATGATGATGTGAAGTATCTTTGATTGATGAGGGCTAGATGAATCCAACAATTTTCTTGAAAGTGGCTCATTTTGATGAACTTCATTAACTTCAAACAGATCTCCATTCATTCATTGAGATACGATGAACTCATCGTCTGAAGATCAGGCCGAACAATCTGAACAAACGACATCCAAGTACAACAACAACAACAACAATATGAAGCAGAGACATACGACAACAACAAAGTCATCGCATTCACAATCTCATTCACAGTCTCATTCACAATCACATAATGCCAACGATGATAAGAATAACAAGATTGCAATGACGACAGGTAGTAGTTTGGAAAGATGGTGTTATAGACTGTTGGTTGTCATAAGGATAGTCGTGTGCTTGACATCAATGGGATATATACACCCTGACGAATACTTCCAGAGTCCAGAGATCACATCCCGCGACATCTTCAACTACAACACATACATACCATGGGAGTTTGATCCTGTCAATCCATGCAGATCAATAGTTATACCGTACGTATGTCCACTGACGCTCCTCCCCTTCATGGTATCATTCCACTCACTCAATCATTCATTCAATCATCATTAGTATGATCAACTCTGGCATCCCCTACTTGTTCCTCTCGACACTTCAACATATTTTGAACTTGGTTGGATATCAGGGATCGATCATCAATGGATATACATTGCTGTTGATGCCTAGATTGTTTGTATTGGCATGCTCATTCATGTTGGATGCTTATACCATACGCCTGTGCAAGCGATTCAACGTGCCATGCATGAAGGCACTACTCGTGTGTTCGTCAAGCTGGTTGACATTGGTCTTCCACTCACGTACATTCTCCAACACGGTCGAGTCCCTGGCTGTGGCCACTCTTCTCACCATGGTCCTGTTGTACGACGTGTCAAAGAAGCGTAGCACGACCAATCAATGCCGGGTCACACTACACAACACACTATATGATGTGGCCATTGGTGCGCTGGTGGCCTTTGGACTGTTTGCCCGCTTCACCTTCCTCTTCTTTGCCATGCCCATCGGTATATACTTTGGCATCAAGCTATTGCGCAAGCTTCCTTTACTCAAGACCTTGCTCACTTGTGTAAGTGTGGCCGCAGGCTTTGTCCTGGCCTCATTGATCTTCATCATCATCGACTCCATTTACTTTGGATATCTTCATGTGACACTGCCCCCAAGCTCACAAGGCAGCAGCAGTCTGGCGTACCTGGTAGCAGGCACCAAGGTCACGGGCAACTTGACATTCACGCCCTACAACAGTTTGTTGTACAACTTGGATCCCGAGAACCTCGCCCTGCACGGCATCCACAACAGGCTCACACATCTCTTTGTCAACTTCCCATTGATGACAGGACCACTGGCCATCCTCCTCTTTGTTGAGGCCTATCAAGTGGCAATGGCATGGACAAGACCATCAGCACAACATCGCAACAGATCAAAGAAACAGCATCAGTCACTGCAGCAGAATGATATGACACTGCCAAGGAAGGTCCGAACATTGTTGGTGGCTGTATCATTTAGTGGATTGTTCCTCCTGTCCATGGCGCCACACCAAGAGGCACGATTCCTATTGCCACTACTCTTCCCATTGGCCACCTTATCGACGCGATACTTCTATGCGCGCACCCTGTCCTCGCGATCACTGGCAGTACTCTGGGTCCTATTCAATATTGCGATCACCATCTTTTTTGGATACATTCATCAGGCTGGAGTGGTACCATCACTAATACATCTACAAAAGGATGTTCAACAACATCAACAACAACAACACTTGGACATTGTTTATCTTCAAACATACATGCCACCTCAACATTTATTGACATTGCAGTTGGACAACCCATTGTATAAGAATATAAGAGTTATTGATCAGAGAGGTGGAGTCGAACAATTGAAGGAATACTTGGAGGACAAGAACACATCTTCGACAACAAGCTATGTCCTGTCGCCACTTCCCAACATACATCAACTAGACATCCTTGGAAAGACATGCCACAACATCAACTCATTCTGGCCACACCTCACAACAGAATCCCCGCCACAATCATTGGACCAAATGCGTCTCTATCTAGTAATGTGCGTTCCTCCTCATTCACAGTCAAACATGATACAACAACAACAATGAATGAGTGAGTGACGGCAGACGTCCCCAACAACACAAAAATCATTTATCTATAAATAGAGAGAGTCACTTTCCACCAAAACATATGTTTGACGAAGAGACAAAGTCTGTGGCATAGATTGGGTCTAATCCAGGTCCTTTCACTTCATTCAAAGTACCCACATCGCCAAAGTAGGCGCGTTAACAAGATCACGCGTGTGTGTGCCAGTCCGTGACAGAACGGACAACCCACTTTAAAACTGAGATGGGCAACAAGTGAAGTTGAGTGTGTGTGAGTGTGAGAGTGAACCTGGAGTGTGTCCTTCATTCATTCGTGCTCTTCACTCACTTCACTCACTTCACTTCACTCTCTTCTCACTCAATCTCCTCTAACATTCATTCATTCATATTCATTCGATTCATTCATTCATTCAAACATTGTTACTCACTTAGACAAGACAGATACACACACACACACACACACACACACATACCCGAAGAACAACACACACAATCATTCATTCAATCAATCAATCAATCAAACTTCAACACTAACAACAACTAACTTCATCATTATCAGAGAGCTCTGTTGTTATAAGCACACCCTTCCTTAACAAACAAACAAACAACAAAAGCAATAGCAAGCAACAACAACAACACACATATACTACGGGGATAGTCACCGACCGAGAATCATCTTACATCAGTCAGTCAGTCAGTCAGTCAGTTAGTTAGTTAATTAGTCAATAAGTACAGTCAACCATTTAGTCAATCAAATAAGCCAACAACAACAACATCATAATAACAATCACAACATTACATATATATACACGAGAGCGATAAGCGATATACGATAAGATTAGTTACGACAACCAATCAGGTGATTGATTACCTTTATTTATTTTTATTCATAATCAATCAATCAATCAATATATTACATATTAATTAATTAATTAAATAATTGTCATTATTATTAAGTTGTAGAGCAAGCAGGAGCCAGTGAACAACAATCGATTGTAGATAAACAAACAGGAGAGCAAACAGTAAACATATTTACTACTTCTAAAGTGTTTGGCCTTCCAGCCAGGCACATCAATCATTCATTCAATCAATAATTCAACCAATCAACCAATCAAACAAACAATCAATCAATCAATAATAGTCAAATCCCCATCATCGTTATGGAGAATATCATATTCAACAGCGGCTGTAGTAGAAGTGGTCTTGAAAGGTGCGGTGCAAGTGCCAGCGGCGGTATCGTTGAGCAACAACAATCACAGTCACAGCAACAGCAACAACAACCACAACAACCACAGCATCAATCACCGCAACAACAACAACAATCGCAGTCTACAATGAACAATAATAATAATAATAGTAATAGTAGTACTATGGACAGGAATGTAAATATAACAGCAATGACACGTCCAGAGACTACAACAACAACAGTCGTCACATCCACACCTACAGCCAAAAGGAAGTTGGATGATGAAGACAAACAACATGATCAACCTACAAAGGCATCAAAGAGCACACATCAAGAGGCTCAACAACAGACACCAACATCAACATCAACATCATCGACAACGACATCGACCACATCGAGGGAGAAGGTTAGACAACTTTTTCAAACATCGGGACAGAAGAAGGTGCACAGACTGATCGACCTGTGCTTTGACGCGCTGGTCAAGAATATTAAGAACATTGAATCACTGGAGAAGCTGCCGGACGAGCTGTGTCAGACCCTGCTGTCCATCTTCCAGCGCGCAAAGATACTCAATCTGGACACTCTCAATCTGTTCAAGAATTGTCGTCTCTCCAAACTGGACTTCACTGGCAAGGAAGTGCAGACCAGGGATGAATGGCTCTCGATCACTAAAGGCGCGATGCAGAGCACGTTGGTCTCAATCAATCTCTCCAAGAACCTGCAGATCACCAATGGCGGCCTGGCGATACTGTCCCACCTCAAGCACCTCACCACGCTCGACCTCAGCTACTGCGAGGGACTGCGCGGCGACAGCCTGGCGCAGCTGATCGAGCACAAGGTGCCGCTCCAGAAGCTCAATCTTCAGGGCTGCGTCAACATCGATGTCGACACGTGTCTCAAGCAACTGCCGCAGTTCCCGCAGCTGGAATCACTCAACATCGCGTCGATCAAGCTGAGCGACGACAACTGCGAGCCCCTGAGGCGCCTCTCGAAACTGACGCAGCTGGAGATCAGCGACAATGTAAATATCACTCATGTGGGCATCCAGCACATCTGCGCCGTGCGCACACTGCGCGACCTCGACATCAGTGGCTGCCGGAACATCTCGTCGCAGGGCTTCCAGGCGCTGTCCACGCTGTCCAAGCTGCAGACGCTGCAGGCCTCGGACTGCCACATCGACGACGCGGCCATGGCCTACATTGGCCTGCTGACGGACCTCAAGACGCTGGTCCTTCTCAACAACGACTTCACAGACGATGGCGCGGCACACCTCAGCAAGCTGGTGTCGCTGACCGCGCTCGACCTGTCGATGTGCACCCACCTCACCGACCGAGGTCTGCAGCATCTCAAGAACCTCAACCAAATCACTAGACTCAATCTCAACTTCAACTCGAACCTCACCGACATGGGCGTGGCCACGCTCACTGGTGGGCTCAATGATCTGGCCACTCTAGGCATCATCGGATGCAACAGACTACTAATTAAAGGTATGTTCAAGGACACCTTCATTCAATCAAACAAACATACATACTAACACTCATTCGATCAACAGTTAAACACAAGCCATTGGTACTACTTGTGGAGGACAACGCATTGCAGGTGACATTGATCACCAAGATTATGGAGAGACATAACTTTGACGTGGAGGTGGCGTCTAATGGACAGATGGCGTTGGATATGTACAAGGCCAACCCCAAGTACGAGCTGATCCTGATGGACATTATCATGCCGATCATGGATGGACTGACAGCGACCATGCTGATCAGGGACTACGAGCGAGAGAAGGGGCTGCGACGAACGCCACTCATCATGCAGACGGCCGACACCGAAGAGGGCCATCGCAAGGTTTGTCTAGACGCTGGCTGCGATGACTTTATGCAGAAACCACTGGACAAGAAGGTTGTGGATAGGGCCACAGAACTATTGAACTTTAAAAAGTCTGGCAAGGCTGTTGGTCCCGGTGCTGTTGGTGCTGGTGCTGGTGCTGGTGCTGGTACTGGTACTGGTACATGTACTGTCAATCCAAGTAACGTCAGCAACAACAACAACAACAATAATAATAATAATAATGGAGCGCAACAACACAACAACCAAGATCAATCACAACAACATCAGTAGAGGATGTGGCTTTACTTTCAAAAACAACACTAGTAAATACAGACACATGGCAGCATGGTGTCCATTCACCTCTTGTCTTCATATATATCACTCGAACAATCAGGTCCTTTGATTCTCAGGAATGATTCCATGATGTTGATTTTGATGTTAATGCCCGGGCATATATTTACAATGAATGATATCCACTTATGGTCGTTCGTCTCTCACAAGATCACAGACTTGGTCTTTTTCGAAACTCAAACAAAAACAAAAATCAGTCGAAGTTCTTTGTTTTGATTTTTTTTTATGTTCGTGTGAGCTGGAGGGAAGAAGGCAACTTCGCAAGCAGCTGTCTATCTCATGAGACAAACAAACATCATTAACATTACACACTTCATTGAGTATTGAATTTGATATTATATTATTATATAAACATTATATTTAAAATACAACAATGACTGTATGTTCAACAATAATAATGATTTAGGAATTGATGATTCGCGAATCAAGACTCGAGAGTCCCACATGGGACGAGTTAAGATGAAGCGAAAGAATCATAAATGATACAGGACTATTACTCACACATATCAATCAAACCATAATCACAGAGCCAACTTCAACCAGTACCAATCTACAACCAGAATGCCTCCGAAGAGAGAGGAGAGGTCGCTCGTTTGGTATGTCAAAGCAGAAGCAGCACTCAAAGCAGCGATGAACAGGGCACAGGATAACAGCATGTTGACATTTACCTCGATCATATCAATCAATCACAATCAATCAAACATATAGTCCTCATTCGTAGGAGCAATCGCTTTGACCGACTTGGTCAAGACTACCCTCGGACCAAAGGGAATGGACAAGATCTTGGCTTCGATGAGCAACCCCAATGAGATCACAGTCACAAACGATGGCGCTACCATCCTCACAAAGATATATATCGACAATCCAGCGGCCAAGATTCTGGTCGACATTTCGAGGACTCAGGACGACGAAGTAGGCGATGGCACCACTAGTGTCTGTGTGTTGGCTGGCGAGCTGTTGCGCGAGGGTGAGCGTCTGGTTGCCCAAAAGGTGCATCCACAGACCATCATCAACGGATGGCGTATGGCCTTGGACACTGCAAAGAAGACTCTGGCCGAGTCTGCCATTGACAATGGTGCAGACAAAGGTTAGTTCATTATCATTGGATGATTGAGCGAGAGAGAGTTACAGCGACTAACGCGCGAATCAATCAATCAATCAACAAATTAACAGAGAAGTTCAGACAAGACTTGATCAATATAGCAAAGACAACACTGAGCTCAAAGATATTACATACAGAGAAGGAATACTTTGCCAATATGGTTGTGGATGCCGTGCTGCGACTGAAGGGCAACAGCAACTTGGATCACATTCACATCATCAAGAAGTCGGGCGGTGCCCTGCGCGACTCGTACCTAGAGGAGGGATTCATTTTGGAGAAGAAGATCGGCGTCGGTTGCCCCAAGCGACTGGAGAACGCCAAGATACTGATCGCCAACACGGCCATGGACACAGACAAGATCAAGATCATGGGTGGCAAGGTCGTTGTCGACTCGATGACCGAGCTGTCCAAGCTGGAGGATGCCGAGAAGGCCAAGATGTTGGAGAAGTGCAAGAAGATCGTCGACCACAACATCAACTGTTTCATCAACCGTCAGCTCATCTACAACCTGCCCGAGCAGTACTTTGCTGAGCACGGCATCATGTCGATCGAGCATGCCGACTTTGAGGGCGTCGAGCGTCTTGCCCTCGTCACTGGCTCCGAGATCACCTCCACCTTTGACCACCCCGAGCTGGTCAAGGTCGGTACCTGCAAGCTGATCGAGGAGGTCATCATCGGCGAGGACAAGGTCATCAAGTTCTCTGGCCTGCCAAACTCACAGGCATGCACCATCGTGCTGCGTGGCGCAACCTCGCACATGTTGGAGGAGGCCGAGCGTTCAATCCACGACGCACTCTGTGTGCTCTCGGTCACTGTCGGCGAGACAAGGACCATCCTCGGCGCTGGCTGCGCAGAGATGCGCATGGCCCAGGCCGTCGACCAGCTGGCCGCCGTCACCCCAGGCAAGAAGTCGCTGGCCATCGAGTCGTTCGCCAGAGCTCTGCGTCAGATCCCAACAATCATTGCCAACAACGCTGGCTACGACAGCTCTGAGCTGGTGTCGCAGATGAAGGCTGCCCACTACCAGGGCAAGAACAACGTGGGCCTCAACATGAAGGATGGATGTATAGGAAATATCGACGAGTTGGGCATCATCGAGTCGTTCAAGGTCAAGCAGCAGGTGCTCATCTCTGCTCACGAGGCTGCCGAGATGATTATGCGTGTGGACGATATCCTCAGGGCTGCACCAAGGAAGAGAGAGCAAATGGGACGTCATTAAAAGTGTGTGTTGTGCCATGAACGCGTTGCGCAAGCTTACTTACTCATCCCGAATATCCTATCCTTGCTTGTTGTCTATCACTAATAATAATAAACCCAACTTGTTACTCTTACCCTACCCTTGCCCTTGCCCCAACCCTGATTCAACTCCAAATCTTGCACATTCATTTGTTCAACAACATCATATAATAGTGTACAGATAGAGATTAGATAATGAATGGAGTCCCCTCAACTTCCACTGACTATATTGAAACATATTGTAGAGTATATTGATGACAATGTTGATCAATTGACATTGACATTGGTGTGCAAGAGATGGTTTGAATATAGACATGTATATTGCCGCTTCAAACAAACAATGCAGTTCAAGAGGAAGGACAAGATTGCAATACACTCATACAAACAGTTGATTGATGATAGCTTCGAAGCAATCGTACCAACAGGCTTATCCATTCTAATTCATTCGGACCAAGAAAATCAACCGTTTGGCTATGATCGCTACTTCTTGTTTGGTATGCATACATACTTTTAAGTCCATGCCAACAGATCATCTCTGCTCCCAAAGGCTTGCAGTCATTAAGAATACAATTCTCTCAACAAAGTTGCGAGTTGTCAAACAAACTATGGTGGCACAATGGAGACGTACCAACAAGTATTACAGTACTTATCTTGGATATGTATGATCATTGCCCATTGAAGCAAGGTGATATTCCAGACACTGTCACCGATCTGAGACTGCAATGTTATCAACAACCACTGGACCCAACTATTATTGGACCCAATGTGTCGAGGTTGACATGGAGTGCAGGCAACAAACAAGATGTCAAACATTTCATTCAGCATATGCCACCAACCATCCTCCATCTTAATGTCAATATTGCCAAGACAATGTTCCAACTCCGAAGAATATCCCAAACACTATTCCTACAAACTCAAACAGACCTCCTGCGGGCTTCATCGACTTGGTCCAACTCCAGTCACTTTGTTTCTGACCCGCCAGCAAAACCCCTTTGGCCCAACATTCATCATCACCATGGATAGAACCATGTCGCGCCCAATGACGTCAGGAGTGTGAATGTTTGATGACTGGTGCAGAGATATATAACTTTGTCAATATGACAATGGAATGGCGCAAGTCATCGGGACATTGACTAAATAGGTTATTGTGAGGTTCACCACAATCTATCCAACAAATAATAATTCATGGTTATCTAGGAGTCACGTTCTAAGCCTGGGCACACGGGGTATTATTGGTACAAACAACAAACAGGTCCTTCTAGAGGGGGCTAAAGGGGGTGGGCGAAGTACAATAGGGGCTTCGATAACTTTGAAAAACCATGAGCTTCAGCGGGAGAGGCAAACGGGGGTGTTGTTCCATTCGGCTCTGCCCTATTCACTATTGGGGGTGAATATCTGCCGAAGAGCTGGACGATCTATGGGCGTTTAGTGAATGAGTGGGAGGATAGAGTGGCTAAGTTTGGAGTGGATGTCCTTCCAATCAATCAGTAAGTAAACTATTCAGCCATTCATTCATTCAACCAGTTAAAGCACACATACATACACTCACACCTTCCATTCTCATTAGCTTATAACAACATCAACATCAATATCATCCATTCATTCAACTCATTCAAATCTTTCATATCATTCATTCATCAGATATATATTGAAGAGACGAGTGACAAAAGGAGATATATATATTATATAAGTAGGTGATATCATATGATATGTCGAGGGATTAGACCATGGTCTAAGGATTGAGGGCCTCAACTTCATCCACCCCTTCAGCAACAATGTTGACTGAATGACAGGCACCAACCCGTACACACACGACTGTTGCTTGTTGCTGTCAACACATCATCATTCATTCAAACACACAACTAACTAACCTTTCCCCTTTACCTACACACCCTTACATTACCTCAATCTTGGCAGATATAAACACACTTTCACACACACTTCACACGCTGACATCTCAATTATCTCACTTTATCATCTCATCTATTATCTAATATATTATAGACCGCACCCGCCCATTAACACTCACTCTATAATATATTCAATTGACGCGTGCGTGATATATCAAATAAGTCTTGTATTTCAATCCATCCATCCATCAATCCAACATCATATATATACATATCAAGGTGGTGAACATATATATAATAATACATGATAATATATCATTATCATACACTTGTTCACCTCAGTGTGTTTCAACAACAACAACAACAACATCATAATATCAACAACAACTACATAGATTAGATTGTTATTCTATTGCCCGCTGCCGCGGCATAATACCATTTGGCTAAATATCCTGCCGATTCAGAGAGAGAGAGATATAACATCATTCAATCCATATATTATATATATTATTTATTTAATTAATCAATCAATCAATCAATCATATCAATCCAAATCATTCAAACAACAAACAATCAATCAAACAATGGTATCCAATAATAATAATAATAATAATAATGATAAAGTAGAAGAGGATGTTGGTGATAATAAGTTAGAGGTTATTGGAGTACAAGTCGATTTGAATTCCAGTCAACCTAGGGTAGTGATGGTAAAGATGGTTGATCTGCTCAGTGATGATCCATACAGTCCTTCCAGGAGAATACCAGCCAACACAACATATAATGAGAATATCATATCATTGACACAAAGTCAAGTCGTTCCATTCCCCTTCATACCAGATCCTTCCAGTATTGTTGTTACCAAAGACAATCATCACCAGGAAACAACAACAACTACATTACAAACTCAACAATCAATATCATTATCAACACCATCTTCACCAACAGCTTCAGGGAAGGATACACCAACCTTTATTCGAAAGAATGGTAGACGATACAGTTTGACACCAATATTCCAATCTGCACCCACTTCGGATGCTGATCAATTAACAATCAATTGTTTGGAGGTGATCAAGGATGACCCTCTCACATTGGAGGACAATGTATCTCAACAAGTACCAGAGGATGGAGATGTCTCCACCTCCGCCCCCGCCACCACCAACAACAACAACTTCCTCCAAGTACCCAATCCCTCCCTGGATCAATCAAAGGACATGCCATCAATTAGATCAGCCAGCAACACCCTTCAAGTTCCAAAGGGTGTGTCAATGGCTTCATCACAGTATAAGGACCTGAGAAAGTCAACCAACTATGTGGACCTCCAGAATGCCTTCTCCTTGTGTGATTCGCACAGGGAAGAGATTGACAAGTTGCACTCTGACGAGAACTTTGAGCATAAGTTCACAGACTCTGATCCGACCCAAGAGTCCCAAGGGCCACCAGCATCGCCACAGCCGGGGCAGGCAACAGAGAAAGAGAAGCTGAAAGAATCCAATGTATTGTTTGGGCTCAATGCCTCACCATCAGTCGATTCACCTACAATGGACTTCTCATCGCCAACGTGGACACACTCACCAGTTCCCCATATTTCCTCGCCAATGATGGGTGCTTGGGCAACTGATGATGAGCAATCGCCAGTCATCGAGGGTGAGCGCAGGGTCGTCGCCGAGATGCTCGAGTCCAACCTCAACAGTCCGACCATGTGCCGTGTGGAGAAGATCCAGAAGAAGGAGAGGAGACACTTGTTCAATCTGAGGAAGAAGAACAAGCTGAGGAAGCAACAGCACGAGGAAGAGGAGAGATTAGAGCGAGAGCACGAGGCCACTCACGAGGATACATTGTCTGAAGAAGGGTATGTAACTTCCGTGCACATCTCAATTAACAAAGACTAACATATCCACCAACTTCAGACGACATACAATGAAGGTTATATCAGCCTTATTGAACAAACTATTCGATAAGAAGAAGTATAGCACATTGACCATATTCATGGGTCTGTCATTGTTGAACAGTATGTATTGCCATTCAAACAAAACAATGTCCAGGAATCATACTCACTCACTCACTCATTCATTCAATCAATCAATCAATCAATAGGTTACTACAAAGAACTTGTACTTAGGAGTTGGGAGCCAATGTCCAATCACTTGCTGTTGGAGGAAGCCTTGAGATACCAGAAGTTCTGTACGGCTTCTTATGGCAGGAAGTTGTACTTTGGACTGATGTCCAAGAGTACGTTGGGCAAGCTAAGAGGCGTACTTGGAACTGATAATGCCAATCTCAAGGTGATCAGAAAGCACACTGGTATCAAGAAGGAGGACATCATTGTATCCAAATGGTTCAGCTCAAAGTACAGTCCAGGCCACTTCATTGCCATCGATCACCAGACCAAGTCGGTGGTCCTATCGATCCGTGGCACATTCAATCATCTCGATGTCATCACTGACCTTGTTGCCAAGTCGTCCTTCTATAAGGGTCCAAAGAAGAACTGGCATCCAGGCTACATTCATCTGGGCATACTACTGTGTGCCCACAAGAAGCTGAAGGAGACGGAGGAGCTCCTTGTCAAGGCCATCCACTGTCATCCTGGCTACAGACTGATCGTCACTGGTCACAGCTTGGGCGCTGGCGTCGCCTCACTATTCACATTCTTGTTCTATGACAAGCACCCCCTAATACCCCTACATTGCTACTCGTTCGGCCCGCCCTGCATTCTCTCCTACGAGCTGGCCACTCACGAGGTCGTTCAGTCGCTTGTGAGCTCCTTTGCCATGAATGATGACCTCGTGCCACGTCTCTCATTCAACTCCTTATACTACCTGCGCGAGGTCCTAGACAACATCCTTTCTCAGAGTAAGACCAAGATGCAGCGTGGCTTCCAGATCGTGTCGGCGGGTGGTGGTCTGGGCGAGCGTCTGACCAAGAAGATCAGCAAGGTGCTCAAGGTGTCCCCGACCATCGACCTGTCGCACGTCGAGCATCATGACAGTGGCGAGGTGCACATGTTCCCACCTGGCAAGATGATGCGCATTGTCAAGATTAAGAAGGGAGTGTACGTGGCCGAGAAGGTCAGGAACCAATCCTTTGACAAGATCATCGTCTCATCCACAATGTTCACCGATCACATGCCTCAAAAGTACGAGAAGGGATTGGAGTCGGCCATTAGCAACATTGGCAATGTTGAGCTGATCACTCCGCCGCCCGACAGGCAGCCAGATGATGTTGTTCCTGGCAGCAACAACTTTGAGGGCATACCGACGTTCAGAGTCAGCGTTGAAAGCATGGGCAGTCTAAGCAGCTTCTCCAGTGGAGGTGGCTCCGGCAGCAACAGCAACAGCAACAGCACTACCAATAGCAATAGCAATAGTTCTGATGAAGGTCATTCCGATGTAGATGTAACCACTCCCATGGCATCACTTGTTCCAACCTCACTCAGAGCGTCATCCAGTGTAGTCAACACCCAACTTCCAAACGAATAGACAATACACCAATAAATATTATTGGCTGCAATGGATTACCAACCAAACATTGATTATTGTGACACATGTCTAATTTGCCCAGTGCAAAAACATGTCGTACCATCATCCTTTGAAAGCCAAGATGTAGTTTTGTGTTCGACGATAACTCGTTCATTCATTCAAAGTTACACAATGGATAGAGATAATAAGAATAGTATACATATAGTGTTTCACAATCGATTATTGTGTCGACGCATATTACAACATGTTAGTGACATTCATCGTCAATGGAGTAGTCCAACAACAACAACAACAACAACATCAAGGAAGAAGAATGATGATGATGGCAACCAAGTACCTTGTATAAAGTCAACTATCAAAGGTGCCAAACTTCATGCCAATGGCAATCTTGTTGAGATGTTGCGATACAATGCCACACAGATGTTCATCGAGGCATTTGACAGAGTCGCCATCAACTACCCCCACAACAACCAGTTGCTGATTCCAAGTGCAGTGCGTTACAACAATGCAACTGTATACAAACATCTATGTAAACATCCAAACATGTTGGTGGACCATAGAGTTGGCAAAGACCTTCTAGCCAACCTTTGTAAATATGGCAACCTGGACATACTCCAACAGTATCTCGCAATCAATGTCTATCGCCCTTTCCCAGTGGGCATAATGGAACATCTCCAGAAGGCCGTTGACACTGGAAATGATCAGTTTGTTCGACTGCTTCTCAAAGTACTGCACGAGGAGTCCTTTGACGTTACTCGCATATTGAAGGTGGCACTCTTACGATCGACAGTGTCCAACATGTTGGACAGTGTTCATTATATCATGGAGAGTGTTGTTCCATCCATCTCATTGAAGAAAGACGACAATTTTTTGTTGAAAATCTTCAATGATTGTCTGCTTCACTGTTCCAAAACAGGCAACGTCGACATGTTCAAAGTGTTTAGCTCATCTACTGTTGGCGCCCAACTACTGAAGGGTTGTGAACTTGGAAACATCATCGATCATGGCCACGAATCATTCATCAAGCACCTCTTTGATCATCATGTTGGCAACGACACCATCACCAAGATGTCCGAGAGGCACATTCGACAAGCAATGGAGAGGTCAACAACAAATGGATATGGAGGCGACTCAACAATGTCCACCGAGGTCATTCCCAATCCAAGTACCAAATCTAAGCCACCAGTCACACTGATGCAAGCGATCCACAATGATGACATTTTGGCCGTAGAGGAGTTGCTCATGCGCAATCGTGAAGGGATTGAGTTGGATGGACACACATGCCATAAAATGTCGGAGCCCATGGCAAGACTGCTCAGCAGTCCTCGAACACCTAAGCTGAACTTCTGCGACTCAATCATTAACATGGTGGAGGCAGTTCACAAATCAGGAAGCAACATCACCGTGGACATTGTGTGTCATTTCATTGATAATTGTGAACATTATGCAACAAACTACAATAGTGATGATGATGATGATGATGATGATGATGATGATGATGATGATGATGGATACTATGGGCATTTCATGGAAGCAATGATATTGGCCGCTAGATTCTCATTGAAGCTTATGAGCACACTCAAAGTTCGGTTCGATATCAGTTACAACATGCAATGTTTGGTCGAGGCACTTGAATCAAAGTGCCGCGAGACAATGGAGGTATTGTTTCAAGAATTAGATCCTGGTCAGATCGATGTCAGGAAGACAATATTCAATAGCATTAGTGAAGAGTCTGCATCATTGGAGGAGATCACATTCATTCTGGATCGCGTGGTTGAGATCAGGAATGACCCCATCATCTGTGAATATGTCATGTACAATGATGATGAGCATGTTATTGAACAAGTGATCAACATGTTTACTCCAGAGCAAATGAGTGACAAGGAGTTGAGTTCAATCATATCAATGGCAATGATGAACAACAAGCTACACATTGTAAAATTACTCCAACAACGATTCATATCGAATAGATCATCCAATACTCTTTTTCGTCCTGACCTCTGGACACTAATGGTCATGACTAAGGATAATGCATACAACACACTCGAGTACCACTTCAACTCATCGACATTCGCCAACATTCCAATAATACATCGATTGCGAACCATTCACCGAATCATGGACCTTGCTTATGAACATGGAATGACCAGAGTGGTCAACCTGTGCGCTGATCAGATCAAGGCCACCACCACGTCAACATCAATGGTTAAGCACACGTAAGTTCTTGAATCATGATCAATGCGTGTTATCTCAACTTACTTACTAACTCATTCATTCTCAAACAGACATAAAGATACAACAATGAATGACGTTCAAACAAGTTCAAGCAAGGAGTTGGAGACAGCGTTTCACACAGTGTTCAGAGATAGGAAGCTTGGAATGCTGATCATGGGACAGATCGAGGCGCAAAATGATTCAGAATGTGAGGATGGTATTCTAAAGATCAAGGGTGCACAGTTGTTCAACGATCGTTGCCTTGAAGATTTCATTCGTTATGGCGCATTAGAATGGTTCCACAAGGAGTACTCTACATCCACATTTGGAACAATCCCCAACTTAATATTCCTGGGCAGTGCAATGGAGTACGACTTGCGATGCATCAAGACCCTTTTGGCAAACCCCATGATGTCGTTTTATCGAGACCCAAGCACGAACTCATTCTTTTGGAACTTATCATCATGTTCCCATCCTGAATGGGAGTGGATGTTTGATCAGTTCATCATAATCACTTCTCCCCAGACATCAAATGTTGCCCTTGATGACAAGTTAATTTCAAATATCCGCCATCCATCATTCCTCCGCAAACTCATGGAATTGGATATCAAAGTCACACGTACAACAAATGAAGAGAATGAAGAGAGTGAAGAGAATGAGCAAATCAACAACATGACCAAGGGATGGCTCACCAAGCCCTGGGCTTTGGAGATGTTCCAACTACTGGAACAACACTCCTTCATAGGTGTGGAACTCCGCAATGGACTATTACTCAAAGCAGTTGAGCACGACATCAAATCAATCATTGTATATTGTATCGATCAACAATATATAACCAACTCATTGGAACTTCTAAAGCAATGTTGCCAGTTTGGACGAGTTGACCTCATGGACAAGCTACTTCCATTCCTTCCCAAGCCACAGTGCTCCACTCTGTTCAGACACTCCTTGCAACACGGTCATCTTGATATCATAGGAAAGATCCACTCTCTCTTTGTCCAATCATCCGGCAACGATTACCATATAGAATTTCTAGAGTTTCTCAAGATTCCTTTGGTCAGTGGTCACTTGGATGTTGTCAACTTTATACTGGATATCCGATCAAACTTTAATGACGATAAGTTAAAGACATTGAGACCATGTTTTATCAGTGGAATTGGCCCAAACATCATTTCTGTTGACTTGATCAAACGATTGATGACCATTCCCAAACTCACCTTCGACTTTGACAACCTGTTATCATTGGCAATCAAACATGGAAACAAGGATATGATCACATTTGCAATGAATGAGTGCTCTGAATCTTTGGTGTCAGGTAATCACCTTGAAAGTGCATTTCAAGTTGGTGATGTGAACACAGTCCGAGCGATCATCGACAGAGTGCCAAAGTTCACTATATACATGGATATCTTTCCCTCATTGTTCGAACACATTGGAGAACCCAACAGCAAAGTCACTGAGGATGTGATGATTGAGCTGGTAACCAAACTTACCAACATCGGGTTAAAGTTATATTTATCAAGAGTACTCTTAAAGGTGGCGTCCATGCCAGTGTCAGTGATCAAGATGGTGATCAAACATTTCACATTCGACAATGGTGAAATCTTGACCAGTAGCCTTTTGAGTGGGGCAATGGAGATCAGTGTCAAACGTGCTGATTTGGAAACAATAGATTATCTCATCCAACATATCATTTTGAAGAACAACAACTACAACAACAACAACGTGAGGATAAATGAGCTCATCAACTTGGAACATTGCAACACATCTGTATTGGAGTATCTGTTTGACAAAGGACACATCAGTGTGAATGACAACCATGATCAGTTGGCACGATTGATAGATTGGGCCTGCTCCAAAGGACACTTGGACATCATCAAGTGTGTTCATCAACGATGTGCCACACCATCACAACTTCAAAGACAACTCCCAACACTGGAACCAATTTTGAATGCATCCTGTATGAACCATCACCAAGTCATCAGTTATCTGTTTGAAGGTAATGATTCTCCATTCCAACGATCACAGGTCAAGATGGACATGATACCATTGCTCCAAGCTGTCAGATACCAAGCTATCAAATATTATGGCAATCTAAACATCATAGAGATATGTGATCGATTGTTGTCCAGTATGTCAATAGACCAGATCACTGGTGGAAGTGGAGTCAAGAGACGAATACATGAAGACCATGATGCCAACACTACTCTATCAATCAAGGCAGCAAGGATCCAATCAACTTAATCATCCACACGTAAGCAATGAATAAATGAATGTCTACTCTTAGTTGGTTTGGTTGTATTGATTTATTCAAGACATGCCAGTCTCCATCTCTATCTAACATATCATCAAAATGGCTGGAAGGTAGATGAAGCCAGACAACAGAAGGTTTGTTTGAGTTTGTAGGAATATTGTTGGGGATATTCGTCGGAGTTGGATCCTTGTGACGGCATTGCCAATCATGAGCTCAAAATGGAGAACGGTCGGCGGCATAAGACGAAGGAAATTCTTGACATCTAGTTTGTTGCCTCCAGTCCAGGTCAATCTCGACACATTTGGTCCAATAATAGATGGGTCCAATCGTTGCTTATAACCTTCTAACCTAAGATCTGTGACAGAGTTTGGAATATCACATTTCTTCAATGGACAATCATACTGATCCAAAGTTAGTGATGTAATATTTGTTGGTGTATTTCCAAGGTGCCACAGTTCTTGGTGCGAGCTACTTTTAGAGAATTGTATTCTCAACGACTGAAGGCCATCGGGAGTTGAGACGGGCTGTTGACAATTACTGATTGCCAACTTCTTGAGTGATGATGACGATTGTGACAAGTCAAGAGGATGGGACTGAAACCCTCTAACAATCATCACCGCAACCAACTCTTCCAGTACCGGGAAGCGAGATAATGTAATGTCGATAAGCTCTTTTGAATAGACGGAGTACATAGTAAGCTTGAGCAGACGGGGAAAGACCAGATTGGACAATATGTTTGTTACAAGACATTGTCTGGAGAGGTTCAATATTTCCAAGGTTTCATGATCTTGGCTCAAGTCATAGGTTGGTGTGTTCAAGCTGAGGTCAGTGATGCTTGATGGAAGCTTTCCGATATAGCGACAAAGCATGAGTGTTGTGATCGAGGGCGGAAGTATCGCATTCTGTGTACCTCCATAATGTGTGATGACCAATGTCTTGAGTCGTGTTAGGCTAGTCAGGTCTAGTCCAGGATGGAAGATATAGCCAACGTAGATTTTGAGTGAGGTCAATGACAGTGGAAGATGACTAGTATCTCCCTGTCGATAATCTTGTGGCCCATAATCATCAATTCGCGCGGGGTACTGATTGAATACTAGAGAGCTGATGGGTACATGTCGTAACGCTGGCACCAGCAATCCGGTCATCAGTTGGTATTCAATCAAGTGTGGCGCATCGTTACGAGTTCTCAATTTCTCAAAGAAGGGAGTGGCATTGTTCCAGAACTCCTGGTCGAATGGTGTCTCTTGGCAATCCATGAAGGTAATGCTAAAGATGTGCGGCTCGCTCAACACTTTATCCATCCAACTACAGTAATCCTCGTCCTCCGTGTTGTCATACTTATCTATCATATCGAGGGTCGTAAACATGTAAGTATGTATGTATGATTACCTTAACAATTAAATGATATGTACATTCATAACATACTATACAGGATGTAGCGATTATAGAATTTGGACCTTCTTTCTTGAGACGAATGAATGAGTATTGATACGCCATTTGTTGGTCGTACTATTTCTTCAAAGCTATCATCAATCATCTGTTTGTAAGAGTGAAGTGAAGTTGCTATCTTGATCTTGTCATTCCTCTCGGGGACCAGCATTTCTTGTTTGAAACGGCAATATACATATCTATATTCAAACCATCTCTTGCACACCAATGTCAATATCAATCGATCACCATTGTCATCAAGATACTCAACAATATGTTTCAATATTATCAGTGGAAATTGAGAGAACTCCATTCATTATCTAATCTCTATTATCTGTACACTCTTATAAATGTTGTTGAATAAATGAATGAACGAATTAACCTGTTTGGTTTTGATTGATTGACAGGTAGTGATCAGTAGGGTGCATGTTTGGACACCAGTTCACATCTAACCTAAGTCATACACTACACTATACCTATACATATATTCACATAGTTCAGTTCAGTTCAGTTTATCAGAATGAACAAACAAATAATCTATACAATCATAGCAGCGGTGTTTGATGATGCGTCTCAATCACTCAAGTTTAAAATAGACTTGGCATTGGTGAGCAAGGTATTCTTTGATGTTGTATCTCTCAAGCACTTCAATCATATATTCATTAATGGAGTATGTCACCATACTACACATCTTCGACCAAACTGCAGGAGGAATATCAAGGATCTGGTCATGCACTTGCAATCTCCACATTGTATTCTGAAACATCTGCTCTCGGTCACAATTGAACAGAGTATACTGTATCACAAACCGTCATTTGAGGATCTTCTCAATAATGGTTCATCACTCTTCCATGCCACCGAGAGTCTGATAATCATAATGGCATTCCCAAACAGAGTTGACAATATAGTCCAATTCCTTGTGACATGCTTTGGCAACTGTGAACATAACCGAAACACTTCTTTGCGACACTTGAAGATCAATTATCTGGATCAACATGTCTCCGTCATGATGTTTGAGAAGTTGATCAAAGGTAACTTTCCGTTTCAACATATCTCCTCACTCGACATCATCTATTCTCCAGCCTCAAGACATCAACAAAACTTGACAAATCAATCAAACACATGTACTCTACAGAGCATCGCGGACATTAATATATCTTTACCTCAACTTGTAAGTTATCAATCTTATCATATGGACCAATTGGAAGTGTTCTGCGCTCCCAGTCTACTCTACTACAACTCACAACATTGATCCTGGGCAGATCAATTGGTCATCGACAGAACTTCATGAAGTCATTCTTTTATCTTGAGGAACCAAAGGCCTTCTTCCAGTCGCTCGCCCAGAACCAAGTTCTTCAAAGATTGGAACTATTCCTATTCAATCAAACTGGATTCAATGATTACAAGGAGTACTTTTTCGACTACCTGCAGGGCAACAGCTCCCTGAACACACTGGCACTGGGATTCATCAGAAACCCAACATATCTCAACATCATCGCCTCCAAGCACAACATCAAACGTCTTCAGATCTCGATGAATGAGCACATGGATTTCCCAGCCGTCAGATCATTGGTATTGTCCTCCAGAGAGGACAGCAATGTCTACTCCCAACTGGTGGCCATCAAAGAGAATCACGGAAAAATACGTTGTGGACTGGAATCACTTACACTCAAGTTCTATCAATCGTTCCACACATCATATATCAAAATCATTGAGAACCTGCCATCTCTCTGTATTATCATTGACACCCTCAGGTACCTTCGTATTGAGCTGCCACCATATCACAGTCATATAGACAACTACGACAAACTCTTTTGGAACTTTGGTCAGTTCTCAAGAGGCACATTGGAATGCCTGCACCTTGTGGCCACAGAAGAGTATTTTAACTTTGATTTCCTCATTGCATCTGTCCAATATGTACCGACGTCTTCAAACGATGGGCCAGGCGCTGGTTCTCTCAAAATGATCATAATTGACATTTATGATGGCAACCTCCTCAGAAGAACACCTCCAGATTTTGGAAGCTACAGTTTGGTCGATAGCTCGATCCATTATTGCAAGACTGATACCAGTACTTACTTCACGCGATTGAAACTGTTGACCAATCTGCAACAGGAGACTCCATTATCCATGCCATTGCTAGATGAAAATGATGAGATATTCTGGGATGGAAACGAGATATTTCTAAACGAATTGGAATCAGATAACCACCAGTTCCAAGCTGGAGAGCGCTACGTCTACGAGCATGAGGACGAGTTTGAAGAATTGGAATCATATGGTTGTGTGTTTTCAGATTAAACAAGTTGGCAACTCAATCAATAACAACCTTCCCACTTGTGCCTTTGATATCTGTTTGATTTATTGATTCAAAGCCTGCCATGATGTCTTGATTTGTTCCAATGTGTATCCATTAAACAAAGTGACTGGAGATGGACCAAGTCGATGAAGCCAGACCGCAGGAGGTCTGTTTGAGTTTGTAGGAATAGTGTTTGGGATATTCGTCGGAGTTGGAACCATGTCTTGTCAATCATGATATAAAGATGGAGGATGGTTGTCGGAATATGTTGAAGGAAATGCCCGACAACTTGTTTGTTGCCTGCGCGCCATGTCAACTTCGACACATTGGGACCAATAATACTAGCTGGGTTCAATCGTTGTTGATAACATTCGAGCTTCAAGTCTGTCACAGAGTGTGGAATATCTCCTTTCTTCAATAGATAAACATCATACATAAACAAGACCAGTTCTGTAATACCTTTTGGTGAAACGCCATTGTGCCACAGTTCTTGGTTTGGCAAATTACGTTTAGAGAAATGTACGCTCAATGTCTGAAGGCAATTGGGAGCCAAGATGGGCTGGTGGCAATTGGTGATTGTCAACTTCTTGAGAGGAGATGATGATAGAGTGAAGTCCAAAGGTTGGGACTGGCGCCATCCAACAGTCATCACAGCTTTAAACTCTTCCAGTGCCGGGAAGAGTGATAATGTAAATATATCTTCCAGCAATTTTGAATCGACAGAGAATACAGTGAGCGAACGTAGATGGGAAAAGACCAGTTTGGATAGTATGTTTGTTTCGAGACAATGTTTGGAGATGTCCAGTTTCTCCAAGGTTTGGTGATCGTTGCTCAGATCATAGGTCAGGGTGTCCAAGTTGAGCTCAGTGACGCTTGGTGGAAGCTTTCCCAACGGCTCTACAACACCGCGCCCAATCAAGAGCGTGGTAAGTGAGGGTGGAAGTATCGCATACTTAGTAAGCTGAGTGCCGCCATAATATGTGATGCTCAATGTCTTGAGTCGCGTGAGCCTGGACAGGTCGAGTCCAGGTTGGAAGTTATAGTCATTGTTGACTTTGAGTGTGGTCAATGACAGTGGAAGATGACTCGGATCTCCTAGTCGATTTCCCATTACCTCATAATCTTCATCTTGCATGATGTACTGATAGAACGATAGAGAGGTGATTGGTAGCACTCGTAATGCTGGCACCAGCAATCCAGACACCAGTTTGTATTCTATCTTGTGTGGCGCATCGTTGCGGGTACTCAATTTCTCAAAGAAGGGAGCTGCTTTGGTCCAGAACTCCTGGTCGAAAGGCATCTCATTGCAATCCATGAAGGTAATGCTCAAGATGTGCGGCTCGCTCAACACTTCATCCATCCAATAGTCGTCGTCTTCTATACCTGACCATCGATATTATTGATAAGTATATATATGTATGGTTGTATTGTTATTCATGAATAACATACCAAACAAGATGTAACGATCATAGCCAAATTGATCATGTTCTACATCCGAATGAATGAGTATGGATACGCCTTTTGATAGGATCGCTTCGAAGCTATCACCAATCATCTGTTTGTAAGAGTGAAGTGAAGTTGCTATCTTTGTCTTGTCCTTCATCTTGACCATCATTGTTTGTTTGAAGTGGCAATATACATGTCTATATTCATACCATCTCTTGCACACCAATGTCAATATCAATCGATCAACATTGTCATCAAGATACTCAACAATCTGTTTCAATATAGTCAGTGGAAGTTGAGTGAACTCCATTCATTATCTAATCTCTATTATCTGTACACAATTATATGTTGTTGTTTGACAAAATGAAAGTGTGTGAAGGGCAAGGGTTGAGATGTTCTCTAAAAGTGACAAAGTTAGAATATTTCTGACTTTCATTCACATTCACATACTCGTTCACATAACAGGTAACAGATAATAACAAACAATGGGACAACTACTATGCTATCCTGTTGATAAAGCATATAATATCAATGGAAAGAAGTACATATGCTCAAGATTGTTGGCCGAAGGTGGATTCTCTTTCGTCTACTTGGTCAAAGGTATGTTTGATATTATTGTACGAATGAATGAATGAATGAGGTGACTGACAGACTTGTAACCAACATAACATAACATAGATGCCTCGGGAAGAAGATATGCATTGAAGTCAATGCTATGCCAAACAGCAGAGTCTGAACAGGTTGCAAATAGGGAGATACAGGTGTTTAATAAGTTCAATCATCCGAATATATTGAGATTAATTGATCATTCAGTTTGCAAGTCTCACAAGGTACAGGGTGCAAAGGAATACAACATGTTGATGCCATTCTATAAGGATGGTTCACTTCAAGATGTATTGGATCGTCAGCGAACTGTAAATGGAAAGGATTACACCATCAGTATTTATAATGAGCACCAACTGCTCACTACATTCCGTCAGATATTAGATGCCATCGCTCAGTTCCATCATTGTGATCCACCTCTAGCTCACAGGGATATCAAGGTAACTACCCTCACTCAATCATTCGATCACTTAATCAATCACTCACTCAATCAATCATAACAACATAGCCCGGCAATGTATTATTAAGTGATGAGAAGAAGCCAGTGTTGATGGACTTTGGCTCGACTACACAGGCAAGGATAAGGGTCACATCAAGGAAACAAGCGTTGGAGGTACAGGAGGAAGCAGACCAACATTCAACACCACTGTACAAGGCACCAGAGCTATTTGATGTGGCCTCAGATTGTAATCTGGACGAACGAACAGATATTTGGGCATTGGGATGTCTTCTCTATGCAATGTCATTCAATCGATCACCTTTTGAATCATCAATGGACAACAACTCTGGCAGTGTGGCACTGTCAGTTCTCAGTGGCAGAGTGGACATCCCGGCCTCACATTCCTTCTCCAACGAGCTCATTCAACTGATACGCAGCATGCTGTCACTGAACCCTCAAGAGCGACCATTCATCGACAATGTCATTCAACAAGTGGATGCGATGCTTTAGGAGTGGACCACCCGCGATCACCTCAACCAACAATCAATGTATCATACAGGTCGAATGTAATATACTCTTTATTATTCATGTATATCATCCATAGTTGTACACTTCAGTTCCCCCACTCAATGGTCCCGTTGGCGTCTGCTGTTGCTGTGGCTGTTGCTGCGACTGTGATTGGGACTGTGATTGTGGTGCACTATTATTGGCGACGCCAGAGAAGAACTGTGGCAGGCTCTGGCCCTGACCTTGGACCTGACCCTGGTTCTGGCTCTGGCTCAAACCAGACTGTGCCTGAGGTTGTTGGGGAGTTGTGGCACCACCACCCTGTCCCGGCTGAGTGCAATTGATACCCTGCCCACTGGTGTTGCCGCCACCGCCCTGCTGCCCAATCACTTTGGCCTGCTGCAACTGCTGCAGTTGGAAGTTATCGTTTACGATTGGCGCAGCGCTGGCGTTGTGGACGCCAGGAGGTGGCGTGCAAGGATAGTATAGATGATGCGGATCAAACACATACTGTGGACTGTTGCTAGTGCTGCTGCCACTGCTGAACAGGACGGGCTCGAAGCTGCCCTTGTTCATGTATCTCGAGTACAGGAAGTTGGGGTCGGATGGCGCCAGACTGGAGGACAGCACTGGCACGATATGATAGTCCTCATAGGTCCTGAAGCCTGGTTGGCTCAGCTTGGGAGACTGTATCGTATTGTTGGACAATGATGACGATGGCGACATGTCATACGGCTCAGAATGGTGTCGACTAAATATATGTTGTTGCTGCTGTTGCTGTTGCTGTTGGTGCTGTGGCTGCAGCATTGGTAGGCCGTCAGCGCTGTTGAACACACTTGTGCTGCCCGGAGTGGTGGTGGTGGAGCTGCCGCCGCCGGGCACGCCTGGCGAGGTGGGTGGCACGTAGGCGCCGGTCTTGGACAGGACGTTGGGCTCGCTGTTGGACATGTTCTTGCGCTTCAGATTGATGAGGTTGTGGGAGAATCCAGTCATGCTGCGCTTGAGTGGATTGAGGTTGGACAGTTGCTTCGGGCTCGACATGGGGTTGGGCACCGATTGGTTGGCAGCCTGATGCGGGCTAAGTTGTAATTGTTGCTGCTGTTGCTGCTGAGGATGGTACAGCATTTGCTGGTTGGCACCATTCGCGTAGAACATATGTGGCGAGGTGCAGTTCGATGGAATGTCCTTGCGTGTGAGTGGAGGCGAGTTGGCAGGGTCCTGGTTGTTGGGGACCATGCCCATGTGTTGATATGGAGGGGTATTGTATTCGACGGATATTCTGCGATTGATGTTGGGGTGCCCGACAACATTGGCCACGCCAGGTGGCAACAGTAGCAGTTGATGTTGATTTGGATGTTGTTGAGGCGAGTATAGGTATGGGTGGGGCTTGGACATTGTTGGCGAGGGCACTGACACCAGGGATGCCTCGTCCAGTGGTGGACCCATCTGATGGTGGGCGTATATATTGAGGCCATGGGTGGGCGGAGTCAGGCAGTCAGAGTGCGGTGACGTGCTCATGAGGAATGAGTTCTGATGGCTGAGTGTTGGCGAGCAGAACATCTTGGGCTGGAAGAATGTGTATCCATTGTTGCCTCCACCGCCACCGCCATTGTTGCTGATTGATAGTCCATCGATGTTTGGACTTGATGTTGGCGTGCTCAGGCCATATGTCTTGATCGATAATAGACCATCGCCAGAGTCTGCCAAATTGTTGACATTGATTCCATTGTGCACAACCAAGTTGGCATTGCTCATATTGTTGTTATTGTTGTTGTTGTTGTTGTTTCCATGTTGCTTGGAGTTGGAGTTGGATACTGATATAGTCTTGGAAGAGGACGATGAAGGAGATGATGTGATGTTACCAGGTGTGGTTGAAGTTGCAGTGGCGTTGGCTTGGGGCTTGACCTTCTTCTCCCTCTTCTTCCTTGGCAGGTCATAACAAGTATGACCAATGTCTTGCTTCATACATCTCGTACAAGGTCTTTGCTGATCGCATGCCACCTTTGAGTTCCTACAGTTAAGACAAGCTCTTCTAACTCGTTTGATCATTCTCGTCTATATATATCTTCTTTGGGTCAATATTATTGATTGATTGATTTGTTGATTGAGTGAGTGAGTGATGGACGTTGATCAATTGAATGAATGGATACTTACTTAAAATTACAAGGGTTATAATGTCCAGGTAGAATGGACTGATTGATGGATTGATTGATGGATTGATTGATGGTATTATTTCTGGATGTAGTTCCAAAGGTCTGTCGAATGATTAATGATTAATAAAATATTATTGTTGACTTAAAAGATCATTGTAAATGGACTAAACAGGAAGAGTCAGAGATATTAGTCATCACCATTCAGGCAGCATTCATGAATGGAGTAATAATAGTTATTATTAGTATTGGATGTGGATTGATTAATTGATTGATTGATTGATTGATGAAAGGATGATTGGATAGATAGATGGATAGGGTAGACTAAGGAATGCATCATAATAATGTCCAAGATCATGATGGACATGGGGAAGGGTGTATGTGTGTGTGCTCCACATCATCATGCCAAAAGTGATATATGATTGATGGACTGATGGACTAATGGATGGATGTCAGGTGTTCTGTCTGGATGATTGATTGATCCACACACACTCTAAATTGAAAGACATCGTCTTGCTTGGACGAGTGGTGCGTGTGATGTGTGTTAAGTGTGATTGATTGATTGATTAAGTGAGTGGTGTGATGTCAGATGTGTGGATTGGACTCAGCTGACATACTCCCTCCCTCCTCACTCTCTATACTATATGTGTGATGTGTGTTTGTGAAGTCACTGAAGGATCTTAGATACACACACACCACATCTTGACTCTTTGTCATCAGTCAGTCATTATTTCAATGAAGTCATGTAATGATGGTCGACCACCAACCACATCACTCTTCACTATCATCCACACACAACATGTCATGTCAGATTGTGTTTGAATGGATGGATAGTGATGTCTATGTTGTAGACTACCCCTTTTTTTTTGATGCTCCTCCCTCCTTGATCCTCCTACTCTTACTCCATAAGCAGTAGCATTACTGATTGATTGATTGATTGATTAAGTACGAGTGTATATATCAATCGTACTTGCTGATGATGATGATCATCACCACCTATTTGATTCATCGTATTAATTTAGTTGAACTTAGAATTAATATTTGTTTGTTTGTTTGATTGATTAATTGATTGATTGATTGATTGATTGACAAATGGTTTGAATTGAATGGATAATAAACATGTCTTTTGGTATTGTTATTGATGCAATTCAACACCTCCACTTAAAATTAACACACATGGAAAGACGTCTGATTGGTGCTTGCTGATGACATTGAAGGTCATTCATTCATTCATTGATGGTCACCACACAGTCACACACAAATACGATAACACTCTATCGATCTCTGATTGCTCTACAGTCCTGTCTAGAGTGTCACGTGGTGTCAATGTCGATCCAACCATGTACATGAGTTACATCCATGTATGCAACTGTTTGAATGTTTGTTTGAATGTGATTGATATGTTCCACTCAATCGACTCTTGATTTTGTTGGCTCCTTGAACATGCGATGAATTGGACAATCGCTGCTACTTAAGTTGTGTGTGACTTGTGTGTGAGGTCATCGGCATCTACATCATCTACATTGATCCACATTATCCACATCTTCCACATCATCCACGTCAGCGGGGGCAGGCCTACACACATCACAGGGTACAGGTATTGACCCCATCATCCATCAACATCATATGATTGATTGATTGATCATACATACACACCACACAACAGTATGTATGTATGTATGTGATACCATTCAATCAATCAATCAAAGATGGAATACCCAGTTCTGATCATTCCTGTCCAAGTTCTTGTATCTTAATATCTCTTTGATACCTGCATCCACCTCTGCATTATACATCTCCAATTTCTTTGAGTCGGTCACTGCTCTATTCAATCTAAAGTCTATTGTTATTGTTGTCATTCATTGATTAATTGATTGATTGATTGTTAGGTCAATAAGTTATTCAGTGAGTCGTTCAGTCAGTTTCAGAACTATGGCCTACCTTCTTTGACAAGTGCAAGCAATCTATCTCTGCTCCTCGATGGATATGTTGGAAGGTTTCTAATTAGGAACCTATATTTATGAATCATTATTGACATCTTTGTATTATATTATATAATATTATATTATATTTGTATCTATCTTAGTGTGATGATGATCAAAAGATTACATGTTAGGTCTACCATGCTGAACTGAGTTGGTGATGAATACTAAAAATATTAATTAAAATCAATTTGTTTTGTCAAACAATCAAAAAAACGAATGATTCGTCAAATGATTTGAAATCAATCGAGAGACGAGTAATAATATTAATATATTCATACATACAAATAATAATATAACAATAATGGAGTATCAAATTATTCAACAGTACTTGGAGCAGAATGGATTCAAACTCACATTGGAGAGTTTGAAGAAGGAAGCCACAAAGAAAAAGGTTGACCTCTCAACAAACAACAAAGATACTCCAACTCTAGTCGATCTCTTGAAATTATATAAGTATGTTGTTATTGTTGTCGTTGTTGTTGGGTTTGGTAATAATGATGATACTAATATAATATAACTACCATAGCCAACAACAGAATGGTACAACAAACAAGAGAAAGCATGATGATGATGACGACGAGGAGGATAGTGATGACGAGGAAGAGGCAACATTGAAGAAACAAAAGACTGAGGATTCAAGTGATGAGAGTGACAGCAGTGAGAGTGAGAAGGAGGATGAGAAGAAGAAGAAGGTTGTAGACTCGAGTGACAGTGAATCAGAGAGTGAAGACGAGAAGAAGAAGAAGGACAGTTCAAGCGAGAGTGAATCAGAGAGTGAGAGCGAGAAAGAGTCCGCCAAGAAAGTTGAAAGCGACGACAGCTCAAGCGAGAGTGAGGTAGAGGAGCCAAAGAAGGTCGAGCCAAAGAAGGCTGAGACAAAGAAGGCTGAGACAAAGAAGGCTGAGACCAAGAATGCTGAGACCAAGAAGGTCGAGACAAAGAAAGAGTCAGAGGATGAGGAGGAGGAGGAGGATTCAATGGTCATCACCAAGGATGAGTCAAGTAATACTACATCATCAAACAAGAACAATACACCAAACAACAAGTATAACAACAATAACAATTATAATAACAGCAATGGAAAGCAACAACAAAAAGGAAACACACCATTTAGAAGAGTAAAGGAGGAGGAGGTCCAGATTGATCGTCACATGAGGGCTGCCGACTACATCTCAGAGACTGATCAATGGGGACTGAGCATCAACAGAAACATGGCCAAGACCAAGGGCAAGGGATTCCGCACTGAGAAGACCAAGAAGAAGAGAGGTTACACCAACTGCCAAATCAGCCACGAGGTCAGCAGCTACAAGTATCCAAGTGATGACGAGTAATCATTCATTCAATCAATCAATGACAATAAAGAATGAATTGAATCAACTCCAAAGATACATGTTACTATAGTCTAGGCTTGGCTTGGCTAGTTAGCCAGCCAGCCATGTCAGACCAAAGTTTAATTGAATGAAAAGACGACGTTGCTGCCAATGCATGGATGATGATGAAAGACTGACTAATGTTACAACTACCTGGAACTGACTGTCCTGATGTCAAAGTTAGCTCCTCGCAGATTGACACCGATCAGGTTGGCCTTGTGCAGGTTGGCACCGCGCAGATTGGTATCCTCCAGGTTGGCACCGGCAAGATCCGCTCCACGGAAGTTACAGTTCTCCAAGTTGGCACCCTTAAAGTTAGCCACTCTCAGATTGGCTCCACTAAAGTTAGCCTCCTCCAACGTTGCATTCTTAAAGTTGCAGCTCTCCAATGTTGCTCTCTGTCCACCTCTATCTTCGAAATTCGTTCCCTATATTTGATTGATTGATTGATTGAATGTGAGTGGAATAGTTCCATGTCCCATTTGATTGAATGAATGAATGAACATACCCTTAATATACAGTTCTCCAGGTTGGCACCTGAGAGGTTGGCACCACGAAGGCTTGCCCCACAGAGATTGGCAAAGGAGAGGTCGGCCTCTTGTAGTAGGGCATTGTCTAGATTACACTTGGAGAGATTGGTCTCGCGGAAGTTGGTCATCTTGAAGTTGATGTTCCTGAGGTCCAGTTTGGAGAGATCGACGCCAGACAGGTTCAGACCCTGGCATCGCAGACTGGAGTTGGACGACGACGTCAGCAGGATGGAGATGACATCCTTTCGAGTGAAGACATCGGTGCGGTTCTTGCGATCGACCAGCAGCGCCAGCTTGTCGGTCATGCCGCTGATGTTGAAGAAGCGCGCCTCAAGATAGACGCCCTCGATGTTGACGCCATCGTCAATGATTATGTTGCCACATCGCAGATAGTTCAGTATTGGTGCAAAGTACTCGGGTGAACGATCGATAAGATAGCTGCCATTGGAATCGCGTGTTGACTCCCAGTTCTCGCCAAACATCTTGGCGAGCATGCTCTCGCGGTCCTTGATAAGAGTGGAGCGCGTGGTGGAGAAGATGCGTCCGCCCACATTGATCGTGACCCATTCGCTGCCATCGTAGCCGCCACATCTGCCACCGGCCTCATTATAGAGGAATGGCACGCCATGATTGTTGTTGTTGGTGGCCACGCCGCCACCGACCATGAAGTCCTTCAGTGTGCCTGGTGTGATGAATGCTTCGCCACATGATGCGTACAGTATCTCCTTTGGTACGAGCAGTTCCACATCATCTATTTCGCCACCGTCCTCGTTGAAGATCCTAGTCACAGGCAGCAACAACTTCTTTGATACCAACTTTAAGAACTCACCCCACTTCTTTGGTATACTAACAGCCTTGCCTCCCGTCTTCTTTCCATTCTGAAAGACGGTAACTCTTTTCCTACTACTTGGATCGCTCATTGCTGCTCCGATCATAAGTTATGTATGTATTTATGTATATATATAGATTGATTGATTGATTGATTGATTGAATGGGTGAGTGAGTGAGTGAGTTTGAAGTCCTCTCTTGTGACTTTAGAATATAATGTTAGTTCTAAACTATCTATGAATATATAACTATTAATATAACTATTATAACTAACTAACTAACTAACTAACTAATGATGATAGTACAAACAAAGAGATAATACATCATCACATCACCATCTCATCGATGATAGGGGTTTGACTCCTCACACATGCATGATAACACAAAGACACCACTAAATCAAAAGGTTGTGTGGTAGACGGGAAGTTGTGTTTGAATAAATTGAGAGTTGGTGTGTGAGATGGGGCGATGAGTGATCGATCTCTAGTTGTTCTCTCTATCTCTATCTTCACTTAACTTAGTAGTTATAATGAAGGTATAAGTTGATGTGGAGTTGAATAGTAATAATAATAATAATAATAATAATGATTTTCACTTACCTATAGTAATGTTATTCCAAAGATTAATTTATAATAATAATAATAATGTATGAATGATTAGTCATAGATGTAATTCATGTACAAAGTATACTTTGGTAGTTATCCATATCCATTCCACTTTATTACATTATCATGATGACCTAAACAAAGGTGAACACAACAATGCTTTGTAAAAACTTATTCATCACAAACAATTCCGTGAATACCAATCTGCAAAGTGAATGTGTATCTAAATTAGCTCCCACACGGATCTCACGACTGTTGGGCATCACACTGAGATCCTTAAAGTTGTATCCTATTCCCAATAGAGTAAATGTTGTCATTTGTTCAATGGTCCAAAATATATTATTATTATTATTTAATTAATTAATTATTTGTAAGGAATAGAATACTGATCATACTTGGTAACAGGTTACCCATCATCATTATACTATCAGTCAGAAAGATGTTTGCAAACACCCATTAAGAGGATATATCTTCTTTCGATTTTTCAAATTGGTTGTCGTTCAACTTGTCCTTTTGTGTTTATTATTGACAAACAAATGAATGATTTTTGGGACATGGTTTGCCCCTCACGACCAACACAAAGCACTCAATGCCGAAAGTCAACTTGAAAGTCAGTTGAGTAACAAAGCACATAACACATAATAATAAATATCTATTGAAACAGATACATAATATATATTACATAATATATAAATTCAATTATGAGTACTACTTCACAATCAAATCTGGTGAAGAGAAGGACACAACCAGATGAGCCACCTTTCGATGATGTTGATGATGCCTCGCTCGATTCCAGAATGCAGAGAGTACACACAAAGAGTCAAGACAGTGCCCCTGTCAAAAAGCAGAGAGTATACACAAAGCGTCAAGACAGTGCCCTTGTCAAAGCCTTCAGATTCATCGGCTCAGTAATTTGGGTCCTCTTAATTACAAGTATGATTGAACGAATCGAACGAACTATCGACCGAATGATCGAATGAATGAATGCTAACTAATGACACTCATCTCGCTCACGATTCAAAGCTGGTATGTGGCTAGCTGCACCAGTCACATTCGTAATTGGACCTGTTCTTAGAACGTTTAAAGTCAGGAAGTATTACTACCCATTGGAGTTGCTGAGCCGTGCTTGGGCATGGGGCGTGCTCTGGATCAATGACATTGATATCACAGTGGAGGGAGGACACCTCCCAGTCGAGTGCGAGGGCAAGTCCACCATCCTCATGTACAGCCACGCTTCAAACGTCGACCCCATCACCCTGATGGGCTACACTCAGAATCCATCCAAGTTCATCTTCAAGAAGGAGCTGCTCTACTTTGTGCCCTACGTCTTTGCCATTGGCATGATCATGGGCCACATCCCAATCAACAGAAAGAAGCGTCAGTCTGCCTTTGAGTCGATTGACATCGCCGCAGCCAAGGTCAAGGACTACAAGGCATGCGTTGTCATCAGTCCCGAGGGCACCCGATCCAACGACGGCATTCTCCAGCCATTCAAGAAGGGACCATTCCACATGGCACTCAAGTCTGGCGCCAGGATTGCCCCAGTCGTTCTTTTTGGTAACCACGAGGTGTGGCCAACCAGCAGCTTGTTGCCAAGCTCTGGATCAGTTTAGTAAGTACATGGCCATGTAATCGACGAATAGACGCAAGACTTACCAATCACTTTATCAAACAACAACAGCGTTAGATACTTGCCATCGTTTGAGATTGGAGAGAAGGATGATATTGACTCATTGTTGGAGAAGACTTATGAAATGATGCATGGTGCACTTGTCACGCCACCAGAGGGCTTTGAGCCACACAAGAAGGGCTGTCAGATTGGTCATGCAGCAATCTTCTTGTCAATCTGCAGTTGTGTCGGTGTTGCAATTGCCAACTACTTTGGCTTCTTTTAGACTATAGCTCACTCATAAACATGGTGTCGCCAACACTCTCTATCTCACTCATCATCATCATCAATCGATTGATGCTGCGCTACATATCTATCATGGAATCTTGGTTGCCAGTAGCCTAACTACCTGACAACCACCGGTCATGGTTGAACCAAACTAACTAAAGACAAGGAGTATACCTTCTTCTTGATCAATCAAATGATTATGTATGATGTTTATTCATTGTTCCAACAACTCGCCTTCCTTACTTCTTCTTGTTGGTCTTCTTCTTGTTGATATTCCTTGGCTTGGCAGCGGGTGGTGCTTGCGCGCGCTGCTCAATCACCTTGGTAACACCGTCAGCGGCCAGGGTGCTGGCCTGCTGTGATGATGAAACACCTTGTGAGCCACGAGCGAGTTGATCGACCTTCTTGCCCTTGAAGCCCTTCTTGGAACGGTGTCCCGATCGCTGCCACTTTGGCAACCAACGCTCTGGATCTGGTTTGACATTGGGATCGTAGTTCTTTGGCAATCTCTTTGGAATCTTTGGCTTGACTACCACCGGTGCCACTGGTGCTGGCTTTTTTGTGTCCTTCTTCTTGTTGTCAACAACTGCGGGTGTTGGTGCTGGCTGTTCCACTGGCTTTAAGCTCCTATTGTGTTGTTGTGTTATTGTTGTGGCGTTGTTAGTGAGATTGGCCAATGATCGTATGTGGATGGGTTGGGAAACACTTACTTCTCGTATTCCAGACCAAGCTTCTCAATGAGGTCGACGTCAATCTTATCGTTGTACTTCATGGCTGGGAGTTTGCCCTCATACTTCTGGGCGACGGTTGGATCGTAGTGGGAGGCGGCGACAATGTAGGATGGTAGTGCAACGAGATCATTGGCATTGACCTTGAGCACCTTCTCGTAGCAGCTGGCAGCCTCTTTATACTTCAAGTGCTTCATCTTGAAGTTACCGTTGACCTTTAGCAACGATATGTATGAGTCCTCCTCCTTCTCGGTCTTGTTCTTCTTTGCTTCGAGCGAAGCGATCAATGTGTCGAGGCTTGAGCTTGCCTGCTCCAAATCGCCAGCCTTCTCATAGAGTGCCACCATCGTGGCAATGATACCAGGCTTGGCCTGTGTGGCTGTGTCCAATGACTTGAGCACGGCCAATGCCTTCTCGATGTTATTGTTCTCGAGAAGATAGAGTTGTGCCAGTGCCAGTTGTGACTTGAGTGACTTGTTTTGCTGTTGGCGGAGGAGAAAGAGGTTAGGGATATGCATGATGATGTCAATGTTCGCCTTGCTCATTCATACTAACCTTTAGAAGATCCTCAGCCTCGCGCCACTTCTTGTCCTTGGCCAACTGCGTGGAGAGGGCAATCTCGATCTCTTGATTGATGTCGGCGTCGTTGTACTTGGTCTTGAGAGTCTTGAGCAGCTCCTCGCACTGTGTCACCTTCTTGAGATTGAGCGACACAATGTACTGGTTGTAAAGCACCTTTTGCTTCTGACGCGAGGTCAGCTTGTTCTCTGTCTTCTCATTGATGAGCGACTTGATATGCTCGTGGCTGGCCATGTAGTCAGTGGCGCCCGATGCCTGCTTCAAAGTGGCAATGTTGTTCTTGGCCACCAATGATGCGCTGTCGCCAATCTCCAAGTCCAACACACTCTGGTATGCCTCGCGCGCCTCCTCAACGTTGCCAATCAACTGCTGGCAGTAAGCCAGCTGAACATTCAATGATGAAGACTCTTGTTGAATGTCCTCCTCACTGAATCCATCCTTCTTTAGTGTCTCAACACAGACCTCTGTTGTTGCGTTTGTTGTTAGCCAATGCCTTACTCCTCTCTCTCTCTCCACTCCTACTACATACTCTTGGCGAGCTTCAATTGTGTCTCGGCAGACTTGACGTCTCTCTTGTAGAGTGACAGACAGGCAGCATTGAAGGCAAACTCATAGGTCTTGGCAAGCAAGTTCTTGTGCTTGTTGAGCAAGTCCTGGCACTCTTGTACCTTTCCTGCATCAATGTATGCTGCACAGAGGTTGGTCAACAACTCTGCATTCTCATTCTATGTGCGATGTTAGTGTCTGTCTCCAAGATCATTGAATGAATGAATGAATGAATGATGTACATACGTAGCCAGGTTCCTTGAGCAATGACTCATAGATAGAGACTGTCTTTTGGTAGTTCTCAAGCTTGTAGTACTATTATATGTGTAAGATTGATTGATTAGATACATGCTGTAGTACAATGGACTAACTGTGATCGACACTTACAATCTGTGCCTCCAACTCCAAGAACTTGTTTGGCTTCTGCTTGATGGTGGCGATCTCTTGCAATGCTTCGTTGTACTTTGTCAAGCTGTATAGACAGTATGACTTCTCATAAAGCATTGGCTCACTCTGTGTGGCAGGTGATGCAGCAGACTTCAAACAATCGATTGCCTCTTGGAAACTGCCATTGAACATCAAACAAATAACCTTGCATTGGAATGCCTCTACATCTGTCTTATTCGCAACCAATACTATTAATGGTAGTTGTTGTTATGCATCATGTCAGTCATAGTGATTCATTGATTGATTGAGTGAATGAATGAATGATTATAATCATACTCTTGTTGCATAATCTAATAGCCTTCTTGTATTGTGATTGTTGGATATACTCATCCAACTCTTTGAATAGTTGATCTACTGGTTGTTGTTGTTCCTTTGTTGCCATATCTTTATCTGTATCTGTGTCGTCGTCAATGTCTATAACTACTTCACTAAACAATCAATCTTGTGAACTTTGTGTTTGGTGTTCAAGTGTGACTTGTCAACCCACAATCATCTCAAATGATCAGAAGTTCGATAGTTTTCAAGAATCAGACTTTGACGATTCCAAAGTCAAGTGTAAATCTCAGGGCAAGGGCAAAGGTATTGATTGATTGAGATACATATAACATATTTCATATAACATTATATAACATATAGATAGAGATAAAGATAGGACATGTCTCAACAGCAACAGCCACAAACACAAATACAGGGTGCTTCATTGCCACGCATGGTCGACATGGATTGGAGAATGGATGTCAAGACATCATCAGACGTCATGTCAAGAATGGCTGTACCAACTGTTTTGTTTAAGTTACAAGTATGATCATGAGATGCTGATGGATTGTTATCATCAAACAAACAAAGATATTCATGGTGTTCGATCAAATCAATCAATGTACTGACCAAACATGCTCATTTCAATCAATCAACAATAATAGGTTGAAGATCCTAAAGGAACACCATCAGAAGACTCACAACAACCAGCTACAAAGACTGTCATCTTTGAATTGAACAAGCAGACCATTAACACAATGCTAGAAGGACTGGAGTTTGTACAGGGCCAACTGAACTCTATCAAGTAATTTGGTGTTGGGATAGTTAGATAGATCATCTTAAGCAATAAACACTGTATTATACACACTTACACATACTTAAGTACACTGGCTTGTTGCCATGATGGACATGTTAGGTTGGTCGCGCGGGCCATTCATTCAAGTGTGTGGTAGCCATGCCCAAGATCGAGAGGGAATCAGAAGTTTGAAAGGGTTTGAGTCCAACAAGATTCATTAATGAACCTACATTCATTGTTTATCTGATGAACATATACATACACATACATAAGTACTACAATGGAGACTAATGATGATAAGACTCTGGCTATATCCAGGGATGAAGCGAGTAATGTAAGTTGATTGAATGAATGATTGATTGTATGGGACATGACAGGATAGGCACTTACAACAATGACAACCATATAACAGATACAACAATGCATTGAGAAGTGCTTTACACTATACATGACAAAGACAGAGATCATTATTACACTACAGAATCAATTCAATGTCAATCCAACATTCTCAGAGACAAGTATGTTCAATGATCAAACACAATGAATGATTGAATGAATGACAATCAATGCTGACATACCTCAACACAGTGTTGATGAACTTGGAGAGACAGAACCCAGACTTCTTCAATATCTATTATAAGAGACTGAAGATTAAGGAGCAGATAATAGAGTTCAATCACCTGGCCAGTCTACAATTAAAGTCAATGATCGCCAGACAAGGTGACCCAGGTGCAGCGATGCAACAACATCATAGCTCACTAAAGAATGGTGGTTTAGTGGATACATCTCTCAACAACAATAACATCAATAACAATAACAATGGTCATAGCAACAACAACAACAACACGACGACGACAACAACTACAACAGCGACTTCATCAACTTCAATCGATGACCCATACTCTTTATTGCCAACATTTCCGTATTCTGCCATGTCTTCGACATCAACATCCTCAGTCACATCTGTGGACAATGGTTCACAGCAACAGGAACCTGCACCACTGTTATCAGTATCACCAGCAAACGATGTCCAACAGCAACAACAACCACAATCATCCAACCAAGGCGACTTCAACAATCCTTTCATCAAGCAGTCCACATCCGATGTGTTGTCAACACTGATCGCAAACACTCATAACAGCAACTGTATGTGTCATCGTTGGATGACATGCACATGTACTCTACATACTAACATCGCCATTCTAACAACAGCTATCGCAGGCTTTGAGAGTTCAACGTCGAACAACAATATGTACCAGGGATTGGACAACTCAACGTTTGGAGCGATCGACATCTCACAGATACCATTGTCATCATCGTTCTCATTCGCGTTTGGAGGTGATGACATGAAGCGAACAAACAACATGCTCAATCCTGGCGGTATGGTCCCAGGCGATCATGAACTTGGCAAGTCAACATTCAATCTGAATATGTCACAAGGTGGAAGTGAGCTCGAGTCATTCCTCAATCCAAACATGTAGATTGATTGGTCAATGAATGAACCAGCCAGCAATGTTGGCGATCCAGCGAGAGTATGATACATAGGCAGGACAGAGCCCGCCGTCCAATCAATGATGCTTTAATGCTTCGCGCTTTGATAGATTGGAGATGTTTGGTCGACTGTCGACAAAGCCTTTGACCATCTTCTTGTCCGTCTTGGAGTACTCGCGCAACGACCATCCGATCGCCTTTTGAATAAAGAACTCCTTCTCGTGTATAGTAGCATCGATACATTTGAACAGCAGACTGACATCGGTCTGCTTCTTGTACTTGAGTTGGAACAACAGGGCTATGCGTCGGATCCACATTGACTCGTGGACAATCCACTCATCGACCAGACTGCTCACCGTGTCTGGATACAGCTGCAGATGGGTACCGACCAAGTTGGATGCAATAAAGTCAATGGTATCCCACCAGGGTTGATGATTAGCCATGCCAAGGTATAGATCCAGACGGTCCTCCTTTCCTTTCTTTGCGCCACGAATCGCCATCTCCATTGCGCAGTATGTGAACTCTCTTTCGGGCAGCATGTAGATTGGCAACAGATCTTCGTCCTCTGGATGACCATGTTGTTTTATGAACTCCTTCAAAGTTGCCTTCCTTATAGGGCCTCTTAGACCAAGATAATCAAACTGATCACGCATATACTTCTTCATCTCTGCCGACCTCTTCTTCACGCCCTCAATCTTTGCAGCCTCCACCAAGAAGTATTTCCTCATTGTATTGGCATATGAAGATGATTGTTGTGCTGGCTTTGTCTTTGTAGATGACTTTGGAGTAGTCTTTTGAGTTTTCTTTGTCTTTGGAGCTGTTGTTACAAAGTCGTCATCGTCATCTTCGTTGTCTGATGATGATGATGATGATGTGGTTGTTGAAGAGGTAGAAGGACTACTCGTCTTTGACAAGGCAGCAGATGTAGCTGCTTTGGCGGCTTTAGCTTTGGATCTTGTTGCGGCAAACATTGTGTCTTTGAGCGAACTTGAAGATGGATCGAATTCAAATTGAGGACGATACTTGAAATCCAACACACTTGTCAACAGTTGTTCAATTCCTGGAAACAGGTGATTCACTTTGGAAGACAACGAACTAATGAATCGAAGCATGAAGGATGGAATGAACGAATGAATCCGGTAATAAATATTGTAACTAGTTTATTGGATTGGGGAGCTTAGACCTGGTAGACAGTGACGGTGATGGAGACGACACCGGTGTCGAATTGGAGCTGGAAGGCATCGGTTGGGACTGGCTGTGGAAGCTCAAAGTTGAACTGTCTGTTGGGGATGACAACGTCACCGACGTTCTCAATGATGGTGCCGTCGGCGAGGATGATGTCGGCGGTGTCCCAACCAATGTTGGTACCGTAGACAGTGAGGGTGGTCTCGTTGGAGGCAATGCTGTAGGTGTTGGTGTCCAGGGAGATTGGGCAGACGTAGTCGGCTGGTGGGGCGACGACGTTGGTTCCGCGGAAGTTGTTGGCGACATCGTGCCACTGGCAGAGGAAACAGTCTGGAACGGAGGTCAAGAGAACATTGTCGGTGAAACCAACGATTCTGTAGGGGATGTGGCAGTAGTCCTCTGGGATGTAGGAGATCTTGTTGTTGGCCAAGTTGACAAAGTTGTTGTTCTGCCAGAAGAAGTCAGCGACGGCGGGCAAGGTGGTGAGACCTCCGTTGATCTGGTTGTAACGCTTGGTGCTGTCCCATGGAATCTCTGGGAAGACGATGGTTGGGCTGGTGTTGTTGTCCAGGGTGATGGAGCCGGTGACCTTGAGGGTGACGAGGTTGAGTGGCTTGATCGAGGTGAAGTCGTTGAACAGGTTCAACTCGTACAGTTTGTAGGTGCCAGTGAGATCGAGAGCAACCTTGCCGTTGCTCTGAACGTAGAGGGCGTTGAGGGCTGGGAAGTTGAGCTTGAGGGTGTAGGATTTGGTGCCCTTGAAGCCAAAGAGGGCAGTGTTGAGGTTGGGGAAGTTCTTAGTGGTGATGGATGGCAATGGGCCCGAGGTGACCAAGTTGATGTTGCGGATCTGGTTGCCGGTGATGGTGGCGGCGGCACTCCAGGTGGTGACGGGGGTGATGTCAATGCGGAGGTCGCTGATGGCACCCTGGAACAGCTTGGTGTAGATGGTCTTGATGGCACTGGATCCAGTGACCTCGACGTAGAACAACCATGGGAGTCCGGTTGGGAAGTCTGATGGGAAGGTGACGGAGCTGTCGTTTCTGACAACGATACGCTGGAGCTGTGGCAAGTTCYTTGATGTAGTTAAGGATGTTGAGCGAGGCGTTCTTTGGGGCTCTGTTGTCGATCCACAGACCGGTGAGGTATGGGAGCTTCAAGGTGGTGGTGTTGGGTGGCTTCAGGTAGGKTTGGGTCTGTGATGTAGGGTGGCCAGTCGTTGTAAGTCTGAGCAATGACAGTCTCGACATGCTTCTGTCCATTTACATCAGTACAGAAGACACCAGCGTTGGCACAGTTAACGGTATCATTACCGAATGACCAGTTAAGTGAGTATTGGTTGGAGATCCACTGGAGAGCGATCACTTTGATAGTGAAGATTGATCAGATGGAGTGAGACAAGTATTAGTTGATATGGTTCCCATATTAAATAAATGTCAAGTGATTGGATAGCTGTCACGTGATCAGATCGTTATGATCATGTGATCAGATAGTAATAATTATTATTGTTAATGGCTTACCTTCGTTTTGGTCCAAGGCTGAGGCGCAGAACACTGAGGCCAAGACAATGGCAAAGATAAGTTGTAACTTCATTGTTGTAATAATTATTATTATCTGTATGTATAAAGTTGGGAAGAATAATGAATGATCTTGAGTGCCCAGCTTGTCTGGTATTTAAACTATGGGTTCGCGTAATAGGTCCAGTCGAATACCCATCACGATGGGTTCTAATAGACTGCCCTTACGTAATGACGATAGACAACTACCAAAGGTTGTGGGTAGCGGGTGTCGAGGGTTTATGGCTTGGTACAGGTACAACATAAGTTTGAGCATCTTCAACAACATGGAAGAGGGCTTGATGACTGGATGGTGTACCAACAAAATGTGATGGAGACGATTATAAATATCGAACTAGTTGTGTATGCGCTGCGCGGGTGCTCCTACCCTCCAGTTCAATCAATATTCAGTGAATATCAGTGATTGATCTTTTCTTAGACCTCCATCCTGCTGGATAATAGATGACACCTATTTATGAGTACGTGGGTCCATGTTCCTGGAGTGTTGGGTAACACGCTCGAGTGCAAGCATCGATTATGGATGCGGTTGCTTCCTCCATCGAAAGGCATGCATGCAACCTAATATATTCTTAGAGGACTGAAGATCATTCATGTCTGAAGAAGGCAGGTCCTACAGTCGAGGAAGGGCACACCGCAATGTAGATGCCCTCGAAGACCAAAAATATCTAGGTCCAAGGCCACGGTTCGACGCTTCATCATGGTGAAACCCCGCGACGAGTGATGGCCCGTCGTTTCCAAACGCAACAACATGGCAACAGCCACCACACACCAGTCAATCAATTCCAGTTCTGATGTTTTGAAACGAAAACGATGTTTGCAGCCCTCATGCGAAATCAATCAAAGTCATTAGTGATTGGGCGGGGGTGAGGAAACAGATGTTAGGGCCGCTTCATGACAGTATTTCCAAAAGCCAATGACATGAAGCATGTCAATGGAGATTACCTATGATTGCCCCTCAATTTGATCGACGAGAGTAATGAACAACCATGAGTTGAGCGGATGACCAATATTGGGGCATGTTGGTGAATGAGTGTCAGCGAGTGAACGAGACGGGAGTGTCTGTTGTTAATCAAGAAGACACCATCTTAAATTATTATAAATATCTGTCATGTCATTGGCCTTCATTTGACAGATATCTCGCCCACAATGAGTCCCGACTTTGACACATTGACTTATTGAGATGGCTTGGTTGGCAACAAGTCAGTAAATCGATAGGCCAAAAGAACGTGGCATTACATATCTCCAAACATGTGGTCGACCACCTCCTATGTCGTCCATGTAAGGTAGTCATAGTATGTATGATGGCTATGAGACATATCATTATCATAATGATCGTATCCTCGTCCTCTCGTTCATAACTCGAAGTTGTACAATTGGCATCATATTTGGCCTAGTCTCACTGCAACGAGAGACCATCCAAATGACCATTTGTTTGGTATATTTAATGGTGGTGGTGGAGCAGGACATTAGAGCAAGTCTTTCCTGGTCATCATTCCAACTACCTGGTTTCGTTTGTTGACTGATAATAGGATGTTAATATCATTCCATTGAATGTTCGCGCGGGCGCCATTCTAAACACCATCAACTTACCAACTGGAAGATGCCTTAGACCAATCGTTCGGAATATTTGGTATGCCTCTTGGAAGGAGAAGGTCTCGTTGGCTACGAGTGAACTCAGGTTCATGTAGGGCCTGAGATCAATGTTCATGTCAAGCTCTTCGCGTGTGATGTTCATGCGGTCGATTGGAGGGAAATGTCGCGCCAGAGCCTGTGTCATGATCTGATAGTCCATGCGGGCGTCTGCTGGGATATGTCCATAGTCGGTGGCTTTACCCCAGCGTCGCTGACTCTTACCTCGGTTTTGTGTGTTGGGGAACGATGGCTGATCGTGCGAGAAGATCTTGTAGTGTAGCAAGATGATTAGCTGTGATCGAAGGATCATGCCGCAGTAGATACCATCCTCCGAGGCTGAGTAATCGTCTTTCCCTACGATATTGCCATTGCCATTGCCATTGCTATTGCCATTGCCACTGCTACTTGCACGCTCCACCACTGGGAAACCATTGTGTTGGTTGGACTGCAACACTTGGATGATGCGAGATACCTTGTCCACCTCGTACAACGTGATCACTTCAGTCTTCATTACATCTGTTATGCCAAACTTTGCCATGTACTGTGGTGGCTGAGTCGGCAAGTATGGATAGCACTTCTGCTCCATCAAGTGTTCATATATCGATTCATTGAATATATCTCCAACCCACTTGGCAATCATAACTGACAGCATCACTGGCAGCATGTATTGTGTACCTGTTCATTGATTGATTGGAATGAGTGTGTGAGTGAGCGAGCTAATCGGAGTGAGTGTGATCGATCACATACCTTCTGTCAACTCGACGATGATAACAGCAAGGGAGATGGTCATTCTGGAGAATCCAGCCATCATGGCTGATGATCCGACCATGGCGTAGATGGAGGGATCGATTGGAGGGTTGGCCTTGCTAAACATGAGCGCGCCAAACTGTCCAGAGAGTCGTCCAAGTGCTCCTCCGACCAGCATCAACGGGATGAACAGGCCACTGGAGAGCATTAGACCAGATGTTATAGTAGTCAATACAAATATGATGAGCGTATATATCGCCAGAGTATTGATCGAGAACAGGCCATTAGTTCGAGAGTATAACAGGCGCAATGCAGCGTCCAAAGTGTTGAAAGTGAGGCCAGCCATGTCATTGTACTCGCCCTGTTGATTGAATGATTGAGTTAGTGAATGATCGAGAGGAGTGAGCATTATAACAAACATACCTCCTCACAAAGGAAACGAACGAATGTGACGTTCTGACCAGATGTGATTGTCGTGTTGTGATAGGTGACGTCGCTTTGTGGACGACAGCCAGAGAGTCCGGCGGCAGTGAATAGGATGATGGATGTGAACGTGACAAGGATGATGACCTCAAACACGCGCATGTATGTTGGCAGACTGTTGAAGAACTTTGAGCGCCAGTGAGTGAGTCGTGCATTGAGATTGACAAAGAGTGCGCCCAGCAAGCCACCCAGCACGCCAATGGCAGCGAATGCCAACAGCTCGCTGTAGCGGTAGAGATATTCTTGCGAGAAGCCAAATGTCAGCACGCCATAGTCGTGCACCTGCACCTGGAAGCCCTGCAGGATGAGGTTGGTCGTGAACGTGGCGATCAAACACGCAAAGAATGTGCGCCACGTCAGCTGGCGCGACCAGAACGAGCTGGTCTCTTCGAGCGCGAACAGCACACCACCAATCGGTGCACCGAAGGCCGCGGCCACGCCACATGCCGATCCAGTGCTTATAAAGTCGCGGCGATCCCTATCATTGTGGTATCGCCAAAAGATCTTTGGATACCATTTGAGCGTCTTGGACTTGACCTGGCCGATGGCGCCACCAATCATACTGCCAATATGAATCATTGGACCCTCTGGTCCCAGTACCAAAGCTGATGAGAATGCCATTATCAACGAAACAAACTTTGAGACTAACGTCATAATGTTCATTGAATGAGGTATACGTATACCATTGAGGTATCCCTTGACCTCAGGAATACCAGAGCCAGAGGCAATGTGCTGTTTGATTGATTGATTGATTGATTGAGTGAGTGAGGTCATGTGATCGATAGACAGGTACATACACCAACAGGGATGATGGCCAATGATGCCAAGACACCAAAGAGTAGGTTGATGGCATAGTAGATGAAGAAACCGGCAATACTCTCGCCTTTCTCAATGTGCTTGCCAGAGGAGTGGAACTTGAACTCAGAGATCATCTCCACCAGCTGTTTAACTATATAAGCCACACATCCTACTGCTACACCAATCGAGAAGCATATTGCCCATTTGCCAAATGTTCTTAATGCATGTTTCTAACATTGAATGAATGAGTGGTGTTAGTACGTGTTTCAGTGTGTTGCCGTGTTGCCGTGTTGCCGTGCGGATACACCCTATCCATTGCTGGAACTTCAAACATACGAATCTTGTAGTCTTCTTGGTAAAGTCTCTCATTACTTGGTTATCGATCACAGGGAAGTCGAGTGACTCGAACTGTGACATCTTGATCTTGTCCATCTCGGAGTAGGTGTGCTTGCCACGCACATGCGTCAGTTTGTTCTTTTGATTGTGTCCATATGATGCTCGACTGACTCCACGAGATCTAATTGAAACCACTTCTTCATCATCGATTTCATTGTAATCCGATTGTGATGATGTCCCTGGTTCATTGTTGGACATTGACATTGGCACACCGTTATGTTCGTCTCGGCGACTTGACTGCGGGTTCTGATAACTATTATTGTTCATTAACAATGTTGTACTACTATTATTGCTACTACTATTACTACTGTCTGTACTTGTATCCAAACTGAATGGATGATCAGTCATCTCCACTCCATTGTTGTTGTTGTTGAAGTTGTTATTGCTACTGCTGATGTTCTCGCCAGTGCCGTCGACTCCTCCAGGCTCCACCATGATTGTAATGTGTTATAAATTTGAGGGTAAGTGTGGATGAACAGTGTGAGATGGAAGGAATGGATTGGCGCGGAGTTACTGTTGTTGCCACTCCAGGGTTGGACCTTCTAGTCTGTGTGGTGTGGTAGTGGTAGTGAGTTGTGTTGTGTTGTTTGTAGACTCGTCGAATGTGTGTGTTGAGACCCACTCCCTGTCGAGGGCAAGATAGAGGCTTTGATTGATTATGTGTGTAATATATACAAGAATGAATAAATATGAATAATAATAAGATATATATGTTATAAATATAAGTACATGTTGTGTTGCTATCAAATGATACTTCAAACCAGGGGATAATGATCAACCATGGTACTGATGAAGACCTTGTGGTCACCAATTGTTTTGAGTACTGGTGTCAGTCGTGTCGGGTATTGATCCAAATAGGGGGTGCCAACCAATCACACCAAACCTAAGGAAATCGAGCCATTAGTTGAACAAAAAACAATCACACACAAGAAAGCTCCAAGGAGTAACTCAAAGTGCACAAAAATCAATGTTGCCAGAGAGCCATCTTTGCAGCAAGGTGACACAGAATGTGATGTAAGCTTAGCTTAGGGATCGGAGATGATCATCAACCATCCATGTTTGATTGGATTGGATTGGATTGGATGGTAGAAATGTAGTTGGAAATAAATATCATGATGTTCATTCATTCATTGGTATTTGTGTGATGTGAGAGTGTATAATTGTTGGACCAACTTACTACATTGGTTGCATTTCGATGGAGCCACTGCTGCTACTCATGTCGCCGCTGCTTCCACCGATGCTGTCGGTCAGTACATTGACATTGGCATTACTGCCATCATCATTCTGATCACTCTGTAACAAGTTTGATCGACTCTGATTGATTCTCGCTGGTGGTGCATTGGTTCCACTACTTAAAATTGTTCCAGTGCTCGCTATAATATTGTTGTTGATGGTACTACTACTTGATGTTGTTGCTCCATTGTTGTTGTTGTTGTTGGAATTGTTGTTGTTGTTGTTGTTGTTGATGTTGTTGGCGAGGATGTTTGCCAAGTTTGGTTGACTGGACACACTCATCAGATATGTGGCATCACCCAGCAATTGAAGTAGTCGGTCCACCTTTTGCTGGATTTCCATCTGTGTCTCCTTATATCTCTGTTTCTCCTTCTTCTTCTCCTGTTTCTCCTGTTCCTCTGCCCATTCATTAATCTTTACAGATCTCAATATCTTATGTCTTCCAATCAACTTTAACTCGAATGTCTGTCATTGATTGATTGATTGATTGTGTGAGTGACTGGAACTATCCCAATTATTGATGATGATGACTTACACCTGCAGCACTCTTATTCGCAAGGATACCTTGGAGGAACTTCTTCCTCTCAATGTTAACTTTGAGTAGTAGGTCAGTGTAGTATTGTGCCTCGTCATACTTGAATCCTAGACCAAGATTTTGAATCTCTTCGAATACCTTCTCTGGAGTCAATCCCTTCTCCACCAACAAGTCTGGTTTCTTCTCCATCAACATCTGTACCAATGTACTAACATCATATATATTCTTCCTGAATGTAAACTTGAGTGATAGTACATATCTCTTCCATTTCTGATTGTTTGGGCGGTGTGAGTGAGTGGAATGATTCCATACTGATTGATTGAATGGATGTACATACAGATAACAAGGTCTTCTTWATACTTTTGTTTGCTGTTGATGTTGTTGATCACCTCTGAGTAACTGTTTGAAATGATAGCCACAAACATGTTGAACAAGATCAAGAACATGAATATAATGAATAATAATGTATACTAAAAATGATTGATTGATTGATTGAGTCAGTGGAATGATTCCAAAGTGATGGGAGGAGGGATGGTATTGTACAATACTTACAATTGGACCAAGTGCTCTGTTGGTATAGGTCATCGTTTGGAAGTTTGGTGGATTACCCATGATGAATTGAAGTGATGTTCCAAGACTGTTGATGAAACCAAAGTAAGCAACTTCATCATGACCAAATGTTAACCAACCTGATATCAGGAATCCAATCATCATGATCAAGAACATCACTGTAAATGTCATCAATTGTACCCTAGCATGTGACAGTGTGATCCAAAGTGCGTACAATCGTCTATGAATCACAAGGTATCTAAATGTCTTGAATGCCAACAATAATATATCTTTGATTGAAGAGTGTGATGGTATGAGTATATGATTGATTGATTGAGTGAGTGATCAGATGTACATACTAATGGCACTAAGTTGATAATAAACTAATGCTGTCTGACCCAATGCCTCAAGGAATGTTGGGTATCCAACAGTATCAATCTGGCTTGAGTGTGAGTTCCTGTTGCTCAAGAACACAACATATAATATGAATGATGCCAAGAATAACTAATTGATTGAGTGAGTGAGTGGGATGGTTCCAGGTGAGTGATTGATTGATTGGACGGAGGTTAGTGCATGATGGATATATTTGGAAAGTCTGGAAATGTGATTGAATGGGATAATTCCAGAATGATCAATGGAGGGTACTTACAGATAGATTGACAATATCCAAAATGTTCCAGAATGATGTGATGAAATAATAGAATCTGCCAAGTAGGTAGTCTATTCTGGCCTCATTGATWAAAGTTGTAGAGGTAGTAGACCACGAATATGATGAATACTATCTCGAGGAAGCCTCTGAAGCGATCCAGTGGCGTGGTATACATGTTGGTACGATATGTTCGCAGTGAGTAATATGGCTCGATGGTACCCGATGCCGAGTACTCGAGCAGCAGGTAGGCCACTGTGACACGTGACTCGTAGTTGATCGTGTACGTGACGAATGAGATGATGACTGCGCGAGTCTGATAGTTGAAGAATGTGTTGTCGATCAGTCCTTGCACGCCCGCCTGGGCATTCGTGATGGGTATGTCGATGTAGTAGCCAGTGGGCTCGTAAGAGTATTGATTGTAGCCAAACACCATGGGGTCGCCCGTGTGATGGCTGAACTCGTACACGGTGCCATTGGTGCCGACAATGTCTTGGGTCTCGCGCGTCGACGAGTCATACGTGGGCGAGTAGCACGTGATGTTGAGGCCCAGCGTCGGACAGCTGTCCTTGCGCACGCGCATCTGTCGAATGCGCATCGTGCCGCCAATGATGCTGTTCATGCTGTAGGGGTTGGCAAAGGACATGGACGCGATCTGTGGCGCCAGCTGGCCGGTGAGGTACGCGTTGAACTGGTCCTGCGTGGTGATGGCCGTGTAGGCGTCGTTGGTGCCCGTGCCCGTGAACTGGAGGTCAGTCTTGAGCGACTGACCGATCTGGTACACGTAGTTTGAGTCCTTTTGGAGGATGATCACCGTGAGGAACACAATGAAAAAGACGATATGTTTGATGAGGTCCTTCACCAACTTTGCACGTCTCTGGATCTCGATGGCGGCCAACATCGTGGCCTTATCATGATCATTCTTGTCGGCCAAAGCTTTCTTTATCATCAATCTATAAGATCCATCTCTTTTCTTCATTGTTTCAAATGTTGAAGACATGTCGTATATCTATCTCGTGGTAATATTTGATTGATTGATCAATCCTATATTATCTTTGTTTGATTGATTATATATATATATATATATATTAAGTTATGTCTTATGTTATGTGAATGAATGGTGGAACCTAACAACTACACCTCATAAGAAGACCATCCAACAAACAAACAAGCCCTTCCATGTTTCCGTTTGCGAGTGTTGGTGTAGGGTGTTTGTTGATAAGAACCGATCAGAATTTGATCAAAAAATCAAATCGCCACTAATAACCCATTACCCACCAAACTTGTCTATATTATCGGGGGTAACAATGAGTGTCCAATCTACAGCATCTCGATTGAATGTCAATCAGATATTTTGTATTCTGACTCGAGTGATTACTCAAAAGTTCATTGACAATAGTAATTATCTCATTGTCAACTTCAAAATTATCTTCTATTATAAACTAACTTTACCAAGTCTTGTTAGTGATAAAGTATTCATACTTCATTTTCCCAAGTTTGCAATCACCCACTCTCCACAGTTAATTAATCTTACACCCTCACCACTTTCAATCAATCATCATAATCACTCACTCATACACACACCACAACACCATCTCTTGTCTTTAGATCCGTTCAATACATGATGCTCAATCATTCAAGCACTTTATGATTGGTTGGCAGTTGGTTGATGTTATTGTTACATTGATGTGTCACTTGTCAACAACATGATTGCAGACAGACAGACAGACAGATAGATAGAGATAGACAGACATACAGATACATAGACTAGACAAGCAACAGAAACATCAGTAGTAGTAGCATTACTTCTCCACTCTCCCTCTCAATAACAAGTTTATTATGTTATATTAATAATGATCAATATAAATACTATTACTACTGTCAATAATATTAATAATAATATTGAAGTGGATACTTCATCGTCATCCACTCTATCACAACTACAACAACAACATTCACCACCAATGTATGAACAAGATACCAAGGAGCAGCAACTACAGCAACATCAGTTCACTTCAAGTTCAAGTAATGGTCATGGCATCAACAATCAACTTCAAGTTGTATATGTCGATGACAGGAGTTATGAAGATGGTATCTCACCACTGAACAACAATACAGAACTATCAAGCATAAGTTCGGAAAGTGAAGATGCTGGTGGCACTGATGTGTTTGGTCCATTCGAGGCCCATCCACATCAACATCCTCAACATCAACACCAACAACAATATCAAGAACAAGAGCAAGAGCAGGAACAGGAACCAGAACATCAAGATGACACTCCAGTAATACCATTCACCGCGTTTATCGAGTCAAAGCATGAAAGACAAATGGACTTCTTAAATGAAGATCCTGTTACTGCTGCAGTTCAGACTGTGGAGCAGGAGCAGGAGAAGGAGGATGAGGAGAAGGGGATGGAAACATTGTCGATAAATGTGGTGGAGGATGCGGATGAGGACATCCCTGGCATGCATGACGCCCCTTCCGGTGTAATTAACGAGATATCCTCACCTGCTCCACAACCTACCCACCTCCCTCTACCATTCATTGCCACACCAACAATAGCAATACTTCCAGATGACTTGGTCGATGAGCCTTTGACTCTATCAGTGGCCACACCATCTCCAGTGTCAATAGCATCACCCTCACTACACATCCATCATGTCAGATCATTCTCCACGCCAACAGTCACCTCGCCACAGTCCACCTCTTCCACCAGCTCACAATCACCGACCACACCAACATCTGCCGCCGCTGCCGCTGCCGGTGCCAAGCCCGGCTTCTTCAAGCGAATATTCCGACGCAGCGAATCAGTTTCACCAATCAAACCAATCACACCAATCAAAGAGGACGGCGCACTTGGACATGAATCTGGATCGAGCAGTAATGGCACAAGTAAAGAGAGCAGTAGAGATGGCAAGGACAATCATGCCAGCGAAGGATTCTTCAACACATTCACAAACCTGTTGTCATCGTCTCAGACAAAGTTGCCGAGTACGACGACGACAACGAGGTCAGCGCCACCAACACCACTCTTGGAACAGACTATGGACGAGTTGGATAAGCGGTCATCAGTGATGGAGCCATTCTCATTGCAACAGACTGAACTATTCCCCACGGCAACACAAACGATCTCACCCTTGGGCGACGAGGCCCCAAAGGACTTTGCCAAGTTCATCGAGCTAAGTGAGCCCTACTCATACGAGTCATTCCTCGAGAAGTTGGATGCGGCGCCCTACTTCAAGTCATCGATAGACAGTTTCATCAGCAAGTTGAAGAACAGGAATGTGACCAACGATGACCTGCGCGAAGCACTGATGGACTTTAGCACCAATCTAATGCACTCACTCAGCAACGATGCACAGTGGAAGCATGCCTCTGACGCTGAGATCCAATTCACCTCACTACATCTACAACAATACGTCATTGAGAAGATCTACGACCATGTATTCCGCGCGACCGAAGACGAGGTGGAGAAGGATGACAAGCTGTCGTTGATGATCGAGCGGCTGCACTTTGTGCTGCCGGCGCATCTGGAGATCCCGTCGAGCAACTGCAACGAGCAGATGTGGCAGGAGGCTGGTCAGTACCTACAGAAGATCAACATCACCAAGAGCTGTCGACACAAGGTCATGTACATTGTAAAGTGTTGCAAGTCCATTCTTAGCAACCTGGCACTCACTAGTGGTGAGACACATGGTGCCGACTCCTTGCTTCCCCATCTCATCTACGTAGTACTTCGTACCAATCCCCAACATCTACAATCCAATGTCACGTAAGCACCCTAATGATTCAATCGTTACCAACTCGTCATACTCACTCACTCATACTTCCAACCTCCAACTTCCAACTTCCAACTTCCAACTTCCACTTGGCAACACCAACAGGTTCATAAGCAAGTTCTCTGATTGTTCAGATTCTGAAGCTTTATATTATATGACACAGTTGATATCTGTTATATACTTCATCGAGAATATCAAGGCAGAGTCACTAAAGATTGATAAGAAGGAGTATAATAAGCTGATGGGTGTGACGTCTTCGTCCAACAAGTCTTCCAAGAGGAATAGTCAGACCATCAGCAAGTCCACCTCCTCCACATCCATCGCTACATCAGACACATTGACATCTATATTGGAACAACATCATCAACAACAAAAGGCACCAAGTCTATCAGCCACGGCCATAGCACCAGCAATAGTCGATAAGGTGGATACACAACAATCGAGACCGACAGTATTCGATGATAGTGCATTGGCAACACTGGCAGAGATGTTCCCAGATTGTAACACGCAGTATCTAATCAACTGTATTGTATATATTGACAATAAGCATAAGGAGAAGCATCCTGGCGCATCATTGGCACCGGCTCAACTGGTCAATCGTGTCACCAACATGATTGCCGAGCATCAAGGTTACCTCCAAGTCAACCAGACACTTCCATCATCCTCTTCCTCATCATCAACAACAACAAAGAAGAGGCAAGCAAGTGGCCAGGGTGCAGAGCTTCTCAATCCAACTCCCTCATCATCAACATCATCATCCTCAAGCAGCAGCGCCAACACGAACAGTCAATACTACCAACAATTACTCGATCAAAAGGATAATGAGATAAGGAGGATGCAGGTGGTTAGCCAACTGGACAAGCAGGAGAATAAGGAGTTGAAACGTCGTGTGTTGGAACTTGAGGAGGAGAAGCAACAGCAGCAGACACGTCTGCGAAACAGCACGTCTGGCATCAACAATGTAAATATGAACTGGCTGACGTTTGGCGCGACCAACCTCGATTCACTCAAGTACCCCGACATCCCTCAGTTGCTTGAACAATACAAACTCATGTACAGTGCGCTGCAACAGCAGCAGCAACAACAACAACATCAGCCAGGCGAGTGATCAACCAATCATTGAATAAACAATGGACATCAATCCTCCCCTCTTTCTTTGTTGTGTATATATTATCGATTGCTTTATGGGACGACGACATTGATTGATTAGAGGGTGTTTCTGATCTTCAAGTCCTTTGTGATGCGGAAGTACTCCTCGACGTTCTTTCTCTTCAGATAGTTGAGCATGGACTTCCTCTGGGACTGCAGCAGCATTATCCTGCGCTTGGCCAGGTTGTCCTTCCTGTTCTTCGAGACGTGTGCCTCGAGGTATTTGATGCGCTCGGTGAAGATTGCGATTTGTACAGAGGCGGATCCAGTGTCGGCCTCGTCGTTGCCGTACTTTTGCACGCACACCTGGCGACGATAGGCGTTGATCTCGCCCTGGTCGGCGTTACGGAACGACAGGAACTCCCTGAGCTTGGGATGCAGGATGGCTGCCTCCTCTGGCGTGACGCCAAAGCGGTACACACTCCTCAAGTCCTCAGGGATCTGGCTCTGCTCTCCAAAGTTGGTCTCGCCACTCGTAACCAATTGCTCTGGCTGCATTGCAGGGTAGATCTTGGCGTACCACTCTGGGAAGTTGTACCAGACTCCAAGGTTGGTGAAGAATCCCTATGTTGTTGTTGTTGGATGGAGGTGTAAGTGGTATGGCTAGGGTATGGGTCGGAGTGGAACTATCCCACTCCCAATCAATAACATTGAATGGAATCTTACCAATGGTGTATGAGTGTAGTCGACCCATTGCTTAACTTTCTGTGGATAGAGGTTGTAATACTTGAGGAAACCCTTTGGATCCTTGGCCTGATGTTGGTACTCGACAGGCCTCGTCAGGTCCACGTCGGGATATATCTCGCGCTCATCGGGGCCATCAAAGCCCTCCAACTTGAGCAGACGCTCTTTGGCATCATCGGCCTCCTTTTGTTGCTCGTTGGCCAGGACCGTGCTGGGCTGCAATATCTGTTTCTGTGCGTCGGTGAACAACTTGTCGAGGTAGGCGGGCAGTGCGTCCGACTTGATCAGCTTGAGCATGTTGTCGTATTGCTCCTGCTGCAGTGTGGACGTGGCAAAGTGCTCGTCGGCGCTGTTGCCCTGCTCGATGTACTGTCTGTCGTGGAAGGACAGCTCGGCCTCGCGGCTGGCGGGCTGCTGGTCGGCGTCGGCAGAGAACTTAAACTTCTGGTCGAACTTCTCCTGGAAGGTCGCCGCGTCCGTCGTGTTGTACACCTGCACCAGGTTGACGAGGTCGACGATCATGCCCGTCTGGCGGATGTGCTTGACGTATGGGTGACGCTCAAAGTACATCCTGACGATCTTGTTCTGCTCAGGCGTCATCGATTCGATCGTGTTGTGCTCCTTGATGAACGCTTCGATGCTGGGCACGCCCAGCTTGAGCGAGTACTCTGTGTTGAGTGTGTCGAGCTTGATCTTCATGTTCTCGTCCGAGTCGATGTTGAACGTTGACTTGATGTCGCTGATCAACAGGTTGACGTACTTCTTGCCCTCGTCGTATCGCAGCAGCTGCTCCAGCATCTTCATCGTGTCGTGCTGATCGCTCACATTGATGTTCTCCACGCCAAACTTCTCGAGCATCTGAGGGTCGAGGCTGATTCCCTTCTCCGTGATTGGAACATTGAGTTCCTTTGAAATCAAGTCAAAGTCAATTGGTGCATCATCCTTTGGGAAGAATGGCATCTTTGGTGGTGCCATTGTTGTCTTCTTATCATCAGATGTAGTCGTCATGTATCTAATATTGTTCTTGTTGTTGTTGTTGATCATATTGCTGTTTGGTGTTATGAATGACACTGGTCCTGTTTGTTTGATTGATTGATTGATTGATTGATTGATTGTTAGTCGGAGTCCTAGTCGCTGTCTGTGTAGCCTCAGTCGCACTCGTTGTGGATTGGACATACCATGGTTCCACGCAGCAGCAGACAAGAATGATCGGGTAGACACAGAGGCCTGTGCCGATCTTCTTAATATATTCAACATTGTCTGTTGTCTGTTGTACTTGTTTAGAGTGCTGTGTATGATCGATCAAACAAATACAATGCTTTATGTTTGTGGTCGTCTTGTCTCTCTCACACTACTGTGCTTTTGTTTTTTATCGTTTTGCATGCATTGATCAGATGTAACGAGACTTTAGAACTTCGTTATTGATCAATGGTTGTCAAAAAAGTCAACACACAATCAGAAGGACCTTGAAAAAAATTAATCAAATTGATAATTTGATCATCAGGCACTCACACAGCCCCAAGGTAATTGAACATCTCTGAGTTGCACCCCTCTGAGATCACGCATGTTCATCAACTCATAATAAAGCTTGACTGCGCGCAGACAGACAGATACAGATATATATATTATACATAAACACAATGTGTATGTTTAGTTCTTGGAGTCATTCATTGTGGACATGACTTGGCATGACTTGACATGATGATCATATGACCTTCGCGACTGATGACTCACTCACTCATACAACCTCATCAACTCTATCAATCAATCATAACAGATAACAAACAAAGTAAATATAGACATTCATTGTCATTGCTGGCTATTGTGGCTTTGACAGTGTTGAGCTCAGTCGCATTGATGACTGAGGCTGCAAAGGCACCATTGTCAAAGCTTGACATCCACTTTTAATGCACAGGATAAGACTGTGTTGAAGACATTTGTAGAGTCACAGCGTCAAGGCAATGGCTTATTCAATGGCGAACTCAAGGACACGTTCCACGCCGTCGGCGCCTTGGCCCGTCTCGGCATCACCATCAACCACGACTCTACTCTCTGCAACGATGTGCGCACATTGATCGCCCAACGCAGCTCCGACATTGAGAGCATCTTTTACGGTGTCTCCATCCTGGCTGACCTCAAGTGTCTGGCCGCCAACCCCGTGCCATTCACCCAGCTGAGCCCCGCCATCACCAAGGCTCTCGACAGCGGCTCGCTGCAGCAGCTGGCCGACGCCGTCAACGTCATCTTCTCGTACATTGATGCCAAGGTCAAGGTGGACTACGACATCAAGCAGCTGGAGCCAGTGGCCGACCGTTTGGTCTCGCTCATGGACCTGGACGGTGAGTTCAAGTCAGAGGCCGCCGACGAGCAGGCATCCATCACCAACAACGGTGTTGCATACTTCACTCTGTCGCGTCTCTCTTACCGTCTCAACTCGCCAGCCGTCACCAAGCTCGTCGAGAAGGTCGTCGCCAAGTTGCCCAGCATCGTCGATCAGGGTGACGAGTCCCCCTCCGACTTCCACTGGGTCAACCTTGCCACCACCTCGAGCATTCTTCGTGGCATTGTCTCGTTGACATCACAGAGCGAAAAGGTCATGGCAATGATGCAGCCATCGCACATCCAGAGAATCGGAAACTACTTCTTGAAATTCAAGCAGCCATCCTCGTTGGCTGACGCATTCAACCTGGTCATTGGTCTCAAGGCCTGTCAAAAGAACATCATCGGACAGCCACTCTCAGTGCAGCTCGAGAACAACATCTTCTCCTCGGCCAAGACCACACCCGTTGCACTGACTGTGCGCGACATCTTTGACCAGGACGTCACCTCCGATGTCACCATCAACAAGCTGGTCCTCTCGACCGCTCGCTCCAACTCCCTTCTCTCGGGTAAGGCTCTCGGAGCCCCCAAGAATGGCGTGTACTCCACCGACTTGACCGACCTTAAGCTCGGCTCCTACGTCCTTGACCTCAAGGTCGTCCCAACTGGTGAGAACTTCAACACTTTCACCGTGTCGCGCACCTTCACCATCACCGGCGCCGTCAGCGTCACCGACTTCAAGCTCGTCGTCGCCGAGACCAAGGACGCCCTGGCCAAGTCCAAGACTGTTTACAACGTGGACTACATGAAGCAGTTGCCCGAGCTCGTTGTCATTCCCGCCAAGTCGGTCGGCCAGATCTCCTTCCGCGTCGTCAGTTCGACAGGAGTTGCATTCAACGCCCAGCAGGTCGGAATTAGATTCTCCTCGCCAATCGCTGAGACCGTCGTCCAGGCCATCTTCAACGCCGAGACCTACACCTACCTCATCAGCAAGGATATGGGCAAGCTGGTTGGATTCAACTCGGGCGACTACCAAGTCACCTTGATCGTTGGCGACCACTCCATCACCCCACTCACCTGGAACGTTGGTAAGGTCCAGCTTGCCTTTGCCGGCAAGCCAGTGCCCACCACTCGTTTCCCAGAGCACAAGCCAATCAGCCATGTGTTCCGCCAGCCCGAGGCACGTCCAAAGGAGATCGTGTCCCAGGTCTTCACCCTCATCGTCTTGGCCCCAGCCCTCATCTTCTTGCTCGGTCTCCCAATCGTTGGCGTCAACGTCAGCCTCCCCACTGGCATGGGCTTCATCTACACCACTGCCTTTGTCGGATGCATTGCCGCCGTCGCTCTGTTGATCATCACCTACTGGCTCTCGATGACCATGGTCGTCACTCTCCAATACCTCGGTGTACTTTTAATCCCAACCGTCTTCTTTGGACAGAAGACCTTGTCATACTATGCCCAAGAGAGACTGACAAAGATCAAGAGAGACTAAATACTCCCAAGCCCATCCCCTTTGCGTCCCTCCAACATACTACCAAACAACCATCCAACATCACAATAGACAACTCCTTAATAAACTACCCCATTATGACTATAAATATATATATCCATGGATTCATTCCAATCCAATCAATATATTGATGCAGCTGCAACTTCGTCATCATCATACTCTGATGGTCGCATTGGATCGACAACCTTGAACTCATCTGGAACTGTTACCGACTCTAATGGTGGCCACATGGTTTCGACAAGTTCGTGGACCGCTGGCTCCAGCCATGCAAGGTACTCCTTGAGCAGGAATTGAGGATCGTCGAACCACTTCTGTACCAGCTTGGCTTTGGTGTTGATGTCATTGTTTGTTAGCTTGTCAACAAGGTTATGTACCTTGCTCTGAGTGTTAGGCAATACAATCATGTTGGGTCTCGTGTTGAGAAGTGGCTAATGGAAGTTGAGATGTTAGGGTATGATTGTAGATTATTCGACTCATTAACGAACTTACAACTAAGTACAATAATGGAGAGAAGACTGCACCGTCTAACAGGGCTTTGGCAAAATATCGACAGGCCTCCTTGGAGCTTGGATGATCGATTGACATCATGGGTAACTCCCAACAATGTGGACCAAATGATGGCTTGACATAACAGATGACCTTGTCCTTCTTGGAGGAGTACTTGGGCATTGGCATCTCCAGAGGCTTGAACTCGGCACACAATGGCTTGCCAAGTGCGGCCAACCATGCTGGGTTGACCTCGGTCAGCAGCTTCATGTATGGCTTGGACGTCTCGATAATGTCACAGAATGTAACAAACTCTGGAGTGGTCTTGCCCAGCTTGGATGAGGGATGAATGTAGATTGATACATTGTTTGTACATGCTTGATACTCTGCTTGGGTGTGTGCTGTGCCATGCTCGTATATCCTCGCCACCTGATCAATTAGACCTGCTGTGATTACCTGCTTGATGTACAGCTCCTGGGTGGCATTGGGTGGTGCCATGGGCTTGTCAATCGACGCTGGCTGTGTGGCGTTATCAGTTTGGAATGCCTCGTCTTCAAAGATTCCATTGACAATCTCTGTGAGCTGGCAACGCAGCTTGTATATCTCGCCCATGGACTTGGGATTGAGGAATTGATTGGAGCAGAACGTGTCTACAGACTTTGGATTCTTCTTCATCTGGAAGTCATATGCACCAACCGCCTTGAGTATGGTCAGGATATCGCTGTCCTTGTTTGTCCATTTTCGCTGACTGTTCATTATCCTCTGATTCTTCTTCCTTCTCTCCTCCTTGTCCTTCTCCTCCTGCTCCTTGGCACTGACATCACCCTCGATCAATGGTGGCTGACCCTGACCATCCTCACCCTCATCCTCGAGGTCACCCTCGACGACGAATGGGTTCTTCACAGTGAGGATACCGACGATGGCGATGATGTATGGCAGACATCCATGCTGGCGACCAAGTAGCAACATCTTGGAGAATCTTGGGCTGACTGGGAACATTGACATGAGCTTGCCCAGCTCGGAGACTGCATAGTTGGGCTTCTCCAAAGCGCCAAGGTATGATAGCATCCTCAGTCCATTCTTGAGTGATGTCTCCTCGGGTGGAGTGGGGAATGGGAACTTGGGGATGTTGTGAATGCCCATGCTCTTCATCTGGAGTATCATGCCCTCGATAGGGATCATCATGATCTCAGGCTTGGAGAACTGCTCAAAGTGATCGTTGTAGACGGCTGATGAGTAGATGCGATAGCAATGGCCTGGTCCAGTACGACCGGCACGACCAGCACGTTGGTCGGCACTGGCCTTTGAAGTCCAGTTGACGTCGAAGCTTGAGATACCATTGTCCTTGTTGTAGTGTCTGCCCTTCACACGACCAGTGTCCACGACGTACTTGATGTTTGGAATGGTGAGTGAAGTCTCTGCCAGGTTGGTAGCCACGACCACCAGACGCGAGCCCAATGGTGGAGTTTGGAACACTCTCATCTGTTTGGCCGTTGGTAAGTTTGAGAATAGAGGGAGGACGTATAATGGGCCAATGACCTTCTTCTCTTCCTTCTCTCCATCTTCGGTCTCATCGGCCTCGTCTTCCTCTGCCTTGGCCTCGTTGTCCTCATTGTCTGACTCTACCTCCACGTCTGAATCATTGACAACCTCGAGCTCCTCGTCATCGTTGGCGGGCTCGTCGTCCTCTTCGTCATCAAATTCCTGATCGTCATCAATCTGATTCTCTGCCGAGTCTGCATCACCATAGAGATGGAATGCGCTGCTTGTATCCTGTTGCTGCTCAGTGCCCTCCTCGTCCTTGAACTCCTGCTCCAGCTTCTCTTTGGCATCGTGGAAACTCTTGTTCACGCTGTGCATGGGATGTGCGCGCCTCAGCTTGGCGCAGAGATGCTCGACCTCTTGGCGTCCAGTGACAAACACCAAAACTCCACCAGATGGCAATATCCTGTGAATCTTGAGCACCTTCTTGTAGGCCTCATCGACATAGTTCTGCAGGACTGTCTTCTTGTTGAAGTGAATGGTGACGGGGAATTGACGCGTGGGGATGTTGATGACGGGCGGGATCTTGTTGAACAGGTTGGCGTTGTTTGTAAAGTCCTCGACACGCAGCGTGGCACTCATGATCACCAACTTGAGCGGCGTGATCTTCTCGCCCTCCTTCTTCTTGTTCCAACGCTGCCACATCTTCTTGCGCATTGGCACAATCCTGGATAGCAGGCCAATCAAGATGTCTGTGTTGAGATTGCGCTCGTGCGCCTCATCGATGATGATGCAGGAGTACTGCAGCAGCAAGAAGTCGGTCTGGACCTCACGCAGCAGGATACCATCTGTCATGAACTTGACCTTGTTCACCTTGATGTCCAACTGCTTGTCGTAACGGATCTGATAGCCGACCTCCTTTCCAAAGTCGACGTTGAGCTCGTGTGCCACACGCTTGGCTGTGCTGACGGCGGCCACTCTTCTGGGCTGAGTGACACCGATGAGACCGGGGAAGTCGCTGTCTGGATGTGCGAATCCCGTCTCATACAAGAACTGAGGTACCTGTGTGGTCTTTCCTGATCCAGTCTCACCACAAATGATCACTACATCATTCTCCTTGATCTTCTCCACAATGTTATGTTCCTCCATCATGATTGGCAATTGTTCTCTCGACTCTACCACCTCTGGCAGACGTTCAACAGGAACATGGAACACCTGGAATTGATTGATAATTGAGTGATAGTGTGAGTGATTGACGAGTGAGTGATTGAAATATTGACGAGTGATTGGTTGAGTGATTGGTTCCACACATACATTGTACTTGATCTTCTCTTGAGTATCTTCGTCAATGTTGAATAGCTGCTCCTCCAATATCTCTGCTCCAGTTGGATCTGCGTATATGATCTCACGCTCTTGCTCCTCTTGCTTGCCAAACTCATCGATTGTAATGTTATATCTATCTTTCTCCTCCATGTTGGTTGTTGATGGAGTATCCGCCATCTCTTTATCTGATGTCTTTGCTGTCGTAGTAGTTGTCGTCGTAGTCGTAGTCTTAGCTGTAGTCGATGTTGTGTCCATTTGGTCCACATTGTGTGAAGATGTTGTTGCCTTTGTAAGAGGAGTAGATACCTCCTTCTTTGTCCTCTTAACATTGGTCTTTGTTGTTGCCTCATTGCTTGTATCCTTTCGCTTCTTGTTATCAGTCTCCAACTCTGCTGGCGAGGTGACCTTCTCCTTGTCCTCCTTCTCCTCCACTTTGTTCGCGGACTCTTTCGCATCTTCGCCCTTGCTGTCATTGTTTCCAATATTGCCTTTCAGATTGACAGTTGTCTCGTCTTCGCTGCCATCCATCTCTTGGTCATCGTCGACATCGACGCGATGCATTCTCTTTGACTTGAGGTTGTTGCTCACCAGACTCTCATCTTGGTACTCCTCAAAGTCATTGTCAATCTGCTCCTGTGACCAGAAGAAGTACTTCTTCTTCGACTTCTCCTCTCTCTTTTGTTCGGGCTGCTTCTTTGGCCTCAGACTCTTTGTCTTCTTTGGTAGATCGTCCTTCACAATCCTGTCATCCTCCTCTGGCACATCTGTCTTTGTATCGACCACAGCAGCAGGTGGCTTCCTTGTGGAAAAGAATGATGGCATTGCCACAGGAGTCTTTGCTTTTTGTATCTCTTGTTGATCATCCTCATCAAGTTCATCCATATCGTGTTCCTCTGCTACTACAGTGGCATCCTTAACCTTCCTATGAAACCTATCCTCTGGCAAGTTTGATACATTGAGCTTCTCCTCAATCTCCACACGTTCCTTTGCCTGCTTGTTTGTCTCTTTCTTTCCAAGTGTTGCCGTTGACTTTAGTAGCTGTCGCTTGTCATCAGACATTGAGTTTGTCCTGGGATGGGTGGAGTTGGGAAAAGGAGGCAGAGTCCAAGTGTCAATGTTGTACCAATATCTAATGGGATGTACTCGTGAGTACATACAGCAACTGATTGATCAGGTCCTTTCTCTCGGCATGTTTATCAATCTTCTTTTTGATCGATTGTTTTAGTCTTTGTTCTCGAGAAGGTTTATTAGCCTTCTCTTTCTGTTGTGCCCTCCTCAAAGGCAATGGAGCAGACATATCTCTCTATTATTATATGTATGTAAATATATCCAAATCTCAAATGCCCCTTTCAAAGTTAATTGGTTGTAGTCAGCTCAACTAACTTTCGTTCGTTTTTCATGAACCAAAGAAGTGTATTTTTGAAATATTTGTTTAATTTATTATCTCTTTGTATCATATCTTGGATATCTATAACTACCATCTATAGAGATAATAGTATATTGTTATTCAACATATTAATGGAGCTCCATGGTGAACGAGTAATTGATTGTTAAATGTTAAACCACAACAAACAAAAAATCAATCAATCAAACGTTTACCCTACACTAACTTAGAGAAGTGATCACTTCACTCGTCATTGTTATTAACGATAGGACATTAGAACGAAATCAATCAAATTGACGCGGAGTGGTAAGATGGGTGAGTGTTCTTCCCTAAAGTGATCAATACACACGAAAATAGAAAGGTGAAGTTGAACACACTTGAAGAATGAGTGGGCAAGGAAAAAGCATAAGAGTCCGTTCAAACATCTCAACAGATCCATTGCAATCAAGTTCTACAACTCTCTGCATTCATTAACATTGTATAACAACAACATATAATCTATATAAACATAAATGAGGATAACAGACTTATCTATATCTTCCATGGGAATTGGGAAGTTATTCAAAGAGGATAATGTAAGTACTTGAGCTCATATATCAATCCATCACCCAACAAACTATGCCTGGACGCTCAGTAGCCCTGCTCCGCCCTCCATCATCATTGATAGCTAATGCCTGAGATCTCGTACAAATGATCATTATCATCATCTTCATTGAAATAGAATGCACCAATCAACTCAATGGACTTCTATAAAGACGGTTCACTACTGGTGACTGCATCAGACGACGAATCCATTCATTTGTATAATATAAACTCTGGAGAGTAGGTAGAAGAGCAAGCACTAATGATAGGATGGACGCACTAAGGTAGCAGTTCAATGTTAACTCACCTACTTCCTTGCTTGAATGTACATGTACAGCACCCAAAAAGTCATATATAGTAAGAAGTACGGTGTAGACCTCATAAGATTCACTCATCATAACAATGCAATACTATGTGCATCGAAGAACTCATGGGATGGTATGGGCAAGTCAATCAATCACTCGAGCAATCAAATCATTCAATCAATCAAACAATCAATCTGACCTCTTTGTTCCTGTCTCCAACCAATATAGAATCACTCAGATACCTCTCTTTACATGATAACAAGTATCTTCGATACTTTAAAGGACATAGAAACAAGTAAGACATCTCATCCACCAAGGCCAGCCTCAGGGCTACAAGAAAAGAGTGTTGTACTAACATCAACGTCAACTAAAACAGAGTTGTATCATTGGCAATGTCACCAAAGGAAGATACATTCATATCGGGATCATTGGACGAAACTGTCCGCCTGTGGGACCTGAGGACAAGCACTTGTCAGGGCATCATGCGACGCAACGCCCGTCCAATAGTGTCGTACGACCCAGAGGGATTGATCCTCGCCACAGCCATATCTGTAAACACCATCAAGCTGTTTGACGCCCGCAACTATGATCGCGGCCCCTTTACAACATTCACAATCAAGCATACCAATCCAGTCGAGTGGACATCAATGAAGTTTAGCAACGATGGCAAATTCATACTGCTGACCACAACAGAGGCCACCATCTTCCTCATCGACGCCTTCAATGGCCAGGTCATCCAGACATACACATCGTTTGTCAACGATGGCAACTCGGTGCTGGAGGCCTCATTCACGCCCGACACTCAGTATGTGCTAGGTGGCAGCGAAGACGGCACCGTCCACGTCTGGAGGACGCTCACAGGCGAGGAGGTGGCCGTCTGGGGTGGACACAACTCTAAAGTCGGTTGTGTCCAGTGGAATCCCAAGATGATGATGGCCGCCTCGGGCTGCTCTACGCTCTCCTTCTGGATACCTACAATTCCAGACTCTTGACCGATCAAGTAGTAATAGTAGTAATCATTATCAATCAAAAAATAAAGTGCGACGTACGTAGTCTACATCATCCATCATCATCATTATGATCGTAATCCAATGAGTATGGTATGATATGTGATTTGGGAGGAGGAATGAACATCGCAGCAGTTGCAGCAGCAGCAGCTAGCCAGTGTATTTTTGTGTTCATTGGCTTGCAAGAAAGAGAGAGTAGCTCCAGATCGGTCCACCCTTAAGGGTGGATAGGTAAGTTTGCAATCACTGCAAACTGCTTGCGTTTGAAATGTGCAGTACTAGACGCCTAGAGATTGCCGTTGTACGGTTGGCCAAAGTCAGCGTTATTGTTGTTGCTGCTGGAGGCTGACTGGCTTGGGTATTGGGCTGGTTGGTGGTGGGCAATTGGGGCTGAAGCATTGACTGTCTGCTTGTAGATGTTGTCTCTAATGTCGAAAATGGACAAGAAGATCTCAGATGTGACTCTAGCGAACAATGCAACGAATAACAATCCTAAAGAATAGTTAGTTATTATAAGAGGAGGATGATGAGACGATGAGTAAACACAACATACTCAATGTTCCGAAGAGAAGTCCAAGGAAGAAACCGCCAGCGCCAAGTGCAATAGTCTCAATAATGATCACATAGAGGAAGTAGAAGAGTGCAAGTACCAACATAAAGTAGTAGTAGAATGGGATGATTCCTGATGCTTGCCATGATCTAGAATCATTGTTATATGAATATGTAAGTTAGTCTTGTTACTCAATCAAACTCCTCTCTCTCTCTATCATTCACATAACTAGCAACATACCTGAAGTAGATCAACTCGCGCAAGTTGAGGTAAGTATCTGGGAATGGTGATTCAGTGGTGTCTCTTGGACCCAATCCAACGTATTTGCCTGAGCTCATTCTATTCTATATTTGTTCTTTATATATTCTTTATATTTATATATATATTATGTATATGTTTGTTATGTAATCTAGTAGGATTGTGAATGACGCAAAAACAACTTGAATCTTGAAGGTTCTGTCAACAAGTTGTTTTTCCAACCCACCACCAACTCAAAATCTAATGGAAGTGTGGTGGAACTTCATTAACTAGGACTCGACCTTGGTCGTTTGAGAATGCCTAGCTGGTGGGCAATCATGATCTTAACATGAATCCCTGATATTACTTGATCATTATCATAGGAGAGATAACTTTTAACAAGGCCAAAATTATCAAACATGTTCTTATTGACTAACTATCATTATTTGTTTGTATTTTATTTGTTGAGAAAGTAATAATAATAATAATAAGTCTAGACTAGATCATTAATTGATTGGATGTGTGACGTCACAAATATCTTTATATCCTTGAATGATTAATTATTTGAATCGACACCCACCAAACGGACTTGGAATCTGTATCTTGTTGTAACCCACCTTTCCAAACTAATGAAGTGGTGGTACCTACCCTTGCGATGAAGTACTTGATCAACATCAATCTAAGTCCAGTTACAACTTGATTATTAATAAGTCAAACCTATAAATAAATAAACCGATCAAATACACACATTATCAAACATATGTATCCATCACAACCTCCACCTCCACGTCAGCCTACAAAGGCCTTCATACAACCTCCACCTCCAATGTCCAAACCACAACCAACTAGTACCTTCACTCCATCTCTAGCACCTAGAGTATGTCCTCCAACTCAAACAACAGTCCCTCCCGCCAGACCTACTCCACCTCCCGCTCAAATGCAACCACCAGTTCAAGCCACAGCACCTCCTGCTCCAGTCGCCTCGACAATCCCAACCCAAAAGGCCCGACCTGCGTCCAGCGCATCTATACATCCTCACCAGATAAGAATTGTACAACCAGACTATGGCATGTCTGGAGGCAACAAATGGAAGTGTAGACTGTGCAAACGAGTGGGATACGGAGTCAGTGAGAGATACCATTGCGTGGAATGTCCCGAGTTTGACATCTGTAGATTCTGCTCAACTGGCTTTGAGCTGGAGGGCGGTGAGCTGCTCAAGATCGCCGAGCAGACACAAAGACTGACGGTGCCCGAGAGCCAGCATCGCCATCCACTCATCCAGTTCAACATCACCTTCCTCTACGGCGCCAAGACCAGAGTGTTGTGCAGCATCTGTGGAGTGGACATTCGCGGCATGACCAATCACTGCTCCGAATGCACCAACTTTGATGTCTGTGTAAAGTGCTTCCAGACCAAGCGTGCCGCACCCGCCCCGGCACCTGCACAAGCTATGGTCCAACAAAACTATGCACCTGTCAATCAGATTGATTATGCCTCGCTTCCTGCACTGGTCTACATTGGCGTACCCAACTACCTTCGCAATATTATCCAAGTACCATTCAAGAAGGGTGTACCAATGAGCATGCGTAAATGCAACTGGTGTGATCAAATGATCTTCAGCTCCTACTACGAGTACGTAGGCAAGGAGAACATCTCAATGTTCCAACGAACCATCTGTTTTGACTGCTTTATCCAAGTATATTGTTATTAATAAATGATAGATTGATCACCATCAAGAATAGTGATTGAATGAATCATTCATTAAGATTAAACCAACAATGCATATGACAACGTATCACTAAATGGAGATAGATAAATATAACAACTAATTGTTGAATCATCATTGATGACTCATTACACCTGTGTTGTTGGGCCTGGCGGGGGTGGCCTTCTGTTGTTCAAACCCTGTCCTCTCGAATTCTTGTGACCTGACCCAGCCACCCCACACGGGAACCCTCAGCCAACCCTTCAAAACAGTTCTCTCTCTCTTAGTTTCAAAATAAATAAATAATGGAAATTTGACTCACATCAGGTGAGATACACCTTCTCGAAATTGTGAGTAGAATAAGTAATGTCTACCAGACATGTACATTCATTCATTAATAATAATCCCCATACATATATAATATATTAACTTTATTTACATATACATAATAATACGATATTTATTTACATTTATATATTTAATCATTTGAATTGAAGAAGAAGAAGATAGATGTAAGTATCATTAAATCTAATCTATGTCTTTGATATTGTTCATGGTGATGATGATGATGGACCAAGTCAAGTCGACCACACGACTTACAATTATCATTGTACGAGTTACCCGCTATTACTTGTTGATGTCAGAGTTACTCATTACTCGCGCATACACAAACACATTGACCTCTCTTCTCAACAGAACAAGAAGAAGAGATAACACACACTCTCTCCCTATCACTCACATTCACATTCACACTCACACTCACTACTCACTTCACTCGCACTCATTCAATTCACCACGAACACACCAACACTTGAACATCCCACTATCATCTTATTATTTCTTTCCTTCCTTCATCCATCTATCCATCCAACCTTGTGTCCCGCGCACATGTGGTCATCATCATACCATACTTACTCCAACAACAGCAACAGCAGCAACAACAATAACAAACTTAACCTTGACCAGCAGTGCTGCTCATACATGCGACCTGGGTTCACAAGATTGTCAAGAATTGTTGTTTGTTTGTTTGTTTGTTTGTTGTGGTTATGTTCTTGTATATGCGCGCGAGAGCATTGTTATGGTTACCTTATCTTCTTGCTTCCACCTTATCCCTCAATCCATCTCTCACTCACTCACTAACTCAATTGACAATTACCTTATGATATTAACCATTCAATTTCCTTTATAACACTTTCAAAGAGTAATTAGTAGTTACAGCAGATAGTATTTGATTTGTAGTTGACGCAGTCACAGAAAGAGTGTATCATTAAAGAACAAACCAAAACACAACAACAACAACAACAACAACAACAACAACAACAACAAACAGGAGATGGAATCTACATCATTCTCATCGTCCATCCAAAGGACCAGCGTGTATACCAATCCATCGTTGGAGTTCTCCCTTGGTGGCATCTCCTACTTTAATACACTCCTGGTCGACTTGATCAATAGCATTGTTATCGAAACGATCAACTATGCCAAACAACAGAACAAGCAGCAACAGAGCTATCTCTCACCAGATGCCATAACAGCGGCCATCAATGCGGTGTTCTCTTATGACTTGGCCGAGTACATCCTCGATCAGTCCCAGGGCAGGATCCAACATTCGTCGATGAAGAACTTGCCAAAGTACAACCCCGAGACCGAGCCCAAGGACGACGTGCTCAGCGATCAGGAGGAGGACGACGATGATGTCCGCGACTTTGAGATCATTCCTCGCGAGTCCACCATGTCGACACAGCACATGTCCCTGTTCTTCCCGACCGAGCTAGTGTACTCGGTGGTCCAGGATATGATTAAGCGAAAGAAGGTCATCTACAGTGGCACAGACTTTTACGAGCGCATCGAAATGCAGAGCCGTGAGTCGTTCATCTACACCTACCTGTCGTACTGCCTGGAGGTGGTCTCCACGAGGATCTTGAAGCGTCTCGACCAGCAGGGCAGGGACCAGATCACCGAGGATCACATCAGAAAGACCATCGCCTCTGATGCCCCTCTCAAGGACATTCGTCAAAAGGCTGTGCACATCACCAATGTCACCAACCATATGCTGCAGGGTCATTCGATCGATTCGATACCATCGTCATCATCGATGTCATCCTCATTCTCAATATCTGAGATACAGACATCAGCAGTATCATCAACTATAAAGAGTCAGAGTTCACCAGTGTTGGCACCAATGACAACAACATCAACAACAACAGACATAGCAACTGTATTGGAGAAGGAGCAGCCAACAATTGTTCCACCCCAAGTCGAGGAAGTAAAGGTACAGACTGCCGGGAGTGATGAACCACTTCTAGAGGAGTCAGCACAGGTGACCTCCTCCTCCTCCGACAACTCAAGTGATAATTATAGTAATAGTAGCAACAACAACAACAACAATGTAGATAGTGTATATACCCAACCAAATATAATCCAAGCAACAACAACAACCACAACAACAGAGCAAACGATAACACCAATCACTCCAATACCAACACCAACCAAACAAACTAAAACAACGACTCGACCAAACAACAACAACAACAAAAGTTTATTGAAAGAAAGACTGGTACACCCCTTAAAGGACCTACCTGCAACGTCAACGCCAGCGGCTGAGGTCATAGCTCCAGAGTTCCGACTTTGCACAAAGATACCATCATTGATCTTTTTGGACAAGCCATTGGACTTGATCAAAGTTCTCCGAGAGGATAGAATATTCTTGGAGGCAAGGTATGTTTGATGCTGCAGCACCACCAATCAATGACTAGTAACTAACATCTCTCTCTCTCTCTCTCTCTCTATCTATCAAATCCATTAGCAATGGAGCATTCCTAGTTATGTTAATTCTACTCGGACTTGCCATTCAGTCGATAAACATGCCAGTCAAATGCTGACGACTCAGCGATGAGACCCAATTCATTCGCCTATTCATTCATTCATCCAACCATCCAACCAATTAATCAATCAATCTTGTTTATAAATATGTACAATCAGCCAATCAGTCAATCAACCAATCAATGTCCCCAACCTTATGAATATAGTACTCAAGGTGGACGAGTGCGGAGACACCAACCTCTCCACAACCTCCACATACACTACTGGCGGACCATCCTGCCAACACGCCCTCTCCTTCCTTCCCTTCCTCAATAGAATTAAATGCTTCAATTCCTCGTCCTACGTCTCTCCATCTTCCTCGCTTCATCAATGACATGAACAATGAATGAATGAATGAATGAATGAACGAATGAATGAACGAATGAATGTATTACATCTTTGCTCTCTCTTTCCTGATCTTCTCCATCTCTTTCCTGACATCGTCCTTGTTGTCCTTGAAGAACTTTTGAATCTCTACGGCCTTCTTTGGGATTGGTTTACCCTGCTTCTTGAACCTGGACATGACCTCAAAGATCTGTCTGGCATTGTTGAACGTGTCGAACATGGCTGTGAACTGCTGTGGCGTTGTTCCAGCATCTTGATTGATCCTCTGCTTGATCTTAAAGGCGTACTTTTGGAAGATCTTGGGATTGGCCCTCTCCTCATCAGTCATTGCATCAAGTATCTTGATGTATGATTGGAACTCCTTCACTTGATCTGTGATCTGTCCAGCCTTCACAGCAGGCTCCACTGACTTTGCTATGTATATTCTAAAGTCGTTCAAGTCGTATTTACCAGCCTATTAAATGATCGATTGATTGATTGATCGAATGATGTTAGATCGTGCCCTTGATCCTCGCTATCCATCCACAATGATCGAGAGAGAACACATACATCCAACATCTTGTTGAACTCTAGATCGTCATTTGCTTGCTTCTCTTGATCGACACTGTCAGCAGCTGTTTTGGGTGCATCTTCTTGTGCTTTTGGTGCTTCCCTTGTTGTTGGCTTAACGTCTTCTTTCTTCTGCTTGGTCGCGTAGGTGTTAGTGAACTGACAATCAACCAAAGATGATGAGATAGTGAATGAGTTGAGATAGTAGTACATACCTCTGGACCTGTGATTACGTTCTTTATCTTTGAGAACACATCAAACAGTGAGCTGGAGGGCATCGTCGATTTGAAGTAATGTCTCTTGGCATTGGCAATGCTGTTGTGATGTTGCAAAGCATCACTGCCATTGACCAACCATGAGGAGTAAGCTGGCACTGATCTTCTCGCAAGTTGATTCAACAACACAGATGAACAAGATGAACTTGCTTGATGTCTCAACATTGTATGTATCTTTGAATGAGTGAGTATTTATATGAATAAGAATGTAAGAATATATTATATTTGATCATGAAGTGGAGACGACTAACCCAAAGTGGATGATGTAGTTGGGAAGAGTCTTCATTCCGAAAAGTGTGTCATATGACTAGATTAATCTTGTCTGACTGATTGATCATATGTTGTTGGTATATCTTATTTGATGGATACCTTCTATCTCTATAATGACCAAACGACAACTATTGGCAAAGTCAATCATTCAAATAATAACTGAACTTCATAATCATCCGTTGAACTATTTAAAATTTGGTATCTCACAATGTTGGGTGAATGGATACTATTCACAATCAACACTAGCACTGAAATGACCACCAACTTTTTCATGTTTGAGTGTGGGTGGGATTGAGCAAACGCAGCAAGTTGAATGAATGAGAGAGGGAGGGAGAAGAGAGACCTGTCCTTTGACAACATTCCCAACAACTACGAATACGACTACTACACTAACTAACTACTACAATTACGACTACTACGACTACTAAAAGGTATGTGTCGTATAGTAATCAGTAACAGCAAAAGCAACAGATATATTTAGAAACATCAACAATCATACAGTACAGCTCAGCAGCAGAAGCAAACAAACAATCAATTCAATCAATCAATCAATAATTTAACATATAACAAGTAATATATAAAGAATAAGGAAGAAGAAGAAGACATGTCGACAGTGGAACTACCAAAGTTTGCCACGCCACAGGAGGAGATAGCATATTGGCGAAAGGCTATAGAGGATAAACAACAAGAGTTGGATGATCTAGAGGTCAGCTTCACTGAGTATCAAGAGTTCTCCAAGCAGCTCGAGGAGGAAATGGAAGGTGAGCTCAAAGCCTGCGAGAAGAAATATGCCGAAGTACAATCACAACATGCGTGTGTATCATCTCATTCAATCACCTCAATCGATCAATATGATGATGATGATGATTGTTAACATGTCCAACACAGACGACTGAAGAATGATCATGAGAATACACAGGACAAGCTGAACAAGATGTCGAAAGAGTCTACTAGTCTGATAAACAGTCTACAGGATGAGGTGTCAAAGTTGCAACAGGATAGACAGACATTGGTATCTGATAAACGACGATTGGAACAAGAGAATGATTCACTGGAGCGTAGGGAGCGTGTGGCCACTGCATCCGTACACGACCTAACCTACAAACTAGACAGAGTGATGGAGGAGAATGTCTGGATGCAGATGGAGCTGGAAGAGTCAAAACAAGCAGCCGATGAAACAATACAGAGACTTAGAGAGGATATAAGAGGTATGGCATTCATTCATTCAAAGGGAAGATCATCATCATTCGCATTCACATGCTAACTCAATCAATCAATCAATCGTGCGAATGATACACCAGACCTGAGACAAGAACTCACAGTCCGCGAGAGAAAGAATATCATTAAGCCAATGTCAACAGAGAAATCAAAGCGAGAGAATCCAATGTCGTTCCACATACCTCGGCCCAACAAGTCTCAGAGGCAAAAGGCCGAGGATACACCTTCAACAGGCGCATCAAGTTCACTCTCTGTGGTATCAGAGCTCATCAATCTTGTCACTGTATGGTCCCTTATGATTGAATGATTGATTGACATGAACGAATGACTGACACGACTCACTCACTTGTTGAATCTTTAGGACTTGGAGAATAGGATCATCAACTTTAGAACAAAGCCAACTACATCGGAATCAAACTCACCGCAAGGATCACCGCAGGCATCGCCCTCGTTGCGTGCCTCCACTTCAATGCTCAATTTCAACGCTAACTATCCAATACCATTTCCCTCACTGTCCGAGCAACTGAGTCAGGGCAGAACACCAGGTACATCATCAACAGCAACTATCATTACTACATCACAATCGACACCAACATCACCACCCTTCAGCACACCATTAACAAACAACAAGATAACGAATGGACTGTCGCCCTCAACCCTTAACCTAATCAATGGTTTGGAGTCGACAAGTGTATCAGAACACAGAACAAAGACAGACAAGGACAGCGCCGAGCATCCTGCAAACGTCAGTGTAGTAATGGAAGACAGCAACGATAACAACAGCAGTAGTAATAGCACAGGCAATGGCAATGGTAATGGTAATGGTAATGGCAGTCATCCAATCAGTAGTTGAACATGTCGTTCTCCCACTTTGAGTGAATGAATGAATGACTCTTGAGACCATGTCGTGTCCGGATGATCCTCGAGACTATGTTAGTTGCCATTCCATGCTGGCAAATAGTTCAATCGTCCGCCTCTTCTGATCAGAGGGTCCATCAGTTCCCGAATGGACGACGTTGGAAGTGTCGATTTCTTGGAATAAAGAGTACATGTACTGTCAATTCCTCGAGTGTATTATGTACATTGACTAAAGTCATCAGATGTTGTGTTTGCAAACTGATGTCCGTGTAGTGAATCACAATTCCATTAAAGTGTTGTTCTCATCAATAACACTCCACTGTCGTAATCAACTTCATTCCCGCCAATCATTTGAATTCTCATTCTCGAAAGAGATACACACAAACACGAAACACTCCACAACTTTTATTCATTCAATCTAAATAGATGATATTATTATTCTACAGTTACTTGTATGCATTCACTGCTGTTTGGTTGATCATTCGTTGTTTGGTCAACTCTATCAAGTATATTTCAAACAGAAAGAAACAAGCTTATTATAATTCTACATCATCATTAACAACAACAACATCACAACCATTGTCCACGTCATCAACATTACAACAACAACTACAACAACAAACTATTCGTAAGATTGACAATCAATCGAAATCCCCTGTACGCACATCATCGGCAACAACAACAACACCACCAAAGAGCGTCTTAAAGAGGACTTCAACTTCATCAACATCACCATTATCCTCCCCTTCAACTTCAACATCAACATCACCATCAACATCAGTCAAGAGGACAAGTACCAACGGTGGCATCAATAACAAGGAAACATCATCAAGCACTACTTCAGCTACATCGTCAAGCACAAATACAAACACAAATATTAATAGTAGTAGTAGTCAAAAGGGTACTGGAGCAGGAGGTGGAGGAGTAGGATACGACAATATGAATATATCGATTCTACAGAAGGGCAAGTACCTCATCGAAGAGGGTAGAGCCTATGACGAGAAGTGTGACTACCATAAGGCCTTCCTATATTATACAGATGGCCTTGAGAAACTGTTACCTCTTTGCAAGAGTATGTTGAACACCCTCACCTCACCTTGTTCATCATCATACTTACTAACATTACCCAACTAAACAGCCTCAAGGGAGTTGAAGAACTACGTTGTATTCTACATGGATCGCGCGGAATATCTGAAGAAACAGACATCATCGTCATCATCGTCATCGACAGATGGTGAGCAAATAGAGACATTCACAGAGTATATAAATAGATGTAATAGTACAATAGAGAATAATACAAACAAGCAGGATGAGTCAACAACGTCATCGTCCACCACACCAATCCCTGCAACTGGATCAACAGGATTCTTCTCATCATGGTTTGGAGGTGGTGCTGCCAAGACCCAGGCTCAGACTCAGACTCAGACACATACACAGCAGACTCGTCAACCAGAGTACATTGATGTTGATAAGTGGAGCATGCCTAGCAACAAAACGCCAACAACAACAACAACTACAACACGATCGAATCAATCAAGGCCACCTTCACTCTTGACGTCATCGATCAATCCTAATGCACTCATCAGTCGACCAGTCAGCATGGCGGCCAAACCCCTGGTCACTCAATCAAACAAGACATCATCACCGATCAGGAGCAGCGCTGGCGCGCAACAACAACCACCAGCCCTTCCCGACATCAAGGGTGTGGACAAGGCCGCGCTGGCGATCATCATGAATGAGATTATGGACAAGAAACAGCCGGTCACATGGGACGATGTGGTGGGCCTAGACAAGGTCAAGCAGTCATTGATGGAAGCTGTTATATTGCCAAGCTTGCGACCGGATGTGTTCACTGGATTGCGCTCACCACCAAAAGGACTGCTTCTGTTTGGCCCACCAGGCAACGGAAAGACAATGATCGCAAAGGCAGTGGCATATGAGTCCAAGGCCACATTCTTCTCCATCTCTGCATCGTCGCTCACATCAAAGTACGTTGGCGAGGGTGAGAAACTGGTGCGAGCGCTGTTTGCCGTGGCCGGATACTATCAGCCATCGATCATATTCATAGACGAGGTGGATGCGTTGCTGACTGAGCGCACAGAGGGCGAGTCGGATCACACGCGTCGCCTAAAGACCGAGATACTCATTCAGTTTGATGGCGTCAAGACTAATGGCTCCGAGCGCATACTGGTTATGGGCGCCACAAACAGACCTGAGGAGCTGGACGAGGCTGCCCTTCGTCGATTCGTCAAGCGTATCTATGTTGGACTGCCCGAGAAGAGCACACGTCTGGACATTCTGAAACATCTACTGCGCGACCAGAATCACAACATCACGGCGAGCCAGATGAACGCCATTGCCGACGAGACCCAGTTCTACAGTGGCTTCGACTTGAATGCTCTGTGCAAGGACGCTGCGTACGAGCCGATCAGACAGCTGGGCATGGACATTAAGGACCTCAAGCTCTCACAGATCAGGGCCATCACGCGAAAGGACTTTTCCAACTCACTCAAGCAGATCAGGCCATCAGTTTCACAAGATAGTTTAAGAGGCTATGAACAATGGAACAAGCAATATGGAACTGTATAAAGATAGAGAGTGGGCCACCAACACCTGGTGTTGTGTGTGTGTTCCATATTGGATAATTATTATGACTGACTGTAACACCAGTAGTGTATCGTACCGTTATCCTTCATCCCATCAATTATTAGATCTATTAATTTAAACTCACATATGAATGAAGGATAACGGTACGATACACTACCTGACCTGACCTCCAGGAATACCAACAATCAATCAAACAACCAACCAACACATGTTTATACCACCAAACACCATGAAGTGAATGAGCCAACCACATCGTGTGATGGTATACACAACACGAGTAACAACCTACTGACACCATAGAGGTGGCCTTCAATTATGATCCATTCTAAACGTATTCATTAAACTGGTAGAAATGTACAACAGATAGAGCACTCTTGCATCTAGGATAGGTACAACAATCAGATGAGAGATGAGTGATGAGTTCCTTCATTTCAGATGTAAATTGGTTGAATGGGTATGATGATGGTGATGGACCTCAGTCAGTCAAAGGGGGTTGTTGAGTCCCAATCACACAATCACATGATCAACCACTAGCACTGATTCCCACTCACTCTTACACACATCAATTTAGCACTCAATTCAATCATATGACCACATGTTTAATCTTTAAACTAACATAATAATATTTATTATTATTGATCGTGGTAATGGCTGGAACTCAATGGATATGAATGAATTATACCACATTACAACAGCCTACCTACCTCCCGCTTAAAGTAGATCAATTCCAAATTATTATTGTCCATTCCAACATAATCCATATTATATTATTAACAACAAATAATAATAATGAAGACTTCAACATTATTATTATTATTGGTCCTTAGTATTGGCTTGTGTTTAACAGCCTCAGGTATGGTATCATTCCTCAATTAGTCGACCAATTTCCAAAATTGGAATAATTTGATTGGACCGCTGATCACTTTTTTTCATACATTCGTTAACATTCATTCATTCATCTACTCGATCAACAAATGAAATAGAACAATGTGGACAGGTATTCTGTCTTGATCATCAGATATGCTGTGGAGAACATCTTGGATTGCCACAACGTTGCTTTGACAAATGCATGTTCAAGAAATGTCCAGCGGGCTCATCATGTCGCGTATCATTGGGCCAAGCCCTTTGCTATCCATTAGGGTCGCCATTAACTACCACGGCGACAACAACAGCCACAACCACCAATAACCAGGGCAGCACGGTCGCCACCACCACGGTCTCCACCACCGCGCTCAGCTCAACCGTCGCCACAACCACAGTGTCCACCGCATCAACTGTTGCCAGCACTGTGGCGTCGACCACTAACACGGCTACATCAGCCGTGTCGACCGTCGCAACGACAACAGTGTCTACTCAGTCAACTGTCGCCAGCACTGTTGCCAGTACCGTGTCCCAGGCAACGGCAACCCCAACGTCAACCACGGTGTCAACCACAGTCACTACGACTGCATCGACTTCGGGTGCTGCGTCGACCATCACTCAGACCACATCGGCCACGACCACAGTCACCACGACTGCAACTAGCCCAGCGACTGCCTCCACTGTGGTCTCGACGACAGTGTCCACTCAGTCAACTGTTGCCAGCACAACCGTGTCCACCGCACCATCCACCGGTGCCAGCACGGGTGTCAGCACGACTTCGGCAACACCAACCTCCACCACAGTCTCGACCACGGTCACAACTACCGCTTCGACATCTGGTGCTGCGTCGACTATCACTCAGACCACATCGGCCACGACTACAGTCACCACGACCGCAACTGGTGGATCCCCTTCCTCAACAGTCGCATCGACAACAGTGTCCACTCAATCGACTGTTGCTAGCACAACAGTGTCCACCGGTGTCAGCACTGCTTCGGCAACACAAACATCGACCACAGTCACGACCACTGCCACCACTACCGCCTCAACCACTGGTCCTGCGTCGACCATCACTCAGACCACTTCGGCCACGACCACTGTCACCACCACCGCATCTGGTGGTACGCCAGTGACCTCAACTGTCGCGACTACCACAGTGTCAACTCAATCGACTGTTGCCAGTACCGTTGCCAGTACCGTGTCCCAGGCGTCCGCCATCCCAACGTCAACAACCGTCACTACGACAGTGACCACCACTGCCTCGACCTCTGGTCCTGCATCAACCATCACTCAGACTACATCGGCCACCACAACAGTGAGCACGACCTCCACCCCAGTCCCAACGACAACCACTGCCTCGACCACAATGACCACCACAGCCTCCACTGTTGGTCAAGCGTCCACTATCACCGCCACCACGACCGCAACCACAACAGTCTCGACCACCTTTACCAGCGCAGTGATCACCTCAGAGGTTACCACTTCCACACCAGTCACCTCCGATATCACTGGCTCAGCTGCAACATCCGAGATCACTGGCTCAGCGGTAACCTCCGAGATCACCGGCTCAGCTGTCACATCAGAGATCACCGGTTCCACACCAATCACTGGCTCCGAGGTGACCAGCTCCACCCCAACAACCTCTGTCGTCACCAGCTCTGTCACCACCTCAATGGCCGAACTTTTCACCCTTAGTGGAAAGGTATGGGATGCCACAAACAGTGACTCTATCGCTTTGGACTTGGCCAAGGGATTGGGCGGCGCCACCATGACCCTCATGAGGGAGGATGGAACTCAGGTCGAGGCCATCCAGACCGGCGCCGATGGATCCTACACCTTCAACGGTCTCGCCGCAGGCAAGTACTGCATCCGTGGCGCCTACTCGGAGGGCAGCTATTCATACGGTCCATTCTATGGCGACAACAAGTTTGAGAATGGCAAGGTCTGTGCTACAGTCGGTCCGAGCGTCAGTGACCTTAATCTTGCCATGATCAAGAGCACCACATTCTTTGTGCAAGGTCTTATCTGGGATGATACCACCGAGAACCAAGGCAACTTGGACAAGAACAACCTGTTCAACGGTGCCACCATGCAATTGAAGGACAGCAAGGGAGAGGTGCTCAAGACATTCGTTGCCGGTGAGGGCAAATACATGTTCAACGGTCTCGTCGCTGGCGACTACTGCATCGAAGGTTCCGACCCCACTGGAAACTACGTCCCAGGTGTCTTCAAGCATGACAACAAGTTCAACCATGGAAGATACTGTTTCACTGTTTCAGCAAGCATGACAGATGCTCATCTTGGTAAGTGCCTCAAACTCAAACCCAAACTCAAACTCATACTAACCCTGGATCAATCAATCAATCAATCAATCAAAATAGCAATGACCAAGAAATCATTATTCACGATAGCTGGATCAATCTGGGATGACTCTGCTCTGCTGCAGGGCAAGCTTGACCCATCAAAGTTGCTGAGTGGCGCCAACATGGAGCTGTTTGACAACAATGGAAAGTTGGTAAAGTCTAATGCCGCCGCCCCCGGAACCTACTCTTTTGAGGGTCTTGAGGCCGGATACTACTGTGTCATCGGTCACTACCCCGACGGATACAAGGCCAGCCCCAAGATGAATGACAACGTGTTTGAGGAAGGAAAGTACTGCGTTGTGGTCGGTCCAAACGTCACCAACGCTCACTTTGCCATGATGAAGATCCCCGCCACATTCTCGATCAAGGGTTTCATCTGGGATGACACGGCCAACAACCAAGGCACTCTCGACACCAACTCGCCATTGATGAATGTGAGGATCGACCTGTATGACGATCACAATCATGTGGTCAGATCACTGACGAACACCCAAGGCAACTATTTGTTCGACGGTCTTGAGCCCGGCCAATACTGCGCCACCGCCTTCTACCCAGACGGATCCTACATTCCAGGTGTATTCCAGAAGGACAACGTATACGACAAGGGTAGATACTGTGTCACCCTTGGTCCAGACTCTTTGAACGCCAACTTGGGTAAGTACACCTTCATTCATTCAATCGATCACATGACTCACTCACTCACTCACTCAATCAATCGATCACTTTAGCCATGATCCAGAAGCCATCATTCTCTGTATCGGGTATTGCTTGGGATGATTCACAAAAGAAGGAGGGTAAGCTTGATACTCAGGCCAAGTTGGATGGTACCAAGTTCCAGCTGTTGGACGGTAACAACAAACCACTTCGCACCATTGACTATGCCACTGGTAACTACGAGTTTAGTGGTCTGGATGCCGGATCATACTGTATCATCGCAACATACGAGGGCAACTTCAGTCCAGAGGAGAAGAAGGGCGACAACGTCTACGGCTCTGATGGCAAGTACTGCTTCCAGCTTGGACCATCAATCACCAATGCTCATCTTGGTATGTATCACACTGATTCCATCGAACAATCAATCAGACGATGACTGACACCTATCATTAGCTTTGATCAAGGGAACATTCATGGTGAAGGGATTCGTTTGGGATGATTCTGCCGACAACAAGGGCAACCTGGACACCTCCAAGCCAATTGGAACTGTTACCATGGAGCTTAGGAGCAAGGCTGGCGATTTGATCGATTCAAAGAAGGGCATCACTGGAGAGTTCACATTCAAGGACGTGCCAGAGGGACAATACTGCATGACCGCCATCAACACCAACACTGGCTACGTACCAGGCGCCTTCCAGAACGACAACCTGTTCAACAAGGGTCAATACTGCTTCACGATCAGCACCGCTGATGTGAACGATGCCAACTTTGCCCTGATCAAGAAGGTCAGCTCACATCTCAGCGTCTGGGACGACACTGCCGACAACAAGGGCACCATGGACAGTAGCAAGCTTCTCAAGGATGTCCCCGTCAAGATATTTGATGACGCTGGAAAGATTGTCCTCAGCTCCGTCACCTCTGACGCTGGTTTGGACTTTGATCTCGCACCAGGCTCCTACTGCATGGAGCTTTCGCCACCCGACACAACCTATATGTCATCCACGGTCATGGCCAATGACAACCAATTCGATTCCAATGGAAAGCATTGCTTCAAGGTCGAGAAGGACCCTCTTGATCTCAAAGGAGGTAAGTCACTGAGACCCATTATTCAATCAATCAATCAATCACTCACTCTATCACTCAATCAATCAATCAATTATAGCGATGGTCAAGCATAGATACTCTGTGTCTGGATTCGCTTGGGATGATGGCAAGAACAAGCAAGGTAACTTGGATAAGAACTCTCCAATGGGTTTGGTTGACATGGACCTCTTGGATAAGGATGGCAAAAAGATCAAGTCTCTCGCTGGTGTCAGCGGAGCATACACATTCACTGATCTCTTGCCAGGTGACTACTGCATCAAGGCGTCCGTCCCCGACGGATCCTACCTCCTTTCCGCCAAAGCACTCAAGGACAACAAGTTTGCAAATGGCCAAGCATGCTTCACTGTTGCCGACAAGAATGTTATTGACATCGATATTTGTAAGTATCATTCATGAGACTTGGATTGGAGGTTAACATGTTCTAACCCTCGCCCTCGCCCTCGCCCTGGACCCTCACCCAAACACTTACAGCCGGTTTCAAGAAGGCCTCAATCACAATCAATGTTTGGGATGACACTGTTGATAACAAGGGAGTCTTTGACAATACCAAGTTGGTGCCAGGAATGCATGTAGTGATCACTGATACTGATGACAACAATGCTGTGATCAAGGACCTTGACTTTGACAACACTGTCAAGATTGACTGGGGCGAGGGTAACTACTGTGCCCAGCTCACCGTGCCAACTGGCTTCACGATGGCGGCCGTCGTACAGGGCGACAACAAGTTCGACTCCACTGGCAAGTACTGCTTCAAGCTCACTGGCGACATGGTCGCCGACGCCGCCTTGAACAAGGAGAAGTTCAGAGTTCAGGGCACCATCTGGGACGACACCTTGGAGAATGACGGCAATCTCGACAAGACCAAGTTGCTACCCGGTGTCAAACTCGTTCTCAGGGATAGCGACAAGAAGGACTTGCTCACTCTCGACACCACCGGTGGTGAGTTCTACCACTTTGACGACCTTCTCGCTGGCAAGTACTGCATCCATGCAACCTACCCCGCTGGAGGCATGTGGCCATCACTCCAAGGCAACGACAACAAGTTGGACGATGACGGAGACTACTGTTTCACCCTCGGTCCAAGCATCACTGATGGAAACCTTGGTAAGTTTGGCTCATTCAATCAATCATTCAATCGAACATGGAACTATTCCACTCACTAACTATCTCACTCAATCAATCAAATAATGTAGCATTCATCAAGAGATGGAGAGTTAGTGGATATGCATGGGATGATACCGCAGATAAGCAAGGTAAAGTTGACGCGACCAAGTATCTCCAGAAGTACAGAGTGGTCTACACTAATGACAAGGGCAAGGTGTTGTCCGACTTTGTTACCTCTGACGAGTACTTTGTCTATGTCAATGGCAACAGTGACTTGATCTGTCTCCAGATCACCAAGGACCTCTACACACCACTTGGTGTCATCCAGAATGACAACAAGTTCGACTCCAGTGGCAAGTACTGTCTACCAGTGGACAAGGATATACCCAACCAAGATTGTGCCATGATCTTGACCAACAAGAGAAGATAAAAGACATCACCATCAATCACTTAATCAAACTAAATAATAATTAATTAAATCATCATTGAACTTTATTATTAACTTACCCTCGCCGTAGCCCTTATCTTTGCCCATTTTCCATAAACTTGGGACATCTGCACCATCCTGGGCAACACGAGATGCATAATCGGGTCGTGTCTAGTTTGACACTTTGTCATTGATTGTTCTTTCACTCTCTCTACACATACACATACATAAATATACATACAGACATTGCAATGTCTGTTGTTCGACAACAACATGATAATGATCTGCATCAACAACAACAACAGCAGATTCAACAACAACAACAACAACAACAACATCATGACAATCAATCAACATTGAGGAGTGTTGCTTCAAGTCAATCATCACCATCACCATCAACAACACCTCCATTGACATTGGGATCCGCAACAGTCGCAGCAACAGCAGCAGCAACAGTGGACTTAACAACAATGCCTCACATACAGTCACAACAACGCATGAAGAGAGAGTCGATACGAATCACATGGGATGACTTGGATCTAAAGAAGTACTATGGTTATAATATGATGTTTGGCGCTACGATCGATGCAATAATGTATCCTCTCGATATGATGAGGACACGTATGCAGGTGCAAGGCTCCTCCATCGTCAACCAGACATTCCCCGTCTACAACAGTACATTCCATGGCATTAAGAACATCTATAGTAACGAGGGCATACGTGGCTTCTACAAAGGATTCTTCACATCTGAGTTTGGTTACCTCTTCTCACGAGTGATCTACTTTGGTTGCTACGAGAAGTCCAAGCAATACCTCGCTCAGAATGACTTTGGTCCTGCATCAGGTATGTCTCGGTTTGATTGATTGAGTGATCGCGCAACCCTCACTCATACTCACTCACTTCACTCAATAGCTTACATAGCAGGAGGTCTGGCGGAACTATCTGGATCGGCTATCTCTGTGCCATTCGATGTCACGACACAGAAGTGCCAGATACAGGGACATCTGGGCAAGACATTGACCCCATTCGAGATATTCAGACAAACGTATAATGACAGAGGTGTTAGAGGATTGTATCGAGGCTTTGGCATCACGATCATGCGTAACGTGCCCTACTCGGCGGTGTGGTGGGGCGTCTACGAGACGACAAAAATCAAGTTGGCCAAGCTGGACATTCGATCACGCCTCGGACTGCCGCCGCGTGTCACCCACGGATTGCTCGTGTCGGACGATGAGGAGCAGGACGGGCATCACGTGGAAAATGAAGACCCGTTCATTCACATGCTGGCAGGTTTGACAGCAGCCATCATCACCACCACTCTATCCAATCCGCTGGACGTCATCAAAACACGTCTACAGACCAGTCCGGCACATTATCAATTTGGAGGCAGCAGCACCAGTAGCAATGGCAGCAATATCAGTGGAGCAGGCCCACTGCGGTCTTTAGTCAATCGATCACACTTCCTCACAGTATTCTTTGATACGATTCAGAAGGAGGGTGCTTGGGCACTTTGGAAAGGCTTGACGCCAGCCCTTATGACCTCTGCACCATACGCCATGTTCTCTATCCTTGTATACGAGCATGTTAAGAAGCTATCACTCAAATAGTAAATCTTTCTTAGCATACCAACATTACATAACCCCGATGCCATGCTCTGGCCTACCTGCCTGCCTGTGTGATGGGCCAAAACCTTCTGCCTACCATTCAATCATTCAATCATTCATTCATTCTATCTATCAAGTATTGGCCCCTACTGGTCATCACTGATACTCATCAAGCCCAGGAGACCCTACTAGTACTACTTGGACCTACTCTCAATTATCTCTTTGTTCCTCTGTGTGCCATGGATCATCTCTCGTGTGGTCACACTCACCCATCACTTTCTCACTTCACACACACTCAATCACTTGATCACTCCACTCACTCACTCACACACCATCACCTATATTGATGAGTGGAGTGAACATTGCCTATGGACAGTGTTGTTGAAGTGATAGTGGTCAGCTGCAACTGAGTGGCAATATTAAATGTGAATGAGTGACGATGCCAATATGTGATGGGATGAATGAAGATGAAGAGAGAGAGAGTGCGAGTTTGTAAGTGGCAGCAGCTCAAGCCTGGAAATTGTTGGCGGTGGATGGTGGATGCAAGTGCCTTAATTCTACTACATCAACTACTACTGTATTGTAGATATATATCTCATTCAATATGCTTTATTTGTTTGTAGTATGGTATTAATTCATACTTTGACATTTGCCATTGCAAGATAGTCCCTAGCGCCATTGACATCCACAACAGCTACAGCAACAGCAATTTAATATGTATTTCAAATATCTATTCGACGACGACTGTACCGAAATATCATCACCTCTCAACCTCAACTATTATCGCCACTACGTCAACAGACAAAAGAGTAAAGAGCTCCAAGAGCAAAGACACCAACTACAGCAACAGCAACAACAAAAGAATCAGCTGCCACAGCCACAGCAACAACATCCGCCACACACTTCCACGAATAGCGAAAATCCAGACTCTACCACACCTTCAACTTCCAGCTCTACGCAGCAACAACAAGACACCCAACAACAGCCAGACGCGAGTAATAGTCTAAAGACCTCCCAAGAGTCAACGACTAGCGGCTGCTTCTCTGGCGCACCAGACGCAGCAGGCTACTGTCAGAACCCTTTGTACTATTGCTACGACAATAGAATGATGTTCTCAATATTCTTGATGGAGTTCCCATATAATATCGATACCGATGCCTACATTATGAAGGAGTACGATCGTCTGAGGACGATGCAGGAGCAGACTCAAGGCGCGCCACGCCACACCGAGATCCTGCTGCGCAAAGAGGACAGCATTGGTGGACGCAAGGCACTCAAGGAGAAGTTTGTAGAGATCTACGAAGCGTTCTTTGCTGGCGACGACCCATCCAAGGACCAACAGTCATTCTGGGAGCAGCTGTTCCTCATCAAGGTTAACGCGCCCTTCTTAGAACGCTGTCTCAATCTCGTGTCAGACGATCACCTCCAACATCTCCGACCCAACATCAATCTGATCTTCACCCAGTGCTGCCAGGCCATCAAGCACTCGGACAGCACTCGCATCAGCCACATCCTAGAGACACTCTACACGATACTCAAATGCATCTTCAAGCGCAAGTTCAACAACTTTGGCTGTGACATCAAGAGTCTGTTGTGTGGCCCCACTGACACTGCTGACGCGGTACTACGTGAGCTAATAGTTGACCTCGAGTCACTACTTTGCTACACGGAAGTCAAGATCAGGACAATGGCGGTGGAGCTCATCTACATCATGGTGACCTCGTACGAGTACCTCAATCAGAACAGTCTGTTGAACTACTTTATGTTGGTCGACATCTTCCCAAGCATCTTGAACGCGGTCATTGATCGTGAGCTGCCCAAACAAACACGATTCAACGCGCTGGCCACACTGATCTACCTGTGCAACTTCCAAAAGTACGACGTATCCAACATATACATCAAACAACTTGCAGGACTCTGCGATGTTGATCGACTACGTCGTCTGATCGATGTTATATCCGTCGGCCTCTACGAGCAGAATAGGTACTATGCCGAGTTGTTGAGGGAGCCCAATCAGACATTGGTATCCAAGTTCAGTGGCTACCTAAGCAATTGGATATTGCCACAGTCTCCATTGGACACTAGTGTGCCCAGCAACACAGGACCTTGTTTATTGATGTTGTACGAGTTGATCAATTTCAACGAGACGTTTGTAAATCAACTTGTCACTGGACGTCTATCACTACTCAACAACACATGTCCGGAAGTGATCAAACAGTTCCTCACATACTCTAGCTACCTGGCTTCTGACAACTCATCCAAAGAGTCCCGCTCCATGCTTACCAAGCTATCTCTAAACATCCTAATATGCATGTCTGAGCGACTGGACATTGAAGACTACTTCCACGATGTCAAGACCTCAAGTTATATATTCATTTACTCAAAGGTATGAAGCAGACAAAGGCCATGTACCAATGGACACTAACTCATTCAATCATATAATGTAGAGGAACCCATATCCAGACCACTTTGAGATAGAGAAGAGACCAATATCATGTTATATTATTGATGTTATCAATCAGTTCATCAAGTGTAATTTGAAGGGAGGAAGGCCTCCAACTGATCTCTTCCAGAAATGTATAGATTGCCTCAAGCGTATAATATCATACAAGAAGAAAACACAATCTAGACTACCATACTGTTGGTTCGACATCTGGACTACCCTCTTCTCTCTTATGTCCACCCTCTCGATCTCAGACAAGGATCAACAACAAGAGTTATTGAATGTTGGAATCAATGTATGTTGTCATCCACCACTCACTTGGAATGATTCCAATCACTAACTCACTCAATCAATCAGACAATCAATATATTCAACCTGTTTATAGCATATGGTGACTTGTTCTTACCAGAGCCAAGTGATTATGACGACTTGTTCTATGAGATAATTAGGTCGGGTCAGATAATCAATGGATTCTCGGCAAGTGTAGAGCTGGAGGATCCAAACGGTCATTTGGCCAACGCGTTGCTCAACATCAAGACAATCATAACACACTTCAACTCGCGTATTCAGCAGTGGACGATTGAGCATCCCGAGTTCCCACTCACCTCTGAGCACGTCATCAAGCTGATCCGAGACAACTACGAAACGCTACGACTCAAGCTCCAGGACAACCTGGACCAATACGAACGCTACGTCGAGAATGGCAAAGAGTCCATCTTCTTCCGTCAGCTCATTCGCTACCTTGTACATGATACCAAACAACCAGCCAACTGATTCTATTGTGTCGCCAAGTGTCACACTCTCCATTTATAATAATAAAGTAACATCCACTCCATTGTCCATCTCCAATGATCACTTCATTATTGGTTATTCTCTCTGTCCGCCTCGATCAACCGCAACTGATGCCTGGCTACTTGGATAGACTTAGCCTGCTCTAATGATATATTCATCTCCTTTTGAATGGCCAAAGTCTCGGCCGCAGCCAACCTCTCTTCCTCCTGGTCCAAGAGTATTTGGGCATACCTATCTTTCTCACCTCTCCAGAACTTGGCCATGTTCTCAATGTCGTTTTGATTGGCAGTGTCGATCAGATCGTTAAAGATAATGATTGGCCTGCCATCAATGTCCAGTGCCTCGGGGGTGTAGGCCGCCATCAGACTTCTCGCTTGCCACCTTGAATTACACTTTGTGATCTCGATGATCAGTGGTCTGCATGCCACATTGAATCGTTTCTGAAGATACTTGGTCACATTGAACTGACGAAAGTCCTTGGCCTCGTCCCTATACGCGTCAAGTATGAGCTCTGCAACGTCTGATGGCGTCCATATGTCCAGGCGATCGATCAAGTATGCAGCGTTGGCGACTGTGTTTGAGTAGATAGCGCCGATCAACGCGATCTTTGATCTAGACTCGGGCACATTCTCCACCAACCATTGTGTGAGAGGGAGTGATCGTTCACTCGCACTCTTTAGACAATCAGGTGATATTGGGAAGCCCGATGAGGAGAGGAACTGCAGCACCTGTATGGCTGCTGTTGGCCCAGATGCACTACACACTTGCACAGCCAATGCATCGTCCTTGGTCAACTTGTTTGAGAATCGCGTGTACAAGTACTTGATCAACTCAATGTTGCCCTCGACACATGCCGTCGTAAAGATCTGATCCTCAACATCTTGGAAGCATTGAACATGTGAGTAGGTGTCCAACAGGTATTGAACCAATGTGATGTCTCGTGTGGTCAGTGCTGCCGTGAGATGATCCATCGTCGGCTCGAACTCCTTGTCCAACTCACACAGACTTTGAAGCAGGTCTGCCTTGCGAGACTTGATTGCAAACATTATGTGTTGTGGCTGAATGCAGCCCATCTCGTTGTCCAAGATATAGCGAACTGCTGGGAGATGTCCATAGGCCACGGCATTCCTTATTGCATCCGGTGTCCAACCCTCTGTACGGTTGTCATGCAAGAACTTGATCAGCTCGACATTGCCAGTTGACGCGGCGATGTCCACCGCAAAGGTTGATGGACGGCCCCATTGTACGGACTTGTAGGCAACATCACAATCATCATCAGAGTTGGTTGTGGGCTTGGCCATCATATCATGAATCCATGAAACGATCTCCAATGAACCAGAGGCCGAGCAGCAGTCCAACAAACTAACTCTGTTTGATTGAAACACTTGTGGGTAGTGAGTGATGATCTCTTGAAACACTGATAGGTTGGTGTTCTTGTAACATAGAGATTGGATGGATGTAGCGTTGAAGATGAATCCTGGCTGTGTCCTTATCAAGTGAATCAAAAGGTCAAAGTACTTGTTGTTACATAGCCATTGAGCGTCCAATGACTTATAACTACGTGTTGCCACTCCCAACACCTTATGGATACTCTTGACATGTTGGCCAAACAATATCGATCTCAAGTATGTGTTGCCAATGATATCTTTAAAAAATAATTGGTTTATATCTTTCATTATTGTACTTTCCTAAATGGTCGAATGATTGAAATTTTTGTGATCATCAAAAAGTGATGGATTTTGATCACCTGGAATTCCAGAAAAAATCTGAATAATAGTATCTGATATGAGGAGATGAGCTCTTTGGTAAAGATCATCTTGTTTGATACTGGACAACATATCCACCACCAAGACAATAATATTACTTAAGGTAACTGAACTTCCAGTTAAGTTTGACGACATGGTCAAACTACAACATACAAATATTCTACAAACCAACGAGTATAATATAATAATATAATTATTTTGTAGTCTAATAAATTATAAAAGGTATATTACAAATCGTTCAAGTGGGTTAGGTGTAGTGTTGGTTGACAATCAGATTGATTAGGATACCTTATAGTATAAAATAAAGATCCAAATAACATTAATAATAATTATAATAATACAGCATATATACAATCCCTATGTGTGTGTGGATAACTCATCGCCGCTGGCTTCGCAACATTCCGGAGCTGGCGCTCCTTCATTTCCGACTTCCAAACTCTCCTCTCCATAGTTTTATACACTCTTCTTCTTTTAAAAAAGGTATCTTATCCCCAACAATATTTATACAATAAACTTTCCATTGACCTTGGCCATGTTCTTGACAATTGCGTCAGGACAGAAGCCCTCTTATCGCAGGTCCCCGCACTCCTTGCCCAACTTGGGGTAGTCCAGTGACTTCTTGCCTGTCTTCTCTGTCCATGGCTTGGTCGAGACGAACCCATCAGTGTGCAGGCGCTTGATGCAATCAATGTCGTCCTTTATTATCGTCCCAATCATCTTGCGTCCACGAGAGATGATGAAGGGCATGATGCGAGCGAATGGTGTGTCAAACATGTCGGTGTTGCAGGCTGATTTGATCATCGCGCTACCATTTGATGTTGGAGTGATGCGATCGATTGAGTAGTCCTCGTCGACGTTGATCTCGATGTGCTTGATCGTTTTCTGTCCATCGCTGGTCTCTATCACTTCTGCGTCGCACTTCATGTTGGCGCACTGCTTGGTCTTGTTGCGCTTGGAGAGAGCGCCCCAGAGACGTTGATAGAGACACTTGCATAGCTCCTCTAATCTAGATTTGGGCTCACATGCATCTATCCAGCCGAGGACCTGATCGATGTACTTGCCAAACAGATCGCAGCCAAACTTCCTGCAGTTGCTGTCGTAATTCAGCGCATTGGCCTTGTTGCCAGTTTTGAGGTTGAATGATAGGCCTAGCTCCTTGGCAAAGATGAGGTCGTAGTGAGTGTAGTAGTCGTTCTTGTTGATCTTGAATGCGCCATGGGTGCCGTTGATCGTGGCGCGATAGATACCGAATGGAATGGATTTCATTGCGCTCAGCTCCTCGTCGGTCAGATGTTTGAACTCGCCACACTTGATTGGGATCATGAAGCCGCCGCTCCTCAAGATGGAGGCATACATCCTAGCGACGTCATACTTGTAGAGAGCTCCTATATGTTGAATGGCCATCATCAATGGTCCATGGGCTGACTTCTTTATCCACTCGCCCTCCATCTGACCGATGGGCTCTGGTTTGACCGTCTTGTTGTACGAGAGGAACAACTTGATCGCAGCCTTGTTGATGTTCTGTCCTGTTGTGTACATGTCGATGACGCCGTTAGTATGTTCCTTGAGCATGTCGGCGTCGGCCTTGAACGAGTCCAATGTCTCCTGGAGAGTCATACCCGAGAGGATACGGATGTACTCACATTTGCCTTGATACTTGCGTTTCTTCCTGTTGATGAACTCCTCCAGGCTGATGGTCGTGTATTCAACGTCATCATAGAGTTGGACTTGATCGCCCTTGAGATACTTGAATGCGATTGGTGTGATGTAGACATCCCTCTCGTTGTATCGCGTGAATCTGATGCCCTTGCCGACATATGTGCCTTCCTTGTCTAGTTTGTAATGACCATTTGTTAGTATTAGGTTGACCTCTCTTGTTGCTCTCGAGGTGGATGCATAGCAATGATCACCTTTGACATTGATTCTGATGTTGAGTCTGTCCTCGAGTTCTGGGATCGACTTGATTGACACCTTCTGTTTCACATCCAGGCCGAGGAACATCTTGAGTCGTGATGGCTTGCCAAAGTGCTCTGTGACCTGCTCGGGATAGGCATCGAGGAGGCAGTAATAGAGGCAGTTATTCCACTCGCCGTCGCAGCCTCCTGCCTTGCCCTTTGCTTGATGAACGTAGATGTAGAACGATTTAATGTGTCAGGCTCTGTGATTGGCGCGCCGTCGTACTCGTGAGGATCAAACATGATGATCGGCTCGCCTACCTTGGTGAACTTGCCTGATCGATATTGATGATTGCCGTAGTCGAGCACGACCTCTATCCTTGCATTGGCACCGTAGCGCTGGAGCGTGTTGCTGTCTCGCTGAGCGATTCGTTCGATATCTGCTCTGCTGTAGTTGCCTGTGAGCTTGATCTCGGTCACGCCCGTCTTCTTCAGTCTGCCGCCGATGTCTCTTGTTGATCTACTCATTGTATATATTAACACTGGGATGTTAATTTATATCACTTTGAACCTATTTGTTGGCCATCAACTGTTTGTGGATGTAGCCTTGCTTGTGTCGATTGAGATTGGTGCGGCCAACCTCGAAGCCGCATTCGCATCTTACCTTTTGTTTGATGTATGCTTTGTGACGCTCTCTGAACTCCGAGTTCTCGTCCAGTAGTACTCTTTGAATAATGACATGTTATATCTGTTAGAGATAAATTGTTTAATTTAATTTATTTGTTTGTGAGTTTCCTAAATGGGCGAACAGAACACCCTTCACCTCAAGGCACAACTTTGATTCTCACTTCTTTCATTATTCACACAACATCAACAAATACAACAACAATTACAACAATCCACTGGCCCATAGTTATCATCCATCATTGACAACTCTACATCATGAATATCAACGATTACAAGAACTGGTCCAAAGATGAACTTCTCCAATGGTTCACTGAGCAAACCAAAGAGGACGTGAAGGTTCAAGCGAAGATACTCCACCAGCAAGACATCAAAGGAGCTGATCTTCCTCTCACCAGCGCCAACTTGAAGGAAGTTGGCTGTACTCTTGGCCAGGCCAATGCTGTACTCCGAGTTCTTGAGCAACTCCCCCTTGTCCCAGCTGGTATGTACAAACAACATCGGCGCAATGTCTTCATTCAATACTAACATACACACTCAAGCCGGTGCTACAGGAGGAGCTGGCCATGCAAGTAAGTACAGAGGAGAGCGAGTGATGTGTTTGATCGATACTGACATTGACATTACCATTAGATGTGTTTGGGTCATTCGCACAAGAAACATACCAGACTGAAGGTATCGATATTGAATCGGTGACCATCACTAAACGTACCGAGACACTAAATGAGGTGTATCGCCAATTGTCGGAGAAGAGAGTACTGTTGCTTCGCTCCCCTCCATTCAGTGGTAAGACATCATTCTGTACTCTTCTCTCTCAATACCTGCAATCAATGTCAGTGGATGTCATCAAGTACCGATTGAGGCTTCCGCCCGTGGCCATGGATGACGAGATGGTATTCTTCAAACAGGACTGGGAACATATCACCAAGCAATCGTGGGAATACTGGCTTGACCAAGGTACAGCAACAAGGGCGAGATTCATCATCATTGACGAGGCACAGATCGCCTACAGAAAGGACTACATGTCATTCTGGCTCAGGATCAAGGAGTTGATGGACGTCAAGAACAATGCACTCATTCATATCCTTTTGGTGGCAACCTATGGCGATGCTGAGACTGACAGAGCAACACCAGTCGAATTCGGAGTCAACAACTCTCTTGACCTCTCAGATTTGCTTCTGACAAGATCAGAGTTTCTTGAACTCGTCACAAACTTCAACGACAACCATAACAGGACGTCAGGGGTCACCCTCAATGGAGATGCTCTTGAATACTTGTGGAAGATCACGAGGGGACATGTTGGCATCATCAGACTGGCTCTTCAACTACTGGACACATTTGCAGCTGACAAAAAGTCACCATTGGACTCTGATGACATCATCTTCTATTTCATCTCTCTTCCATTCAACATGAGGATTGCAGAAACTCGTGCAATCCCCAAGCAACAACTCAGTGACGCAGAGACCGACATCGTCAGTTCTATTCTCTTGACCAAGGGAGCTCCCTTCAAGCATACATACGAGTCTACCAGTTCACAACTTGAGGCACTCAAACACCTCATCAAAATAGGTGTTCTTGTCGATATTACCCTCGATCGACACTTCACCAAACTCTACTTTGCCTCGCCAATCTTCCGTGGTATCTACTTCATCAGGTGCTTTGGAGCACAGCTTGTCGGCAAGGCGTCATTGGTGTCTCTCAAAGAATACATCAAAACTGTACTCGAAAGAATCGACCACAAATCTATCAAGACGACATAAAAAAAAAAAAAAAAAACAGACAAAATAAAGGAATTCTGGCAGAAAGAGAAATAAAGCGCAGCACGTTCAGTCATGCCCGATGGCCATAACATTCATCCAGTTGCCGGCCACGATGATTACTTCATCCCA